TCAGCAAACGCTTGTTCGTATCCGCGTCTTGACTTTTAACCCACCCTTGTCGGCGAGGGTTTTGAGTGTAACGGGCTGGGGTCATGGGGAAGGGGGAGGGGGAAGGTTCGCAAAAGGGGCCGAAATAGATCCCTGTTTGCCAAGACGAGGCTTTATTCGGATCCATTATGATGGATGGAAAAGGATTGTTGTGAATTACGGTGCTTTGGCACTATTTGTGCCCTGGGGATCCACGAAGCACATCCATGCATCTCGTACGCGAGGCATTTCCCATGCATGGCAAGCCTTCTTACTACCATTCGTCGTGTGAACACCATGGTTCAGGACACAATCCTTGAACAATTCTGTCAATAACGCCACGTACCTGCTCCTGTCCCAAATAAGACAGCCTCAATCTTTCTGTATCATCGATACTACCTGTATGCATAATTGATCGGAGGATGTTTCTGAATCCCCGCTATACGGCTTTTTCTTCTATTTGAGTTTGATTTGAACTTCCCTGTTCGTCCCAAAGAAGGAGGAACAGCAAACATGAACCCATGGCTGGCGCTGCTGAGGGCGACGCCGCTGGGGCAACATTTCATGAGGCTCAAGAATACTCACTGAATGTAATTTCGGCGCCTGAGTACCAATTGATCGTGCTGTGATGGCTAATTTCATGCAACTAACCCGCAGAAGCTGCATCCAGATCAGTACAGCCCTCCCCTGTGCCGAGAGCACCAGACCCTCGAAATGCTTTGCTCCGCTGAGGGAACTGTGAGACGAAGGGGTGAAATCACCCTGAGGTGGACCTCTCTGCAATCACACTCTCTCATTAAGCGTTTCCCAAAACACATTCTCGGACGAGATCGTGGGGGTGAATTCCAATATAACGCAAGCCTCTAATCATCGGAGAGCGCCTCGAGACATTGCCTTTACAAGCACGTGTTTTGTACCAGTGCCTTACAGAGTAATGTCTCATCCTTGTTAGGCCTGGATCGTGGTATGAAGGGGGTGCTGCGCCGTTATACTCTTGTGGTCGTCAACCGTTGATTCTTTTCAACCTTCTTGACCTGCTTGGTTATCGATTCTGAGGCTTCTTGTGCCGTCCACTCGTTTGTGCACTGTTGACTCGCAATGGCATTGGCGTGCAGTCACCCTTTTTCATTCCTGTCTTTCATCACCGTTTCAGTTTTGTCTGTATTGTTTGTACTCGCAGAAGGCTCTCACCACCAACATGAGCATATTCTCTTACATGGCCACGGCAATCTTCACCACAAGAGAGCACTTGCCATTCCCACCAACTTACCAGCAGGATGGACCTACCAGGGTTGCTATACCGATGCTGCAGGGTCTCGGACATTGACTGGCCCAGGATTCAATGGAGGCTCAGTCACTAGTAATTCTTGTATAACATTCTGTGAAGGTAAAGGATATCGGTTTGCAGGCACAGAATATTCCGGAGAATGCTATTGTGGAAGTTCAAAGGCGTCCACCAGCGTTCTCGCTGCCGAAGCCGACTGCAACATGGCGTGCACGGGGGCACCAACTGAGCCATGTGGAGGTCCAAATCGATTGACATTGTTCAGCACCAATGCAGTCTTGAACGGACCTTCGACCAATCCTGGGCCAGCAGGGTGGACGTCACTCGGTTGCTATGCCGAGGGGACCACTGGTCGCACTCTTCCAAATGGAGTTGCCACTGCTGGTGGCGGGGCAGCGTTGACCATCGCATTATGCACTTCAGCCTGCAAGCAAGCAGGGTACAAGTTGGCAGGAGCCGAGTACGGCGGCGAATGCTTTTGTGGTAACAGTTTTGTCAACGGAGGAGGCCCTGCAACAGATGGCTCTGTTGGTTGCAACATGGTCTGCAACGGCAACTCCACTGAGTTTTGTGGTGGCCCTAACAGACTCAACGTCTATTCATCAACGGCGTCTTCAGTAACGTCGTCGACCACTTCCACGAGTGCCACAGCCACGCCTCAGCAGGGTGTGCCTGCTGGTTGGACATCTCTTGGTTGCTATACCGACGCAGTGGGGGCCCGGACTCTGGCCAATCCTCAATATCTCGGAAGTCCCATGACGTGGGAACTCTGCACCTCTGCATGCAAGGCCGGAGATTATTTGTATGCAGGTGTCGAATATGCAGGTGAATGCTACTGTGGTGCAACGATTGGTGGTGGCGGCGGACCTGCACCAGATGGCAGCATTGGATGCAATATGGCCTGCAATGGGAACGCTGGTCAGATCTGTGGCGGTTCGAATCGATTGACAATGTTTCAATATAATGCATCTGCGACCACGTCAAGCACCTCGGCAACGACAACTCCAACGCAGACCGCTGTAGCACTTCCTTCAGGGTGGCTGTATCGTGGTTGTTACATTGACAATGTCAATGGTCGGATCTTGAGTTACCAATTGCCTGACAATTCGGCATTGACAACAGAGTCATGCGTTGCCAGCTGCATCAGCAAGGGTTACTCTATTTCTGGAACACAGTACGGCGTTCAATGTTTCTGTGATGATTTCCTTCGCAATGGAGGAGCCTTGACGACGGATAGCGAGTGTAACATGGCTTGCTCCGGCAATTCGACACAAAAGTGTGGTGCCGGCAACAGGTTCAGTGTCTATTCCAACGCGACACTGAAAGTATACCAGCCGCCCACAGTTCAGAAGACTGGCTTGCCCGGAAATTGGACGTACCAAGGCTGTCTCTATGATGACGCAGTGAAGCGAGTCTTCCCGTACCAGATCGACGACTACACCAACAACACTGCAACCAGTTGTCTGACCCAGTGTGGAAAGTATGGATACGGTGCAGCGGGAACCGAGTACGGGCGCCAATGTTTCTGCGGTGATCAAGCTCATGTCATTGCGGCTGGCAGCGTTTTCATGCCTGAATCTGATTGTAACATGCCATGTACAGGCAACCAAAGCCAGCTATGCGGGTCAGGCAACCGGATCTCCTTTTATAACTGGACGGGAACACCGCTCGACGCATGGAAGTTCTCCTCGGGCAATGCTGCTGGCCGATATGAGTTCTTGATCGGAGGCCCGACAATTCCTCTGCAGACCACAGTTGGTGTCAATGGCAAGATCACCTACCTGGAAAAATTTGGCACATCACCCGCCGATAATGGCACTGGGGCATACGAGCTGGATGTGTCCTCGATCAACAACTATACCCATGCGTGGCGACCAATGCACGTCAAGACCGACATCTTTTGTGCTGCGGGCTTGGTTCTACCGGACAAACTTGGTCGACAGATCAATGTGGGAGGGTGGGCAAATGAGGCCACATACAGTATTCGATTCTATACCCCCGACGGGTCTGCAGGAGTTTGGGGCAAGAATGACTGGGAGGAAAATGTTGGCACTCTGGGGATGATGGCTGGCCGATGGTATCCGACAACGATGCTGATGACAAATGGGTCAATCCTCGTGGTTGGTGGCGAGTCTGGTTCAAATGGTCCTCCAGTGCCAAACCTCGAAATCCTTCCACGCCCTGCTGGGGTTACAACACCCCAGTACTGTGACTGGCTGGAGCGGACGGATCCTTACAACTTGTATCCCTACCTTGCAGTGCTTCCCAGCGGTGGGATCCTGGTAGTGTATTATAACGAAGCTCGAATCCTCAACGAGGTGAGCTTGCAAACACAGCGCACCTTGCCAAATCTTCCCGGGGCGGTCAACACTCAGTTGGCCGGTCGAACATATCCCATGGAAGGCACCGCTATGTTACTGCCGCAGTATGCGCCGTACACGGACCCGCTCGTGGTGCTGATCTGCGGGGGTAGCACCATCGGGCCGGAGATCGCCTTGGATAACTGTGTCTCAATGGCTCCTGACGTAGCTGATCCTCAATGGACAATTGAGCGGATGCCGTCAAAGCGGGTGATTTCGTGCATGGTGGCACTGCCAGATGGGACGTATTTGATCCTCAATGGAGCACAACAAGGATTTGCCGGGTTTGGATTGGCGACGGAGCCCAACCACAACGCAGTCTTGTATGATCCCAGCCTACCGGTGCACACTCGAATGAGAGTGCTGGCCAATTCGACGGTGGATAGGCTTTACCACTCCGAGGCAGTTCTGCTCCAAGACGGACGGGTACTGGTGTCTGGCTCAGACCCCGAGGATGTGAGATTTACACAGGAATATCGGAACGAGGTCTTTATTCCGCCATACCTGCTGAAAGGGATCCCACAGCCGTCGTTCACGATTGTTGGCAACAAAAAGGACTGGGCATACGGACAAAGTATCACATTGACGGTGACGGCGACGACCAACAAGATCAAAGTATCGCTTCTCGCGGCAGTGGTGAGCACTCACGGGAACAGTATGGGGCAGAGGACCATCTTCCCGAAGGTGACGTGTTCTGGCACAAGTTGTACGGTGACTGCGCCCCCGAACGGCCGTGTATCACCTCCAGGGTGGCACATGCTGTTTGTGTTGGATGATGGGGTTCCAAGCGTTGCCCAATGGGTGAGGATTGGAGGGGATCCTGCCAAACTGGGGAACTGGCCTCAACTCCCGGGCTTTACACTCCCAGGACTGTGAGACAGGTCCAAGTGTGTGGGTAGGTAGTAGGTGGACCAGGAACGCGAATAGCAAAGAGAATGGGGGACTGTCGCCGAGTTCGGGAGTAGATTTGGGCCCCGACCGGATGGGATTTTCCAAAAGAGTATATAATTACCCACTTCGAGTGTGAGAATGGTTATTGCGAAACGGCAAGACGCGTTGGCGATGACCTCGATATGGAAGGGCAAGGGACATTGACAGGAGTAGTTTTATATCACGTGATTGAAGATGACACGTGATTTTCCTAGAATGGCCTCATGCCGGATGTTGAGCGGCATGGGGAAGGTGCATGCCATTCTGCAATTCTCATTGGTCTCTATCGGAGCTGCCCTCCACAGCTTATCCCTGCAGGCCCCTGCCAAGATTCACCGCATCTGAAAGCCCCGTCCGACTCGGCCCAGAACTTCCCGTGCAATTTTTTGGTGGGCAGATTCGGCTCCATCGCGTCCCTGCAATTCGATCTTTAATCTTGCCACAGCATCTCCTGTTATCACTTGAGTACAAAGACACTACTTTTGTCCATTCGTTGATCCTTTCTCCATATTCAGATCCATTCCTTCCCTCTTTCATTGCCAGGGTCTAAACTACGGTCGTTGTCTTTCAGAACTGCAGCCACCCAAAACAGTAACCTCAACGTTACTTCCTTCCACTCTCTCGTCTCGAATTATCCAGACAGCAATGGCTCCTACTGCCACTTCTACCGTCGCCGGCCTTGAGGCTGAGGACCATGCCAGAGATGCAGCCTTCAACAAGGCCCTGCATGGCAAGTCTTCACAGGCACGAGGAGGGTTTGCTGCCATGCGCGGGAAAGATAAGGCCGCTCAAAAGGCAGCAGTGGATGAATATTTCAAACATTGGGACAACAAAGCCGCAGCTACTGAGACCGAGGAGACGCGTAAAGCTCGAAGGGACGAATACGCAACGTTGACCAGACAGTATGTCTCTAGGATTTCGCTTTCATATGATGTGGAGCAAGGCTAACTCCTTATTTTAGCTACTACAACCTTGCCACGGATCTCTACGAATATGGATGGGGAACTTCATTCCATTTCTGCCGATTCGCTGTCCGAGAACCCTTTTACCAGGCCATCGCGCGTCACGAACACTACTTGGCGTTGAAGATGAACATCCAGGAGAATGCGCGGGTTCTGGACGTCGGGTGTGGTGTGGGTGGACCTGCACGAGAAATCATCAAGTTCACTGGTGCCAACGTGACGGGACTGAACAACAACGACTATCAGATCGAGCGGTCGTTGCGATATGCCAAAAAGGAAGGCCTTGAGGACAAGTGGAGCGCGGTCAAGGGCGATTTTATGCAAATGTCCTTTCCCGAGAACTCGTTTGACGCCGTTTATGCGATCGAAGCGACGGTGCATGCTCCCAGCCTGCAAGGCGTCTATGAGCAAATCTTCAAGGTCCTCAAGCCTGGTGGAGTTTTTGGAGTTTACGAATGGCTCATGACGGACAAATACGATAACGACAATCCTCATCACCGTGAAATTCGACTGGGTATTGAGCAGGGAGACGGCATCTCCAACATGGTCAAAGTCTCTGAGGGTCTAGCGGCCATCAAGGCAGCCGGGTTTGAGCTTGAGTTCCACGAGGATCTGGCAGAAAGACCAGATCCGATTCCTTGGTATTATCCTCTCGCCGGAGACTTGAGATATGTGGCTTCGCTGGGAGACTTGTTCACTATTGGCCGCATGACATGGTGGGGAAGAGGTCTGATCCACAAGTTTATCGGTTTGGGAGAAACACTGCGAGTGATGCCACAAGGTACACAGAAGACGGCCGATAGCTTGGCCTTGGCCGCAGATTGTCTGGTGGCAGGAGGTCGGGAGAAACTTTTTACACCCATGTATTTGATCGTGGCTCGGAAACCAGCCGCATAGAGGCAGGCTTCTGATTGCGTTTGGCGTCGGACAGGATAGTAGTTACAGACTGGGAGCTCACCATACATCATGTACATAGTTGGGTTGGAGCTTGATAGATTGTTGAGGATAATAATGTAGCATTCTCAAGGACAACTGGGTTATGGAGAGTCATAGGCGTGATGAAATCTCGAGAGTGGTCATGCTCAATGGGACTCACCGGTTCAATTTATCAAACTCTAGGTGCCTGGAATGGGAAATGGTGGATTGAACATTGAGTACCGGGCCTTGTAGGTACTAGGTAGTAGTTGCATGGTTGCACTGCGTCATGTACGAGTATGGAGAGCACTCGGAGGCGGTAGCTTAATGATGATGGAGTGATGTGTGACAACAGACGGCTTGGCCGTGAACTGGACAGCTGAAACGTATGTGCAGGTTGGTGATCCTAAGTATAGGACCATCTGACCATCAAGAAACGATCGAAACAAGACATGGTAGGCGAGCGAAGCGTTCAGACAGTGGGTACCTGAGCCAGCTGAACGAACTGGGGTAGGCTGTATACGAAGTATAGGCAAGGTAGGTTGTAGCTCGTAGCCTGAAGACTGTGAATGGGCGCCCCCCTCAGCCTAACGTGGCGGATCACGGGCCGAGGGGGCATTGAAAGTACGTTGTGACTGGTTAGTGGGAACCAAGAGAGTTGGTCTAGCGCAGTCAGTGCGATTGGGTTTGAGAGAAATAGAGAAGCAAAGATAGACTCGGGCAGCAGTAACGTTTAATTGCTATGGTACCAATGTTCTCGCATCTTGTTGGCTTGATACTCAACAATAATCACGATAGACGGGGAGTTGTCGTCTGCAGTACAATTACGCAAGGTGACTTGTCAGTGAAATGTTGCTTTTTCTCGTTAAGCATCGAGAGTCATAGGGGCCAAATGCTTGAATTGTTAGGCGAGGGGCTTGTTTCGACTCGACTCCCCTTTAATAATTGGGCGCCTATAAATCAAGGTCCTGCAGGCTGGCGTCATGCGGTCATGGGCACCGCAGGTAAGGTCGATGACAAAGTCAAGGCGAGTGATTCACAAGCTCCAACCTCGATCTCGAGTCAATCTTCCTCCAAGTATGACAGTCAACAGACATTGAGATGCACATCAGAAACATTTCATTTTGTACTGATTATGATCAACATGATGCTCTTCTACACCGCATGTCAACTATGCCAGATTCAAAAAAAAATCCAGCAACAAGGTCAATTCCATTTCCAGAGCCCCCGGACTACTTATGTGGCTTCTTTCTGTTCTGGGTTGATTGGCCCGAGCACTTTCTCTCAGGCTGATGGAGTCATTGGATGTTGCATCACACTTCCCACCATTCGCCATGTAACAGTGTGACCCTCAAGGTTGGTCCTCCTCGCCACAGACACTTGCTTCCCGCCGTCTGCCGATAAACTAAACCAAAATGAAGTCTCCCGGCGGTCTGCGCTTCCAATCCCACAAAAATGGAAACATGAAGGAGCTTCCAAGTTGGCCGCGCCAGCGCCACGTCATTTTGACCTTCCATCACCCAACCCCAGCACTAGGTCAAACGTTGGTCAAGTCGCTCGCTTGCCTTCTCGTCGTCATGGACGATGAAGCCTTTCCCTCTTTTTATAATCTGGCCTTGTTCCCCAGCCGACACCTGGACTTGCATCTACCAGAAACCTAACTAGAACTTCTTTCCACCTCCCCTCTCACTACTTCGTGCTTTGATGTTCTCGGGTCAATTCGTCATGGGCAAATCCACTGGCTTTCTATTGGTTGCAACATGTCTCCTCTCCTCAATACATTCAACCTGGGCCAGCCCTGCCCCTGGAGTTGTTGGCTACAACTTTGAAAGACGACTTGTAGATGTCTCCAAGGCTCCACATCTTGCACGCCGTCAATCTGGCACCGTCCTCTCTAGCCTGACAAATGAGATTCTGTTGTACTTCATCAACGTCACGGTAGGCACCCCTCCACAGCCCTTCTCTCTTCAGCTCGATACTGGCTCTTCCGATCTCTGGTTTCCCGCCGACAATGCCAATGTCTGCCAGCAAAACATGAACAACTGCCCTGTTGGAACCTACGATGCCTCGGCCTCATCAACCTTTGAGCAGCTTGACCTTCCAGACTTTCAAATCTCATACGTCGATGGCACTCAGATTGCCGGCGTCTACCTTTCAGACGTCCTCAATATTGGCGACACGAAGCTCACCAACATGACCATGGCTGCAGCTCTGGAAGCCAATACTCGTGGAGTCGGCGTCATGGGTGTCGGGTTCCAGTCTGGCGAGAGTTCTGCATTCATTCAGAACAATTTTACCTATCCCAATGTCATCAATGTCCTCAAAGACCAGGGTCACATCAATGCCCTCGCCTACTCTCTGTGGTTGGATGACTTGGAATCCTCCACAGGCTCCATCTTGTTCGGAGGAATTGACACCAACAAGTTCCAGGGTGAGCTCATCTCCCTTCCCGTCCAAATCGATAGTCGGAGTGGAGGGGTCACATCCTTCACCGTCGCTTGGACGGGGCTCGTCGCCTCAGGAGGTGGCCAAGTAACGGACCTGTCCCCCCAAGAACCTCAACCCGCCATTCTCGATTGTGGTTCCACCTTGACGCTCTTGCCCGACGATATTATCGACAACATCTTCAATGGCGTTGGTGTCTTGACCGATCCCTCATACGGAAATGTCGTTCGCTGCTCACTCGCCGACGACGACCTGACCTTTTCCTTCCGTTTTGGAGGACAGAATGGACCCATTGTCAACGTCAGTCTGTCCGAGTATGTGACTCCACTTCTGACCACGAACGGCGCCCAACCTACATTTGACAATGGTGATCCAGCATGTACATTTGCCATGCGAGCCGCTGGCAGCGATCCTCTCCTCTTTGGCGATTCGTTCCTGCGCAGTGCATATGTCGTTTATGACCTGGAGAACCAGCAAGTTGCCATTGCTCAGACCAATTTCGACGCAGAGCCCCAGAACCAAAATGTGCAGGCCATCCAGTCCAATGGCGGCATCCCCGGTGTCTCATCTACTGCCTCAGCGGCAACCGTCGCCCAGACCTTCTCTGGCATCCCCGATATCACGGAAGCGACGGCCACGGCTACGGGTAGCCTTGCGGGTGGGACCTCAAGAAGCGCTACCTTCAATCTCACTCCGACGACCGGCTCTGGAGCCTCGAGTACCGGCAGTGGGTCTGGAAGTTCCAAGACGAGCAACGCAGCCAGGTCCAATATGAGAAGCTTCGACGACACGACACATGTTCTTGGTCTGGTCGCTTTACTGTTTTCTTGTATGGTCCTAGGCGGCTCTTTTGTGCTGTTGTAGGCCATCATTGCTCTCTTTGATATGTGCACAACACAGTTTGTGTCTTTCAGGGTTCTGGTATTTGAAGCGAAAACGCATGTACAAGTCTTTATTTTGGTAAAATTTCAGGCATCTCTTTTGACGAATGAAATGTTTATCATGGGAAGAGAATGGGAGCATCTATAGGCCCAGACGGCTGGAGTCTTCGTGGAGAAAAGTACAATTTCCACAGGTCAGTAGCAGTTATAGATGTAATCCTAGATGGTGACTTGTCATAACTCTGACAAGTCCTCGCTGTGGAACGTCATCAGGCCTGATGACAGACACGATGCGTATAAAATCAAAGTCCATCGCTCCCAAAAGAAAGCCAATAGCCTTGACTCGCCCATACTTGGATCAGTGGCAGATTGGCATAACACATCAGCTTACTCGTTGACCGTTTCCAACGGCGAATGAGGAAAAGGAAACTCGGCGGCCGATGTAAACGACGCACCAGTCAAGATGGCGCCTGAGCCGCTCAAGTCGTCGGTGCCGCTCGAGCCAACACTCAACCAAGGCCTTAGCTTTGCCCCGTCGGCCCCGTCGCCTTGAGCATCCAACCCAATCTGCGTGCCATCCTCCGTCTTAGGCAGCCTCAACCCTAGCAGCCTGACCGCATTGCGGTAAGCGATATTGTCAAAGTCTTCATCGTTGATCAGGCCACTGACTCGCAGATCCCGCATAAAAGAAAGTCCGTCTGTGCACGACGACGTCGGCCAGCCGACACTATACAGCACCTTGTCCGCACAGCATAGCTCCGTCAGCGATGACATGGCGGCCAGGTTGAAGGTATGCGACGTCGTAATGTAGAGGTTGCTATGCCAGACCTGGAGCAAGTGTCGAGTCGGACGGAGTTCCACCGGCACGTGTGCCTGGATCAACCTATGGTTTCGCTCCAGTCTCGAAGCCAAATGTGTACCCATATGGCCAATAATGAGCTTCAGCCCGGGATAAGTGTCGAAGACACCCGCGAGGAAGAGGTGGAGGATGTGTTGTGTTGTGGTCGGTGTGGATTTAGCAATGGAGCGCGAGTCGTTGGAATATGATGATCTCCGAGTGAGCATCTTGGTGATCGCTGGTGGATATTTTTGCGCCGAAGGAGACGCAGGAAGTGGGCCGGAGGAGGCAGATGGGGAATGGAGGTATAGAGGGACGTCGAGAAGTTCGTGTACGGCAAATATGGGCCAGAAGCTGGCATCGTCGTAATAGGACCCGTTGGTGGTGTTGTCGACCATGGACCCAACAAAGTGGAGCTCATTAACGCACCGCCGAAGTTCCTCTGCTGCCGCAGTGGGATCGACAGTCGGGAGGACGGCCAAGGCTGCGAATCTCGACGGGTCTGGGGAGCTAGAGATGGCGGCATGGAGTTCATCGTTGGATGCCCGGCAGACGTCAGCGGGGATGGCAATGGTATTGGGGTGATGGCAGATGACTTGAAGGGTAATGCGACCCTTGGTCATGGCTGTCAAACGGGCGGGTCCGAGTTCTGAGATCGAGGATTGAACACTGGGAGCATAGTCTGAAATGGGAGATTTGGCATTTTGAGATTCGTAGTAATCATTGACTGCTTTGGAGAAGTAATACTCTTCGAGTGCGACAAGGGGAATCTTTTTGTTGGCCATTTCTCGTGGTGGAGCAGCCAAACACGTGCTGGCCGATAGAGCTGGAGACAGTTTGTAGAGGAGTTACAGCCTTGTCACATTGAGCCCAACGACAAGGGCAGCATTCGTTGGACGTCAATTCGAGCTAGTGGTACGAGGCGAGAATGTTGCAGCGGTATGGAAAGAGTAGAAGAAGGATTTGAGGCGCAATGTTGGTCGCCGCCATGTGATGATTTGAGCAGGCTCACCCCGAGGACATGTGCTATAAGCACGATGCTGATGCCCCGCTCCCGGAAGCTGAGGATGAGTAAAGGCGTAGGGCGAGACATGAGCCTGCCGAGAGATAGGGTTGGGCAGCTTCGTGCTATCCCATTCTCAATCCGGGTGAGGTTTGGGATAAGGTTGGGGGCAACCTAATGGCGGGGAGGCCCATGATGTTGAGATTGGCCAGGTTGGCCCGTGGATCAGGGAACGGGGTGTGTCTTCAAGGCGAGAGCAACCCTATCGGATTGAACGCGGAGGCGGTAGCCCCAGATCTGCATGTGGCGTGGCCGTGTAAAAAGGTCGGATGGTCACGATGGCGTAACGAAAGAAAGAGGTAGAATCTGGCAGTATGCACGGATTGAGTGTAGAAGCGGAAGCCCAGGGGCGCCCGCCAGGGACATGGCTGAGCGATTGGTGAAGCCATGGCCGCGTTGGGTATTGAGCTGGAGGGTGGCAGGGTGGTTGAATGGATGGATAGGTTATTAGATGTGATGTGATGGGAGGATGGATGAGAGAAGCAGTCAGCAAGTCACGTCACGATGATGGGAGAGGGGCAGCCTTGGCAAAAGTCCTCAGACCACGTGTGCAGCAGTCGCGATGGATGTCTTGAAAGGATGGACGATGATATGTCCTCGTAGTTGCCGGGGGGGAGGGGGATCTAGACACGAGCAATCAACAGGGAAAGAGAAGTTGTCGATGCGGGGAGAGGCACACATATTAAAAAGGCCTATCTCCGGGATGACAGAGACTGTGATTCTGGTTCACCAGGAACAAGGACTTCATCGCACGATATGGTTAAAGCAACATGAATAAAAATCCCCAGCATCATTACCCATGAAACATTTCATTGAACGCATGGCGTCGGCTGATAATGTCCATACACAAATGGCAGCCAGGTCTCGTGGTCCCCGTTAGGACAAGTTGGCTGTCTTATTGACCCGGCTTCATTACCTACAACACACTCGGAGAAGTTTGCTGGAGGCGAGAGGGACACTGCATGAAAATGCATGGACGGCGGGCGCCGACCAGGCTTGTACTCAACAGGGAATGATAAAAAGGTGCGAACGAAAATAAACATGTCGATGGGTATGAAAAATGGTTACAATTTAGTACTAGAAGCCCAGCTCGCGATGATGGGACAGAGCGGCTCTATGCGTGGCTCCATTTTGTTAAAGATTGGGGTTGGGGCAGCTTCGGCGCTAGGGACTTTAAGCCTCCTACTCCGTAGGCATCTACGGAGTAGGTACTTACCTACCTAGGTACCTACCTTAGGGAGGTATCGAAGGGAGCCTTGCGCCGTCTCCGGTTCCACTCGCAGAAGCCCCATGCGAGTCTCTCGCTACTTACAGAGTAGATGCACAGACGCTCGAACCATTTCTATATGAAACTGATCATGGACTTCTAACAGCTTCAACTCCCGGAAAATTAAGTCTGAAATTCATACTCGTTCAGTACTGTAGTGCCACTACATGTCCTTTATCACGCCTACTCGTAAGGAGTCGAGCCTCATCTACTCTGACTCCATACGACCAGGCGGTGCAAGTAGTCGGCCAATCTACGAACGTGTAGTAATTTCGTTCCTCAAAGATACAAGCCTTGGTCTGTTCAACTAAACGACGTTGTTTGTAGCCGACAACTATGAATTGCCAATTGGTCACAATCACCCAACGGTCCGTGACAGGCGCCGTTACCAGGCTGACACATTATCAAGCCTAGAGGAGAAGGATTCAAGCACCTGTCATAAGTTGCAGAACACTCGCAAGATAGATGAGATATAGGGGTGAGCGGTAGAAGGGTTCAAGGCCCTCGGCCCCAATAATGATCCAGGATTGATTCACCCCTTTATGTAGCCTTACGGAGCATCTTTAACGGGAAAATAGCACCTGCAGATCCTAATCACCGGTATAATTATCGGGGACGATACGGGCCTGGGGCTTGCCCATCCACATGCTGAAGCTCCGGTGCCACTAGCCACTATAAGGAGCCACTACTGTAGGCCTTTTGAGCCCCATTGGCAGGTCTTGGCGCGTCTCTGGCTGAAAGAAAGTCGGCGAGCCGTCAACGCCAACATCAAACGTGTGGGAAGCGACAGCCAAAAGAAAGGGTTCCCTTCTGCACCTGTAATACGACCAGAGCACATGGCCTCGATGCCCTTGTTGACCTTTCGCATTTGATTGCAATCCTCGTGGTAGTTTGACCTACTTCATTCCTGCGCCGTCCCAACCAAATCCCCGTCTGGTACTCCCTACTCTCACCACATCTCCAACCTGACGGGCCATCAAGGCCTAGGCACGAGACACTGCTTTCCGCTTCCCGGGCACCCCTAGCATCTACGCATTCCTCATCAACCCATCTGCCTAAGATTTGATTCGACATTGATGGCCTCCCAAGGAGGCCTCACCCGAAGGCGGGGAGCTGGTGGTGCTGCCAGCAGCGCTGCCGCCGGGGAGGATGAATCCTCGAGTCGCGTCTCATCCCCCGCTCCCAAGTCCTACAACGACCGCTCCCCCGAGACCGCATACGAGAGTGGCGAGAATGGTCACAAGATTGCCTACGATCCTAGAGACATCAGCGAGAGCGAGGAGAGGAGCAAACAACCCAAGTTGACTCTCATGGAGGATATCTTATTACTCGGCTTGAAAGATAAGCAGGTAAGGAGACACAACCTTGTCGTCATCACTCTACGAATCCTGATACTTATACCTCCGTGTCATAGGGCTATCTCTCATTTTGGAATGACAACATCTCATATGCTCTGCGAGGCTGCATAGTCATCGAATTGGCCTTCCGCGGCCGTATCAGCATGCAAAAGGACTCCGCCAGAAGACGGTTCCCCCTTGCCGACCGCATCATCGAGGTCATCGATGACACCCTGACCGGCGAAGTACTCCTCGACGAAGCCCTCAAAATGATGAAAACAAGCGAGAAGATGAGTGTGAGCTCGTGGATTGATCTCATGAGCGGTGAGCACAACCCATTTCATCCCCATCCCCACATGCACCACTCCCCGCTGACTGTGTTGCCTCAGGTGAAACGTGGAATTTGATGAAGATTGGCTATCAACTCAAGCAAGTCCGCGAACGATTGGCCAAAGGACTGGTGGACAAAGGTATCCTGCGTACCGAAAAGCGCAATTTCCTCCTCTTCGATATGGCCACCCATCCTGTCGTTGATGCCGCCGCCAAAGATGAAATTCGCAAGCGGGTGCGCAATGTTTGCACCAACCGTACCGTCGTTCTCCCCCCTTCCCAATTCCTACCCGCAGAACTCGACTTCAGAATGCTCCGGACTGTCAGCATGGTTTGTGCATCTTACGCCGCCAACGTTCTTGAAAATGCCCTGGTCACACTGGGCCACGAAGCCCGAGAAAGAGCCTTTGCACAAGTGGACGAATTGCTGGCTGAATACAGCCAATGGCCCTTTGCCAAACGAGCCGGTGGGAACCAAGGTATTGGGGCAAACATTGGCCAGGTTATTGCCGAGGAAGTTGAGAAGAACAAGGACAAAGAATTACAACTTGAGGTAAACACGAGCCCCTTTTTCCAGAAACAGTGTCTTTCTCTAGCGATCACTTCGCTGACCATACTTCTCTTTCAGGTTGTCGCTGCATGTTTGAGCGTCTTTACCCGCTTGGATTCTTTACTATAAATTGAACTCAGACTTTCTCTCGATTTTCAATCTGTTCGACACCGTGACACGAGTGCGCCGTTCAAAACATCGATTTCAAGACCCGCAATTCGAATTCATCATCACCACCACCATCAGCGAGAGTTAACAAGTCGACCAAGAACGCGAGCAGGAAGAAAAGATCTGGCCCCCCTTTACCACCACCCTCTAAAACCCCGATGTAAGGCATTGATCAGAGTAACGACTCGACGGACTTGAGGAAAAGTCCCTAAAGCAATCTTGTTGTGTTGCTTTGGGAACAGGCAGAAAATTCAAGACAGGCGACGGAAAAAACACCTGGTTCTTCTATCCAACATATTGTGAATGAAAGCAAACCTTTGAAGTCGTGCTCCAGTGTTATCTTCTACTTAATCTCGTGTTTTCCTCTGTCGGTCACATATTCTTCCGTTCGAGAGAGAAAGGTGCCCAGCAAGGATTCATCTACAAGATGTGAAGGGAAAGGTTCAATATGATCAGTATGTGGGATCAATCGACTCGACAGGGATATTATACAGTAGTCTTTATATCGACAAAGGGTCTGCCTGCCTACTTTTAGACTGATGCAACGGATTCACAAACTCTTTGGTATCGTCACAAGGCTTTCTCATGGCCCTACCCTCGTCGCCTTGACCTACGACCCGCTGCTTTCCTCCTGTTCCGAACGCTCCTGTGGATCCATGGCGATCAACGTGTTCAACAGGTCCAAAGAATGCTTCGCTGGCTGAGTCGAATATGTTTCTCTTCCACTCTCTGCTTCCAACAGCCTTCGTCGCTGGCCCTCCTTGGCCGCTTGGCCTAACGTACCCGCCACCAGAGCCACGGATCGTAATGAGTCGTCGTTGGCCGGGATCGGATATGTCACCCATGTCGGGTTGGCATCCGTGTCGATAATGCCAATGGTGGGAATAGTAAAGACTCCGCATTCGTGCAGAAGCACTTTGTTCTCCATGGGATTCAGGCAGACTACCAGATCCGGTCTCATGACTTGATGTTTGCCCTGGGATAGAGCCTCGTCGTACTCTTCCAGCTTATTGTCCTTGAGGTCCACCACCTGGACAGCACACTTGCCCAGAATTTGCTGTCCGTTGGATAACGTACCAGGTACCCAGCGATCAAAGATGTGATAGCCTTTTGCTTCTTTCGCAGCGTTGACGACAATGTCTCGGAACCCGGGACGGGTGCCGACGAACAGGATGACTCCGCCCATGCGCGCTACTTCTTCAATGACTTTGGCGGCACGTTTGAGGTATGCATATGTGACGTCTAAACTGATGATATGGATGCCATCGCGCACACCATAGATGTAGCCACTGTTGGAAGGGTTCCAGAGACTGGTGGCATGACCCAGATGGCACTGATTGGCGAGGAGCATAGGAAGGGTGAGATCTGCGGGTTTGGGTGGTTGGGTAAGGAGCTTCTTGGGGTCGTATCGGTTGGCAGAGCTGTCAGTGCCTCGTGCGCGGTTGATTGCACGATATGCAAAGAATCGTTCGACTTCGTGTGGATTCTGTCGCTCTTTCTTCCAGGCGTCGACAAAGCCAGGGTCTCGTGGCCATCTGGGCGTTTTGGCTCGGGTACTAGCCGTCTTACGGGCTAGAGTAGGCTTTTCGATTTCGATGTCGGCGACTTTTTTAGAGCCGGTGAGGTCATCGATGTCCAAAATTCGAGAGGTCTGAGAGAGTGTATTGACTTCAGCTCCGAGGGCGGAGACTTGTTTCTCACTCTCAGACGCCAGCTGGTCTGCTTGCTGGGCTTTGGGTGTAGGATGGTCTATCGTATCAGAGGTTCTTGAGGTGCTATAAGTACGACTTGAAATCCTTCTTCGAGGGGTCTCGTCCGATGCTGGCTCGCCACGGATACTGACGCTTGAGGCAGAGCGTGAACACGTCCTCGCTGAAATTCCGAGTGCTGTTCGCCCTGTCTAGTTTAGAATCCTGGGAAATGATAGGGTCCTGGAGACAGCACTTACCATGTCGGACACATGACTGTCGAAGGATCATGGCGATCGATAGCCCACCGGGTATGGCAGGTGTAAGCCGTTGAGAGACAGTCGGTTGGTATGAAGCGCAGGTCTGGAATAAATTGATGCCGTCTGCGCTTGGAGACTTTCATGAGTTGCTGCATCTTTCCCCAAAGCTTTCAGTAGCTTGGCGTTCTCTGATTGGATCTATGGGAAGGACACAACGTTGGAGTGTATAGCTGTTGACGCAGCGTAAAGTTCGGGCTTTAAATCCTTGGAGTGCAGTTGAGAGAACCTGGGGTGCATGTCGTGTTCAACGTCTGTTCGAAACGGATGACGTGGCTTCTTCTAATGCATCGAGGCTACTGACAACTACCAAGATACATATGATCCTAGACACAGTGATACACATTATTGAACATACTCAGATGCTCAACAGTGCATGTCACAATTTGACACCAGCAGGAAGGAAATCACGTGATATTCATACACGTGACTGTATTGGCTTGGCGTTTCCCGCCAGGAATATCCTTGGTGACAGGCGACAGGCGACCTCTTCTCGTGCTAGCCCTCGCCTAACAGTCTCCTCATCACTGAGAACGTGGTACATTAGGTACCTAGGTACTTGGATAGCATATCAGGCGTTAGAGTCCTTGAATGATAAAAGACCTACGCATAAATTAACACGTGTTCTAGGCCAGACGCGTCGAAGCAGAGCCCCTCAACGTTTCAACTTTTCCGTCCGGAGAGCTTTTTTGTCGCATCACGATTGCGCAAGCTTGCTGTGTTTGCCAACTGTGGGCTCGGTTTCCGACATTTTCTTCTGTGAGCTACCTATCAGACGAGACTTTGATCATCCAAGTGAGTATACTGGCCTAATCCGGAATACGAGTTGTTTGAGGTGATGCAAAGAAATTTATCATGGTTGATACTTTCCATCAAATGCATCATTTTTCAAACACCCAGCGCGCCCCTTGTGTGGCAGAGACGCTCGGCTAGGCACGGATCCGACCTCCCTGCGTCGGGCACATGCGAAACAAGTCAGCATTCACTTGTTGCAATGTACCACAACTCATGCTTTTGTCTCTACAATGTTTCCAGTTGTAGTTTTGGCTGACATTGCTGGCGATCATGTTTGGGGAATGTTTGATCTTCCGGAAAGTTGATTTGCAGACTTCCGCTCTAACTAACACATTCTCATGATAAAGCTCGGACAGTGTAATGACTCTGGCCATCTGGTTCAACTCCGAGGACACCATTAATTCTCAAAGCAGACTTACCATAGCAGTAGCGGGCGACCATGGAGATGGTGTGTAATATCTATCCCACCGATTGGTCACCGTCTAGCTAACCCAGCATATTGCCTGTAGGACCGACCACGTCGCAACTTCAATCCAAGAAAGACCAGACGCTACGGTCGGCAGACGTTTGAGCCAGAGCATCTGGTCAAGTACAGTCCAAAGTGGCAGTACAGTCGTCTGTACAACTTTCCATTTCCCGGAGCCCACTGGCAACCTCGTATGCGAACCATTGTCGTTGCAGTCGACGGAGGATCTCGTGGCAACAATCGCGCCGACCCGAACTCTCGAGCCGGATGGGGCGTTTTCTTTGGCCCCAACTGCTATCGAAATTCCTGTGGCTTGTTGGACCGCAATGCACCTCAAACTAGCTCGCGTGCCGAACTCGAAGCGGTCCGACAGGCCCTGATGATTGTCAGCAAGATGCAAAAGTCGGGAGAACTGGACGGCTGGCGAGAGATCATCATCAAGTTGGACTCGGACTATGTCTCTAGGGCACTGAGCGAGTGGATCTGGAGCTGGGAACAGAACGGGTTCATGACTCGCAAAGGCAAGCCTGTTGAACACGGACACGTCATTCGTGAAATGAACGAAAGCATCAAGAAGCTTGAGAAGGAGATGGCCGTGCGATTCTGGCGAGTGGGAAGAGAGTACAACCGTGAGGCGGACAGTTTGGTCAACCAGGCTCTGGATGATGCAACAGACAGTGGCTATGGTGGCAGTGACTAGAGAGGTGTGAGAGTACAGTATCTCTGGGGTAGGGTTCTTGGGTGGGTTTTCTCGTCGTGGTATTCTCAATGTTTAACTTGTAATTCGATGGTAGAGCATGACGGATTTGATGGCAATGGTGCAGATGATTAGCTAGTGTGACCAACTCGATGGACAACCACGTCTTGGGCATGACCCAGGACGTAAAGAAGTCTATCGCTTGCTGGAGCAAGGACAGAACTTGTAAGGCAGCAGAGGCCACAGCTGGCCGTGGTATTTTTGTACTCGAACCAGGTGTTGATGAAAGAATTGTCTCCATGCTCAAGATTGCGCCAACGACTTGAATGATTGGCTGACTCCATACTGGTAAGGGTATGGGTACGGTGGATCTGATCTTAGCGTAGACGCAAGAATGGAGCGTGTCCAAAAATAAAACGCGGGAAAGAGCCCCCCTGAACCCCACAGGGGCGTTCCTGCATTTTTGGCCCTGAAAAGTTTCACAAATGCGCGCAGGAGGAGGTTGTGTCTAATGTTGTGAGTATCAACGAGCTAGGGGTACTACTATTTCGTTATCATACTCCGTACATATCAATTCGTAGAACAAGGTCGGTGCGTCAAGATGCATCACTACTCACGTGCCTACAGCCAATACGAAAGGATGAGCGCTAAGGGTGCGCATCGAGGAAACGACATGAGGATCAGCGATTTTGATGAGCAGCCACACGTTAGGGAAATGAGACGTACAAGGGTTTCAAGGCCCTGGGTTGAGTTTGGACCAAGTCGAGTGGCGTCTGCGAAGGGTTTGGCAAGAGGGCGTCGAGGGCAGAACACAGAGGGAAGTTGCGGCGGAGTTGGGCCTATTTGCCCATCTAGCGAGACTGGCGGTCGTTGAGAGGCGCGTGTGGGAAAAGGGGGCGCGCCTTCCCAGCTTTGAATGTTTTTAATTTCCCAAACAGACCGGACTTGTCTTGGCACTCTCAACCTCAGGCCTTTTGATCATCCTTGAGCAGATTCACGCACGCTCTCTCAATAATAACACCACTACCGTTTAGTGTTGCTGTCAGCATCACTGGTTGCATGTCTTTTCCCCCATTTATTATTTGCTGCAGAATCTCGCATCTTACCACTATACGGTAGGCCCCGAGTTGCAGATTCCTCTCCATATCTCTACCTTCTTTGTAGTCCTTCTTCTTGGCTACCATGCCACCTTTCAACTCTGGTGGTATGCTTACACCCCAGTGAACACCCCAGCATCCCTGTCCGCCCCCTGCCCTCTCTATTTTCCCTCCTTTCGCTGAGTCTCGATGATTTTCAAAAGGCCCAGTGTTTGTCCAGGGCTGCATGTTGCACCACCAATCTCATAGTTTTGATTGGACCAGCCTTGCCAACCCTTGAGGCCCAGTAGATACCTGTCCATTCAGAATTTGACTTGACACTCGATGCACCATGTGTCTCGTGAGTTCGACCCATCGTCGCTGCCAAGGCTGACGCCCCAATCTCTTCCTCTCGGTCTGACATGGAATTGTACCTGACGTGTTCCTGCTGCGGGCCGTCTAGCCCACTCAAGCCCACTCTAGACCCCAGCCCGTCTGGAAGAGATGCATGCTATCTCGCTACCGTTGTCTGGCTCCTACACCATCCACTGGCACCATCCTCGTTATGGTTCGGCCACTTCCAGCGCCTACGCCTAGTCAGACTAGATCGCAATTTGTCTGTCGCGCTTGCGGCGAATAAGCCTGATTAGCCCTGATCCATGTCTGCAATATCAACCTACATATCCATCTGGTTTCCCCAGCGCGGGTGAGTCTGGTTGTTCTTTCCTGCCTTGTCCGTTTCTTCACCCACATCACGTCTCACACCTTGCAAGCCTCGTCCTTGATACTGAGCTGCCCTCTCAATTCAAAACCGGGTGTCCCTTCGTTATCCAACTCGTCTTTTGCCCAAGCAGCCGGTCTTCTACGATCAAAAGAGAATCACCCTCATTTTCCCAACCAAGTCCTCGACAAAAGTCCCGAACTCAACCACAACTCCAATCAAGATGCGCTCCTTCGTTTTCTTCGCCGCACTTCCTCTCCTTGCTTCAGCTTGGAACGAACACATGCTGTTGCCTCGTCAATCATCGGGTAATGGAACCATTTGTGCAGATAGCGACAAAGCCTGCGGAGACTTCTGTATTCCCAGCTCCTACACCTGCTGCCCGGATCTCGAGGGTGGATGTGCCTCGACCGATGTCTGTCAGAAGGGTGACAATGATGTCTATGGCTGCTGCCCCAGTGGACGAACCTGCACTGGCGACGGTGATGCAGAATATATTGACAGCGCCACCGGTGCCTCTGGCACCTCATCCTCAACGGCTTCGTCTTCATCCTCGACTTCTTCCAATGCCGCCGACTCAATGGCTCTTAACAACGGTATGCTCGTTGCAGCTGCCGCCGCCGGTTTCTACTTCGGACTGTAAACAACACCGCATATAACATGACCGTCATGGTCCGCCACAGAGTCTATTCGCACGCATACAGAGGAGACTTGTTCTCCAACTCACTATCTGGCGGCTTGGAAAGAGCATCGGGCATCATGAATTATTTTCGGCGTTGATATCATTGGTGTATGATCTGAGGAAGATGGTGCGATTGGTTCATTGATATCCTCTACAGTCTGGGGCTATAATTGTGCATACAATAACTATTTCTAAATCCGATGTCCACTATTCATTCTTGCATCTGTTGTCGAGGGACAAAATAGATATTCTGATCGTCCCGTCCCAGGTACATTCTCGGTCCCAGTCGTGAATACTGCGTCACCCTCATGCTCCAGTGTAATAATCGGCTTCGTAGTATATTAGCATCGTCTCCGTACGATGCCGAGCAGTACTTTGCGGAGAAACCGGTCAACTTCGTATGACTAACACTATCAAATAGTAACAGAGCCAGATCTAGATCTCTCCGCAAAATCGAAAAAGCCCACTATGCCTCTGGATACATTTTGCGTCCAGATGAGCACTCATGGAAGATCTCGGTTAACCTTCCACCAATGGACATGTGCTTGCCCCTTTATTTCCTCGGATGCGCCTTCCTTGGATAACTGGGGAACAATAGCCTCTATACCAAATCAGGTTAACCATTTGTAGATTTCTGAGCAGACTACGAAGTTGTACCCATATGCAGCATGGTCAACACCGAGGCTCAAACAAAAGAACGCTTTCAACTCCAACCAATACCTCCCAATTCTACAAAGTTATAACACCTTGCCGACATCCGACCTGACTCGTGCGTCAACTCGTTCGTGGAACCAAGCCAATTCCAATGACTAAGATTTCTTGCTGCCTCGGTGTGCCGCGCCGGACTTGCTTAACCCTTAGCGGGGTATGCCCCAGTCCCCCAGACCAGATCTTCCCACACCACTGACTCCACGATTCGGCATTGCTCCTTGGGTGGTGGATTGTGGCTGTTCTCATCATCTCGTGGACCCTCAATTCTTGAGGAGACGTAGATGTAGCGATCAAAAATGCTAGGCATCCCTCCTCTGTAGACAGGGTCGTTCCTCTTGCCTGGCCTTGTCCTTTGAGCAACTTGGTTTGTTATAACGCATTCGTCGCTCAGTTGTGTCAAGGCGAGACTGTAGCAGCATCAATAGTGGGATAATGGCGTCCACAGCAATTCATCGTTCGCGTGCGCCTCCGCCGGTGCTTCCTACCAACATTTCGATATCCGAGTTTCTCCTGACTTACAATCCTGATGATATACCAGATGACAAGGTTGTTCTGTGCGAATTCGATGATCCAAGCAGATCTCTCACGTACGCGGGTGTTCGGCAACTTGCTGCCCAAGCTGCCGCAGGGCTAATAGCAACTCTCAACATGAAGAAAGGTGACACCATTTGCATTCTTGGAGAGAACTCGGTCAATTGGGCTCTGTTGGCACATGCTATTCACTGGGCTGGAGGCTGCTTTTGGTAAGCTGTCGATACGAGCTTTCAATGCCGTTCTAAATGATATCCTAGTGCAGTGAATCACCTCGCTACGGCATATGAATTGGTGCACTACTTTGATATTGCAGAGCCCACCGCCGTTGCCACGTCGCCCGGAAATCTAGCGAAGGTCCTACAAGCCTTAGATCTGGCACCAAAATCTTTCCCCAAGCCTCAGATCATCATCCTCGAGGATGGCACAACAGGGTCATCTTCTGCAGGCTTGAAATCTGTAAGTCTTTGCCCAGTGACATTCACGTATCTTTTGCTAAAGTCCCCAAAGTTCCCTGCCGACTTTATGCGATCAGAGCTTTCACCATTACCTCCTCTGGACCTCTCGACAAGTGACACCAGGCAGGTTCCGGCAGCCATGTGTTTTAGTTCTGGGACGAGTGGAAAACCAAAAGGTGTACTTTTGAGTCACTATGGGCTTATCAATCACATGATGTGCCCTCGTGCTACCGACCCTGCACTTTATAATGGCTTTCACAGAGAAGTTTTCTTTCCTCCATGCAAGCAAATGTCATATATTATGTATAGGCACCCGACTAATGGCATTCTAGTCCCACATATTTACGGCATCGTTGCCGCCGTATTTGCAAGCGCCTACATGGGCAGTTATATTGTTGCCATGAAACGATTCGACTTCAAAGCATACGTCCAAAGATGCTCCGAGATTAAAGCTACAATTCTGAGAACGGTGCCTGCCACTGCGGTTTTGCTGGTCAAAGAGCCTTGGGTCCGCGAACTTGACCTGACGAGCGTTCGCTTCATAGCTTGCGCTGGAGCCGCGCTGCAATCTCAAGTGGTTGAACAGCTGCAACAGATTTTAGGTGGCGTAGATGTTATTCAAGGCTATGGGTACGGTGCCTTTTTGGTAAGCTGAAGAAACTCAGTGCTTACTGGTCACAGGATGAGCGAAGTCAGTATATCGACATTAAGGGGCAATTGGGCACCCATGAAGGCTGGAAGCTGCGGCAGGCCGTTTGCATCGACGTACTAAGCCCCTTACCATATTCTTAGCGCCATACTAATCGTCAGCATTCAGTTCCGTTCGAGTTGTCGATGATGATTTCAATGACGTTGGGACAGATGCCCAGGGAGAGTTTGTTGTAAGGTCAGCAACAATGTTCATGTAAGTGCCTACTCCAATCTCTCAATGGTCACCAAAGCTGAACGGATCAGGGGCTACAAGAAGAACGCCAAAGAGACCGAATCCTCGTTTAAGGAGGGTTGGTTCTGTACCGGCGACATCGGAAAGGTCGACAAGGACGGTTTCTTCTGGCTGACAGATCGAAAGAAGGAATTGATCAAGTACAAAGGGTACGACACTCGTTGACTTAGCCCAGATATAAATGCTGACAATGATTCTTTCTGGCAGCAACCAAGTTCCCCCTGCAGAGATCGAGGATGTTCTCCTCTCACATCCAAAGGTGAAAGACGCGGCAGTTTGTGCGATCTTTGACGAGGCCGATCAAACTGAAGTCCCAATGGGTTACGTTGTGATTGAAGGCTCTGCCGACGAGGCGAGTACGAAAAGGACGTTGCAAGAGATTAACGCGTATGTCAACGAAAGGGTATCTCCCTACAAGCGACTTAGAGGTGGTCTCGAGAAGATAGACGAGATTCCCAAGGGACCCACTGGTAAAGTGCTCCGTCGTGCACTTCCAGCGCGACTTCTTGCAGAGAGCAAGGCGGCACAATTGAAGGCAAAACTTTAGTTGGGTAGCGACCACATACATCCTTGATGTACAAGCTGAGAAAGTCAGGAGAAATGGGGTGGAAAGAATTCTAGAACAGAGCTCTCTTTTGGCCTCGGCTCTCAACACGAGAGAAACAATGTATTGGCTACGTTCACTCTTGAAATCTGCTACACTTCTTATGTACAGATCAAAGTCGAGACCCACGCTTCTTTGCAGCCGCGAATTCTTGTCTCACAGCCAAATCGGAGATGATTTCTTCACTCCCTCCCCCCACGACCAGTAATCTCAAATCTCTACTGATCTGCTCGACATTTCCACCCACACCACCACGTTGGTAACCAGCGCCTCCAAAGACCTGCTGGGCTTCGCGGTTGGCCAATTCCAGCAGTCGCCCAGCATGGATCTTGGCCAGTGCTAGTCGACTGGCAACATCACTCTGCCAGCCATTCACCTTAATATGGTAGGCGATCTGTTCGAGCCACGCCCAATGTGACTCGATATATCGAGCCAGCGTCACAAACTTGTGACGAATGATCTGGTGTGCCACTAACGGCTTCCCAAAGGTTTCTCGCCGGTGCGAATACTCCAGCGCATCAGCCAGACATACGCGTGCGTATCGATTCATCTTGACGGCCATAACAAACCGCTCGCTGTTGAAATCTGCCAGAGGGTTGAAAGGTTAACAGCTGACTTGCCAGAAGGCTTTGATGTCCTTACTGCTCATCATGATCGGAAACCCTTTGTTTTCGGGTCCGATAAGGTTTTCGCATGGGACGTGAACGTCCTCTAAATCTACCCATGCAGTTCCTGGTGTAACAGGTCAGCTCACAATTGTTGGCCAGATACAGAGGTCGATTCAGTGCCATACCGCCGGCATTGTTTCCACTGTTGTGGATCTTTCTGGCCGAAAATCCTTTCAAGTTTGTTGGAATCACTAGGACTGAGATGCCTCCCGCTCCTGGTCCGCCAGTCCTGACGCCAGTGGTCATATGCGACGCCGTCAGAGCGCCGGTGATCCATTTCTAGGTCAAATGGTTAATATCTGGGTATTTCAGGGAAATAGCAGTAGAACAATCATGTTAGGGGACGGAAGATATACCTTGTGGCCGTTGACAATGTAATGCTTGCCATCTGCAGATCTCACCGCCGTTGTTTTCAGATTGGCGACATCAGATCCACCTGTTAGAATTTTTTAGCTCCTGGCATAAGGGACCATTTATGGTGACCAAAGCCAAGTAACAACCTACCCGTAGGTTCAGTCGATCCCAGACATAGACGAGTCTCTCCGGTGAAGATTCCCGGAAGCCATTTCTTCTTTTGTTCGCTCGTGCCATGGTGAATGATGGGTGGGGCACCGATCGTTGAACTCCCCATGAGGCCGGAAAGCGCGCCACAATGGGCTCGAGAGGTCTCGTCATGAAGGATCATCAAGTGGAAGACATCCCATTCTATTGCTTTCCGTTAGCACCAATATACATCTCGGGGTGCCGTTGCAACAATTACCCTCATCTGGCACTCCAGCTGGAAGTGAAACGCCAGGTCGGTATTCTTGGGGAATTTCAGGAAATGAAAGCCCAGCTTGTGCAAACTTGACAGTGGCCTAGTCCTCGGCAGATGAAGCATGAGAATTGGTCAATATGGCGATACATATGTTGCTTACCTCGAGGGGAACATGGCCACTTTCCTCCCATTCGTCAGCATAAGGAATCACGTTTGATTCCATGTATTCTCGAATATAAGCTCGCAACTTTCGATGGCTCTCTCGATAGTAAGGTGAATCGAGAGCATTGTACCAGGCCGGCTCTGCCCACGGATTTGGGTCACCAAATGGCTTCATCGTCACCAGTGAGGTCAGTGATTAAGGGGGAATTCGTCACTTGAATTGCAGGACTTGCAAGGACTATCAGCATAGCAACGTCGATGCCACCAACAGTGAATGAATGGCTCGGGCCTTTGCCCGAAATAGTCAACCCCTGTAGCTGGTGACCTCGATCGTCAGCGACAGAATGTGTGCGGCCTCTGAACCGAGCCAAAACACTCCTGAAGGGGGTCCATGATTCACACAGGCTGATAAGCCCACTCACCATCTTACCGAGGCTAGAGAAACTTGCCTAGGCTCCACCGAGAGACTTTTGTATAGACTTAGACATTACCGAGCTGTTATTGCACGAGGAGATGTTCCCCGCCTGCATGGCTTATTAGTTAGAGGGATTGAACAAGACACGAGTCAGGTAAATCCCAGGAAGATGATATCCAATATGTACAGCATACTTGGCATTGCTTTGACGAGAGGGTGTCTACAATATAGACCAATTGGTGTTGTGTCACTTATAGACAAAGCGGAGAGACTGGGGAGAATGGTCAAATGCAGTGGCTTCCCCCGCCTTTATGCCAAGTCAGATTGACTCCACCGACGAAGGTACCCCAGCCCCTAATCGACCTCATGCTAGACATCAAGAATTTTCATGACTCGTTCAACTGATCGACATCATAAAAAGGTGAACCGTTCTGTGGGGATTCTCGTGAGAACATCGAGTGCTGTGTGTTGCGTGGAATCTGGGGAGGTTTACTTCGGACTGATGGAGCTCGTCAATTACACTCCCGCGTTCCATGGCGCTGACTTGCGGGGTGATCTTCCGGGAACCAAGTGATATACTTGTAGTGGATACGTGACCAGGACATCTCGTGGCTTATACTCGCTCTCAACGGTCGATTGTTTTATCTCGGGCTGCCTCTGTGTGTCAGCTAGTTTACACCTAGATTCAAGCTATAGGTAACATGATATTCAGATTGGATGTTGGAATCCTTCGAGACACGAACCCGATTGAATGATGATGATGACGACGGCGTATGTGTTACTTCCTATCGCTAGGATATATCATGCTAATTACGACTGCTATGTCAGGCGCAAAAGCAGAAGTGAAGAGCGACATGTTAGTCAAGTCTAAATTGAGCATAACGCGATACAGAGCATGAGCGAATCGGATTTGTTGGCTAATCCCTTGACATCAGATGCGTAACACATATTTCTCCTTTGAATCTAGAATGAGAAGTCTTGGATCTTGACATCGATCCAATGGTTTCACGTGTGTCTTTACCTGTTCCATTCGCGATCAGTGCCGATCATCCGTAAAGGTCACTTGTCTAGACTTTCAACCATTGAAGTACCCAAGGATGCACTTCCTGCATGCCACACCCGATGACTTGGCTTCTCTCGTTCTGGTCTGCCATGCCACACATGAGTAACAGTGATCAAACGACGCATGCCCTCTTGAGGTTACGGGGATGTACTTTTCCGATGATCTCGGCACCAAGTACTGCTTTCCACTACCTTTAAATATGGGATACAATACACATGTAGCATTGGGCAGCACTCATGCCCATTCCATAGTGGAAAGCTATTCACCACCTGTCCAGTCCCACCGCAAATATGTCTACGCCGGCACAGAATGACAACCCGAGTCTTGAACCAGCCGTCCACGTGACACAGACTGCTGATGTTGCTGCGACTCCCCTTGCCGCAGCCCCTGCTGCCCATGTGGCCGAGTCCAAGGACATCGATATCAAGGCTGACAAAGAGGAGATATGGGAGGAAGAAACTGCTCGAACCAATCCCTACGATGAACAAGAGATCAAGCGCACGATGCGACGGATCGACGTCATTGTCGTTCCTGTCTTGACAGTCTTCCTGGCCTTTTGCTTCATTGACAGAGCCAACATGGGCTTAGCTGCCGTCGCTGGTATGTCAGCTGAGTTGGGCTTGGTGGGATACCAATACTCCATCACATTGTTGCTGTTCTTCCCTGGTTATGTGTTATTTGCACTTCCAAGCAACTACCTGCTGTCTAAGATGTCTGTCCGCATCTGGCTATGTACCTTAGGCTTGGGGTTTGGCCTGTTCACCCTAGTCATGGGGTTGGTTCAAAACTTTGACGCCCTTGCCGCCATGCGCTTCTTCTTAGGTGTCTTTGAAGCTGGGTGAGGCCGACCACTTGGTATTGTGAAGGAAATATTTGCTAACTTTCGTCTCCTCTAGCGTCTTGCCAGCCATTATTGTTGTCCTTGGGTCATGGTATCCAAGATATAAGTTGGGAAAACGCGTGGCCTTTGTCTATTGCGGGGCAGCTTTGATTGCAGCTTTCGCTGGGCTTCTGGCATGGTGTTTCTCACGCATTAGCACAGGCTCATATCAAGGCTGGCGGTGGATCTTTCTCCTTGAGGGCGTCATCACCATCGTCGTCGTCATCGGCATGTACTTCATTCTGGATGAGTATCCACAAAATTCGCGGCTGTTGTCCCAGACACAAAAGGAAGTTGCTCTTCATCTCATCAGCCAAGATCGTCAAGAGAATGTCGACGAAAAGATGACGATCAAGATCGTACTATCCAACATGAAGGACATTAAATACTGGATCTTTGGACTGATTTATATGTTCTCGGCTTCTGCAGCATACAGTATCTCCTATTTCATGCCATTAATCTTGAACGCACAAATGGGATTTACTGGAGCAGTGAGCCTACTCTTGAGTACTCCGCCGAATGTTTGGGCCTTTTTCGTTGCCACAGGTTTGACTGTGTTGTCGGACCGGTACAAACGTCGAGCACCTTTTATCATTTTCTTCGCTAGTAACGTCATCCTCGGCGTTTCTTTGACACGATGGGGACCAAACACAGCTACACAGTATATTGGTCTGTTCTTCACGTTAAGTGGAATTAATGGAGGACTGTCCACTACCATCAGTTTTGCTCAAAATAATGCGCCCACCCGGGTCAAGCGCAGCGTCTGCTCTGGGATTCAATTATCATGTGGAGCCTGCGGCGGCATCATTGGCTCTATGATCTTTCGTTCTCAAGACGCCCCAACATACACTCCAGGTGTCGCCACGACGATGGGCATGATGTGTGTTCAAATTTTCCTGGTCACTGGACTGACTCTATGGATGGCGAGACAAAATAAGTTGCAAAGGGAGAATGGAAAGATTCTCGAAGGTCAACCAGACTATCAGTATACTTTGTAGGTAGGAGAGGTTACTATACGAGCTTCGTTTGTCTTCAAGCGAGGCCAGGCAGCCAAGGGCCTTTGATAGTTGTGAAAATGAATGTGATGAACTCTATCAACAACCAGAAAAATACAGGTGGTTCTTCAATCACTCTTTTCGCCTCAACCTTGTCGCCCAATACCCCAGCTCCATCGTCCAAGCAAACTCAAAAGCAGCGGGATATATCTACGGAGAAGTGCGAAGCACAAGTGGACCCGTATATGGTCGATCACTCGAAAGATTCCAGTGTAAGTACAGAATGGATCCACCGAATCTTCATGCTTATCTCTCTACCAACGAATCAAAACAACCCCAGGCCTCCGCCATCGATAAGATCTAGTCTTATCAACATACTCTAAAAGCCATGTTACACCGTCGCCTACTTTCCAGACATGCTACTGGTACAAGCTGCAGCATCAAGCGGCCTAACATGGTTCCTTGAAGGTGCTGACTCAACACATTTGCCAGTTGAAGTCGACTGGTCAACCATGGATCTTCTTCCCTATTCTAGCCAAGGCCTCTTCGGCAATTGGACTGGTGACCGACAGTACATGTTCCTATTTGAGGAGCTTCATCCTCGTCATCGGTGTCTGTCGAGAATCTAAGTGGGCAGAGGTGAGAGGTTCGTACAGGTTATATTACTATCCAGGTAAATGATGCAAAGAATCGTTGGTCAACAATTACTGGTCAAGATGCCCTTCAGCTTCTTGATACTCTCAATTGGGATTGCTTATCTGGTGACACTCACAAATGCGCAGAATGCTACCGTCGATCTCGCCTCCGCACAGATCCTGACTGATCCTTTCCCTCATTATTACCCAAATGAGGATGCTCCAGCAACCGACATCTTTCCCATGCCAGCATGCCAGGGCGTGACACTGGAAGAGGCCACCATCGATCAGCTGCAGGAGTACATGGGCTCTGGCTCACTCACTGCCGTGGACTTGGTCAACTGCTATTTCGCCCGCTACACCCAAGTCAACAACTACGTCAATGGCATCTTGCAGTGGAATCCGGATGCTCTGGCGATTGCCCAGATCCTCGACGCTGAGAGAGCCGCAGGTCGGGTCCGGGGTCCTTTACACGGGATCCCATTCCTCGTCAAAGACAATATTGCAACCAAGGACAAGATGGACACGACGGCGGGATCATGGATGCTGGTCGGCTCCATTGTGCCTCGTGATGCCTTTGTCGTCACTAAGCTGAGAAATGCCGGTGCTTTGCTCTTGGGCCATGCTACGCTTTCAGAATGGGCCGACATGTGCGGATCTCTCTCTCCCCATACTGAATCCCCCAGGTGCAAGTTGAACATTTCCTAATCATCGAACAAATATAGGAGGTCCAACAACTACTCCGAGGGATACAGCCCACGAGGCGATCAAGCTAGAAGCCCCTACAATGCAACGGTGAACCCGGGCGGCAGCAGTTCAGGGTCCGCCGTCGCCGTCGCCGCAAATCAAGCCATGTTCTCACTAGGTGAGTCGACTCACTGACCTGTCAATCTGTCAATCACACGGTTCGAGGAGTCTCATGATTTCAATGTCACACAGGAACCGAGACCGACGGCTCTGTCATCAATCCCGCCGAACGCGCGTCCGTATGTGGGATCAAACCATCCGTAGGCCTGACTTCCCGCGCCGGTGTGATCCCCGAGTCCATTCATCAAGACACCGTCGGCACATTTGGACGGACTGTACGCGATGCCGTGTACGCTCTCGACGCCATCTACGGCGTCGATGAGAGGGATAATTACACTCTAGCCCAGATTGGTCATACTCCTGAAGGTGGATACGCCCAGTTTTTGACCAATAAATCGGCCCTGAATGGCGCTGTTTTTGGTCTCCCGTGGGATAGCTTCTGGGCTTTGAATGAACCTGGACAGAACGATGATCTCTTGGAACTCATTGCATTGATCGAAAGTGCTGGTGCGACCGTTATCAACGGGACCGAGTTGCCGGGTTATGAGGTTGGTGGATTTTTCGACTCTTTGATCCAGATATCGCGTTCAGAAGCAAATTATGTCTACTAACCAGCTCCTTACCGGTATTAGGACATTGTAAGCCCCGATGGCTGGGATTGGGATTATGGTGGAACACGGGGCTATCCCAATGAAAGTGAATACACGGTGGTCAAGGTCGACGTAAGTCCAACCAAGAGCACAAGCTCACATATCCTTTCACCCCCCGTTCCCCCCCTCAGCCTTGTCAAATACTCTCAAACATCATAATGCTAGGTAGTAGGTAGTTCCCAAAAAAGGCTGACGCATTCTATCTTTCACCCAGTTTTACAACAACATCGAAGCATATCTATCAGAGCTAACCAATACTCCGATCCGCACACTGGAGGATATTGTTGAATACAACATCGCGAATCTAGGCAGCGAAGGAGGCCTACCAGGGATTCACCCTGCGTTTGGTTCCGGTCAGGATGGATTCCTCGCGTCTCTGGAGAGTGGTGGAGTCATGGACGAGACTTATTTCCAGGCCTTGGAATACACGCAACGGACGACACGTGAGGGGATTGACGGGGCTTTGGGAGGCCGCGGCGGTGCTGTCAAAGTCGATGCTTTGCTCGTTCCACCGGATGTCGGCCAGACATACCAGATCGCTGCCCAGGCCCAGTATCCCATGGTGACTATTCCGGCTGGCATGGGTGGTGTCAGTGGTATGCCCTTTGGTCTGGCCTTTATGGGCTCCATGTGGAGTGAACCCGAATTGATTCACTGGGCTAGTGCTGTCGAGGATCTGCAGTTGACTTCCTCGACCCCTTGGAAGAGACAAAGGCCGACCTGGGGAGATTATCTGGCAAAGAACTTGCCTGTTCTCTGGGCTTGACCGCTGGAACGTGACACTCATATCTCATTACACAGGTCTTTTAAATATACACATAATGGTTTGGATGTGGCTCTGGGTTCTCGCTATATTCAAGGAATCTAGTAATCAATAGAGGAACGTCGATCCAAAACTAGTTACTCACTGAGCCATAAGTTTTTCTCAATCCCTTTAAGCCCAAGTATGTACAATCCATTTTCATTTATCTACAAAATGCCGAATCGTATGCTGTTTCATCCTGGAAATGCCATGACAACTCATTTATATGCTCGCTCTTCTTGGTGCCATTGCTCTAAGTATCTTTTTCCCCTCCTCATCATTACCACCCGTTTTCCATGTTTCAATAATACCGCTCAGTTCTCCCTCGCTCTTGAGCTTAGCAATAAATTCTTTGGCGTAGGCGAATCCAACCTCATAAATTTCGTCAAACTTGGCAAAATCCAATGTGCCATATGCGTCAATAGGAGGTCGCATGTATAGACATCCTGGTGTGGTTTTGGCCCTTTCTAGCGCGTCCACGGAACTAACGTAGGCAAGCCGAGCTTGTATGTCAGACAGAGTAGGCGGGTTAGGTACTGATGAAAATGGATTCCAACGATTGAGAAGCGCCCAGAAGCCAGAGAGAGAATCGCCGTACTGTTGTGGGGTATCGTCGTCGAGACTTCCAACATCAACCGCAAAGACAACATCAGTGCCGAGACTCTTCATGTGTGCAACTGTCAAATTATCAATGTAACCTCCATCGAGAAGCATCGAGCCTTCATCACAGAGCGGTGGTAACAGGCCAGCGAGAGACATGCTCGCCCTCACGTACCGCCAAGCATATCCTGAAGTATGGATTTCTGCACGAGACTTGCTGATGTTGGTAGTGTTGCAATAAAAGGATAACCAGAAATCCTCTATCTGACTGTCGCCAAATGTCTTGAAAATGCCACGGTTGAATTCATGACCAGTAGTATATGACGCCGTAGGATAGGTGAGATCCAATGCAAATCGCCACATGCTCCCCATACGACCCGCAAATTTCTTTGCACGTCCGTACATGGGCACAACATCTGCATCACGAGCATACAGAGCACCAATGAAAGCTCCAATGGACGTGCCGCCAATGATGTCAATTGGAATGCCGGCTTCTTCGAGTGCTCGGATGACGCCAACATGAGCAATGCCACGAGCTCCCCCGCCCCCGAGAACAAGACCGACAGATTTGCCACATAATCGGCGAGCCAGTCGGTGCAAGTCGCCCTTGAAAGGGGAATCTGCAGAGTATAGTGGCCCTTGCCGGATTCTGCGCGACGTATACTTCTGTATCTCGGCTTGAATCACCTGAACCCGGTGTTTGATCGCTGTCCCCAATCTTCGAGGTTGAGCATGCGGAGTGGCTTCAGAGCTGAGGCGGAATGACATGTGGATATGATGATGATCTCCATTGATCCACATCCTATTGCGAAGCCATTTCCGTGTCAAGCCTGGTTGCGGAAATCGATCCAGGTGAAGGAGTACGAGATCTTTTCTGGCGGTTGCTTTTTGGCCAAGAAGGAATCGCTCGTACTCACCAATATTGGGAGAGCTCTCGGCAAGACCAACCAGGAGGATGCAATCAGCCTGTGCGATGCATGTCTGTGTCCATGGTGCATTGACATTTGTATCCGCGATGTACAGGAGCATACCGTATTTCTCTTCCAAGTCTGTAAGATACTGGGACAGCTTTAGCCTACCCATGCGACTGAACGCATGCCGACCAAGATGGTTCAAGATTATCGCTTGGTTTAATAGCGAGACACCACTTTCGACTCCAATTTGAGTCAAGGCCGCCATGAGTCGATTACCGAACTCGACAACGGGAACCCCAGCAGTCACAGGCAAGATTGCGACTGTGCGCAAGTTCAAAGTCGAGGTGTTGGATTCCGCAAGTGCGGCCTTCTTCTTGTCTTGTCCGTTCTCGGTGAAGGGGGCATCGAGAAGAGCGCGCATCCGCTGTGCAATGAGCTTCGAGATCTGAATGGTAATGCTGGGATGCTCTTGAGCCAGACTGTTGAAAAGACTCCTCGGGAACTTGGCCAACTCTGTCTCTCGAATCGCATGTAGTGTGGCGGGTCTTGTGGCTTCGGTCATGACCTCCAATTCGCCGATACTTTCGCCCTGGCCGTATTCTCCCAAGACCTTCATATGGCCTTCTTCGGTTTCCCGAACAGCGCGAAGGCGACCATTCAGGACGATATATATAGCATCGCTGTCATCTGCCTCATGGTAGATGACTTGACCTGCATCGACTTGCAACCATTCGAGGGCAAAATCAATGTGTAAGATCAAACGCGGCAGAAGATTAGTAAGTCGTTTCGCCATGGTGAGAAGCACAATTGGATATTTTTCTGCGACTCGTTCCAGAGAAGACCGAGGCAGAAAGCCAACATACACGTCGGTCTTGGCCGTTACATCTGTGAAAGATCTGTACGAAGACAAAGTTCCAACGTAGCCGGCAATCCCGCCAGGTTTAACTAGGAAAAGAGACTTTGAGACCAATCTCTTCCCTTCCTTGACATGGCCTGGAACTGAGGAGGCGCGGGACGAACTTGTCTTGGTTCGTCGAAGTCGTGGCATCGGCTCTCGGGACCCCTGCCGTGGATGTGAGTTGGGGTGTCTATGTTGGTTTTTGTCTTCCTTCTCCTCAACTGGGATGCTGACATCTAGAAAGCCATCGATGACATAGTACAACCCCGGATTTCTCTCGCCTTGTTCGACGAGAACGGAGCCTTTGGGAAAGAAGACAATTTCGATGTCGGTCATAAGTTCTTCGTTCAGTGTTCGTCCAGGGCCCATGCTGGTAATGGATGTGGCGATTGAGTCAGAATCTCCGTCTACAGAGTCTTCGAACGGATCAATGAAGCCAAATGCGTTGTTGAAGATGGCAGTCTGTCTCTTCGAGTCAAAAGAGACAAGGCGGGGCGACTGCTCAACAGACACAGGACCACGCTTGAGAGGTTGGTTGCCATCATCGCTCAGACCCAGTGCTTTGGCCATGCAAGCCAGTACAGATTCACGGAAGAGACTGTCTTCGTTGATAGAATCTTGGCGGTGCAACTCCTGGCGGTGTGGCATCTTGCTCTCGAAGGAAGGAAGAAAAGGCGGCTGCTCTCCAACCCCTAGTGGACTGACGTTATCTCGACCAGGGCTGTCAGAAGGGCTCATGCTGTTCCAACTTGATACATTCCTGAGATGGAGGCTCGTAGGGCGTACGATCGGTCGAGAGGGTGAACGCAAATCACTGGAAGCCGGGGCGTCGTGTCTTCCTGATTGAGGTGTATCCTGCGAAGGTAGACCGCGGGTATTTCTCATAGCTGCAGCCCTTGCAGCCGAAGCAGCGTCTCTGCGAAGACCACTGGAAGATCTTCGTCTGATGGCGCTCGGATTGTGCAAAGCGATACCCTTGGTGCCTTCCTCTGGTCCAATGCGGTCCCTTTCTTTCGCAAACTTGTCTCGCAGACGATCCAAGGCGTTGCCACGCAGAAGACCCGGCAAGTCATAGCTGGTGTACTTGTTCATCGCTTTCTCAATCTGGAGGACTTCAGAAGTAAGTCCCAGATACTGGTGGGCTGTGGATAACGTCACACGATGCAATCTTGTCAGAATCACTTGTACAATATGCGCTGTGGCTTTAGGGTAGACTCGAGTCAAGCGACGGAAAGCACTTGCAGGGATGATGGCGATAGTCGTATCTACTACAGCCCTCGCGACGATATCAGGATGCACCGACTGGCTTGGTTTTGAGTCAGAAGGTGGAGATTGCCGTTGCCGTTCTTCAAACCCACTGTCTAGGGCCAAAGGGGGAACTCTGGGCAATCTTGGGTTGCTTGTCCCTGCTTGTGATGAGAACGGAACGGACGGTGTCGACGGCTGACTTGTGGGGCTAGCGAAGGCCGACTCTGGGGTGTGACGCTCGGCCATATTAGGAACGGCTCCATTGGGTTCGCCATGGCGTAGCTTGACGTCTTCGGTGAAGAGTGACAGGATTGAGAACAGTGAAGACAAGGAAGCACCGTTCTTGACTTCTGTCAGTAGTTGGTAGCCTTGGTTGCCTTCGTGGTAGCCATCTTCGTCATTGAAAAGGTCGACCTGTGCGACGCCACGTTCGGTGGGTTCTCGTAAAGACTTGACAAAGATTTGAACAAGGCCGTCAACAACGAGGCAGAAGCCCTTTTCTTCCTCTAACAGTAGTGTTTCACCGGCAATAAGCTTTTTTGTTTGCATAGTCCTAGTCAACTCGTGGAAGACGGGGCGCTCAAGATAACCAAACACCTTGATGGCGCTAAGGAATTCGTCAAGGTAATTTGAAAGGCCTGGTTTTGAGTCTCCCTCTTGCGTGTCCGGAAACAAGTCTATCTGCGGCTCTTTTCGTGGTGGTTCCTGTGGCAAGCGGGTGTAGACATTGAGGAATCGGTAACGAATGAACCAACTGATGGTGGAGATAACAGCAAGGACAAGTATGAGCCTCGGACAGGTCAGCAACGTCATTGACTTGATTTGCAGTACTCACAATGTAGTGAAATTCATGGTAAATGTCAGACTCATGGAAAAGAGGGTAAACAACCATGTTGGTAGGGTGATGGTAGTAAAGGTAATGAGCCAGAGAAGAGCGATAGGGAGGAACGACAAGATAGATATGAGAGCGTAGCCGAAGCCAGAGGCCTTTCCTACCTGGGTTGTTGAGGGCATGGTCTTGATCACCGAGGAAGAGAGGGGATGAGTGAGAGTCGAGGAGGGGAGCGAGGAGAAGGCACTCGCTCCAGTCGCCGAGGACTCGATGGAAGCCATGTCACTTGTGGTAAGTGAAGGTCGAGAGACGGTTGCATTTTTAGCGGAAACTGCTGGCAGGCATTTCACGCAGTGACAAGTGAGTATCAAGTGACTAGAGATGGTGCAAAAGCTATGGCAGTGTGTGCAACCATTGTTGATGTGAGATGAGTGCACGTGAAAGTGGAAAGTGGAAAGCGTTAATCCAAGGGGAAGTGGAGGCAAGTGCAACCCATACATAACCATGCGAAACGCGCAGTTTCCCCAATAATAACAAGACTTCGAGTACGGAGTACGGAGCCCGGATGGACAATTCTCCGACCTGATATAACCACGTGATCAGGCTGCGCATTTCTGATCCATCCGTGCCGTCTCAGACTGATTGTTATCTCTCAATAAAACAATACAATTTCGTATATGTCGTGATCCCAGACTTCAGTCGCTTGCTTGAATCAAACCCTCTGGTGGACCAATCTGCCACCAACCCACACCCGGCTCACACTGCGATCGTCGCCGTTCCAAACCCACTTGGCCACTCTATCCTCCCAATTTTCCCACCCAAAGACATCCACTCCATTGTCCTGACCCTCGCCATGCGCGTCGACATCTCCTAGAACAATCTCCTGTACATCCCACAACATACCCTCCTCAAATTTGCCGAGCCGCCCTTCCATGCTGACAACCTTTGCCCCTCCGACAGTGGCCAGCCACAGTCCTTCCGCCACCCCTAGGTTGTACCGACTGTCACCGCCCTTGAGATAGCCAACGTGCCGACTGACAATACAAGCATTTCGTACCGCATCGAGTATACTTGGGCTGTATCCACCACTGACATCTGTTCCCAGTCCAACCTCGATTCCCAAATCCAGCATTTCCCTCACCTGACAGAAACCACTCCCAAGTGCACTGTTACTTGCAGGGCAATGACTGATCTTGCTCTTCCTCTCTCGAATAGTTTCCAATTCTTCTTTGCTCATGTGCACGGCATGAGCCAAAATTGTCTTTCCGGTCAATAGACCCGCATGGTCGTAGACATCCGTATAACTCTTCCTGTCAGGAAACAGTTCCTTGACAAGCTTGACCTCGTTGACATTTTCCGAGATATGTGTTTGAACACGGAGATCCTCATCATTAGCCAAGGTTCCCAGCTGCTTCAGCGTTTCCTCCAAACAACTAGGTGCAAACCTCGGCGTGATGATATGGGCAAGTAAATCTCCACTGGGATCAAGTTTTCGACAATAGTCGATGCTGGCCTTGGAGTTAGCGATCGATGCCTCGGTACTTTCGTCCCTGTAGTAATCTGGACACATTTCTGGCCGGTCCATACAGACCCGACCGATATACGCCCGCTGACCTTTGTCAAAAGCAATGTCTGCGAGTAAGTTGGTGGCCTCCACGTGAATGGTGGCAAAATACGATGCCGTTGTCGTCCCCTGGGCCAACGTCTGGGCAATGACGCGTTTGTAGACAGCACGGGCACGGGCGAGCGGGTCTGGGGGCGTTGTGGCATCGGCATACATGGGAGAATTCGTGTTGCCAAAAGATGATTCGAGAGGGAAAGTGTATGTGGTGAGCCAGTCGAGCAAAGTGGATTTGCCGAAGATGCCGGCGTTGGGATATTGAGGTGCATGAATGTGTGTATCTGTAGATTGTCATGGAACTGATCAGCTTGAAGATATCCCTGAATTGGTTGAGGCGCTATTCGATTTCAAAGAACATGTCCACGTTTGAGCACCCTTTGGACACTCCCTTCCGCGGCTGTCGCTCTTAAAATCCCACCAGTCGACTTCGAATCGGCAACCAAGCTTAAGCAGGTGTGTGGCGACTTACCTATGAAACCAGGAAAGAAATATCCATTGTCGGGGGCGGTGACCACGGGCACCTCGACCCCAAACTTGCTCAGTGCATCGCTAGGTCCATTGACTGTCCAGTCCGTCTTCTCAATGATGCCCCTCCCATCATTACTTGAAACAAGGACAGCACCAGTCTGGATCAAGAGGTCATCCGGTGTCGGTGCGGATATGAAGCGACCAAAATAGATGGTTCGCGTCGCCATGAGTGGCGATCCCGTCTTGACCAAGCGATCTTGTCGCGCTCAAGATTCTCGACTGTTGTTATCGGACCCACGGTGATGATGATCGTGATGGACTATTTCGATGCTGAAACCCGTTGTGCTTCTTCGTGGACGCAATCGATTGCAAACGTGCTGGGCTTTAAGGAAACGAGCTGGGTTGCACCAACGTCCATACCATATAAAAGTCAAAAGGAAATCAAAACCTCCAGCTTCAAGATCAACCACCAATCGACCGTCCTCTTTTGTTGCTGATGAAGCTCTTATCTAGATGCCAACACCAAATGAAAGAAGCAATTTGGATCGACGGACCAATCAAAATCCACGGCACAGGCCATCGGCGCCCGCCGATGGATCCTCTGCCCCGGCTTTGTACAAAAAGAATCAACCTCGTCATAATTTGATGTTCGAAAAGCAACAAGGCTTGCGATGTAACATGGCCATACCCGCATTATAGAGACATTCAGGTTGGGTGTGCTCCCACAGTGACTAAAGTGGGCAATAATCATACATTGGGGCAGATGGACATCTAAGTATGGTCTCGCCAATTTCGCCCCGCTACAAATCCAAGGACAACGCCATCAAACAAACATTCATGAGCCTGGTCATTAATCTTCGTCGTCGCTGTCCATAATGAATCCCCCCACCCTGCGAACTCGACGAGTGGCGGGTTGAACATCCCCGTCGCTGTCTTGGTCTTCTGAATCGCCATAGTTGACGGTTTTTCCAATGGCCGTGTCGCGAGATTCTCGTGGCTGTGCTAGCTCGCGAAGACCAGGTCTTGACTTGGGTTCGTCTATTTCCAGTTCAGAACTTTGGGATGACATTGGCGTATCGTCTTGATCCAAGTCTTCATCGGAGAACGATGTCCTTTGAGGCTGCGACGAAGCCGTCTGGTCCTGCTCGTCGAGATCGGGCATGAGTAAGTCGTCATCGTCGTCATCCTCATCATCGACCGAGTCTGACTCCTGGGTCGCTGGCAAAGCAACTTTCTGCTTCTTCTTTTTCCCTTTCTGTGTACCCTTCTCCGCTGACTGGCCCAGTCCTAGTGCCATCTGTTCGCGGATGCTGGCCTCTTGTTGGAGTCGGACCTGCTCCTCCTTCTCAAAGAAGCGACGATCTCGCTCATCATCGGATTCATCATCGCTGTCTCGGATATATGCTTCACTCTTGATCTTACGTCTTCGTTCGAGAGCCGCAGCCTCACGAGCGGCCCTTCTCTGTGCAGCCAATTCATCGTCCACTTCTTCATCTCCATCTGCCCTCTTCCTCTTGCGACGAGACGCTTTGAGCTCGTCTAGGGCGTTCTTGGGTTTCTTTGTCCTCGGGTTGTCAGGAAACAAGACCTCTTCTTCTCCTTCGGAATCGTCAAGAAATCCATCACGCTGGGCCTCTTCATCCTCATTTGTCGCTCTCTTGTCCTTCTTGACCACGCGTCGTAACATATCCTCAGCCTCTTCGGTTTCGTCTGACCCTTGCCAGGGCGTTTCCTCATACTTCTCAATGGCCTTTTTGACTTCAGCCAAATTTTCAGATGACACATCGCCAGGTATGACCCAGCTGACTCCTACTGCATCATCGTCACCGATCATCTGAAACCGAGCCAGCCGCATGAGAAGTTTGAGTCGAGGGTTTTTGAACATAGCCGTCTTGATCTCATCAGAAGTTGGCCGCACGGTGATATATGTCGGTTCAACCATGTCGGGCTCTCTCACATCAGACTCGCTGTCCGCGGTGGCCTCGGCAGCAGCCTTCCTTGCCTCCGCTTCTGCCTCCCAGCCGTGCCGTTCATCGAAGGCGTGACCAAGGACATCCTTCACCCATCGAACCAAATCGGACTTTCCGTCCTTGATGAGAACAGTTACCACGATTCCGATCTGCTCTTGCAAGTCTCTGCCTGAGGCGGGTCGTACCTCTAGTTCGGCAGGATTTCGGCTGGCAGAAATAGTTTGCTTTTCATGCCCATATTCTAGGTAGTACAATGTGCTGTGGATCTTGCTGAACAGCATTTCCACAATCAACTCTGGTCTCTCATCGAGCTTCTTGATCATTTTCTTGAAGATCTGTCTGGAGATTTCCGACCACTCTTTGAACATGCTGTGCTTCGTGTCCAGACCTCCTGGGCCATTGATCATCTTGTAAAGAAGGGCAACAATGTCCACACGGTAGAGCAATACCGCTAGATCTTGTTTGAACGCAAGCCGATAGAAGAAACGATGTGCTCGTTTCAACTGCTCGACAGAGAGATCATTGTAGAAGTTGAGAAGAGAGATGTAAGTGTCAACCGATTGCTGCGTGGCGAACTTTGCAGAAAAGCGAGTAAAATCGAACTTGCGTTCTTTGGCAACCTGGAGGACGTCGACCATATCTTCGTTCTCCGACTCCTCATCCGCATTGAGCTCGTCATTCTGCTTCTTAGACTGCTTCTGAGCCTCCTTTCGTTTCTGCTTTGCTTTCCGTCGAGAGCGGATCTGAAGGTCGACATTTTCCTTTGAATAGCGCTCCAACATGCGCAGAAACACATGCGAGAGTTCCGTACAAGCATCGAGGTATCCGAAACCTTGATCTTTGTAACCCTTCAGGATGCCGATGATCCTGTCATGGGTGGATTCCTCGTAGAATATTCGATTCTGGATATTGTCTGCGATTTCCTGATCCTCTTCGAGACTACTTTGGGCCATCTCTTGGACCGTGAGGAGGATCTGTGTGAAGCATCTCATGTTGGCATTCAAATCTTGCCACTCTTTGTTGTCGAGTGATACCTGCATGAACCGATTGAGCATGATGAACGTTTCTTGATTGAGAACTGCTGCCACAAGAGAGTAACTCTCCTCCTCAAAATCAGTTCTTAGTTTGTCTTGCTTGACCTCTTTTTTGTACGACTCTCGGCGCGTACGTTCAGCTTCCAGAAACCAGGCAACGGTGTAGAAGAACTGCCGGTAATTGCTGTCTACTAAGCGATCGGCCTCTCTTTCAATGGCTTTCCGAAGATGAGTGAAGAAGGGATTGAAGCCTGAGTCAAGGAACTCCTCGACAAAGTTTCTCAATTTCTCGGTCGCCGAGGTGGTCAGACGAGTGGAATGATCGAAGTCGTGAATGGTGTGCTCCAAATCGCGGCGTTTCTGCTGAGGTTTGTTCCATTTTTTCGATTTGTCCATGTTGAAGAACGCCTTTTGGTCGTCCTTGAGGTTATCTTGACCCGAGATGGCTGACAACTTGTGGCCATCGCGTTTGACCCACAGCATTGTACCAAATCGACCGTGTCGACTCCACTGGCTCTTCTTTGCCGTTCGACTAGCCATATCCTCCACGGCCAAAGCAGCACTCAGATCAGTGATGCCTTGTTTCGTCGACTCGCTTTCCGTCATCCAGAGCTTCTTGGGGTCAACTCCCTTTATGAGATTGAATATGATGTCAAGCACAATGACATCCTGCAAATTGAAATCATCGCCCATGTTTGAACACATGGTTAGCAACAAGGCCAGGACATCTTGATCGCGGAAAGCCTCAATGGTGGCAGAACGAGAAACCTCAGCATCGAAACCTTGACTTGGCAGATTGGGGATTTGTTGAATGATGGCGACATTTCGAAAGAAGTAGAGCATCAACTTGAGGATACCTTCGTCACGATTAGTCCTGTCAGCTCGAGCTACAGCGATCGAAGGCAAGCCAATCCGAACAACCTGACGTAGAATACTGCTAGTGTCGCACGTCAAGATGGCGGCCTTGTAGAGGACTTGGGATTGTTGAATATAAGGTGTGTGTTTGTGGTGGTTCATGGTCATTTCTCCGGTGGTTTCAAGAGGCCATGTCAAGGGAACAAGAATCTCGAGGCAAGCCAACGCGACTCTGGCTTTCAGTTTGTTGTCTTTTCCATCTTCTGGCCAGGATGCGAGGATCGGAACAAGGTCTCCCCCCACCAATTTGGCCTCTGCGAGGCATCGAGCCACATCAAGGCGGTTATTCTTCTCATCATATAACTTGAGCCATCTCTTCAAATCGCGCAGACAGGCCAGTGCATCGTCACCAAGAACATAGCGTCCATCTTCATCGGTGCTGCTTCCTCCTAGCTGTGATCCATGTCAGAGTCGACAAATCCAGATTTCGAGGCAGGTAAGGAATACATACTGCATTTACCAAGCTGTAGACATATGCCCGCACTTCAGGGTGAACAGTTTGAGCTTTTTCGAAAGGATTATCCTCTTCCATATCGACGGCTAGAGGAGTGAAGTTGTCTCAGGCTCCCATTGTCGGCGGTTGATTGTAAAGCAAAATGGTCGTCGAGGTGGTGGCCTTGTGGTGACAATCGCAGCCAACATTGGGAAAATCATTTCCCCACACAACGCGTCGTGGCACGGCGCGTGGACGTAGACGCGATAAGTGGAATCGCGTCACATGCATGCGTATGGATGGCTAAATACTTTGCAGTATTCTTGGCCCACTGTTCAAGGTCCAGATGCTTCACCCTATCATCTAAGTGGAGCGGATCATCCAAAAGGCCGACGCGCGCCGACTTCAGGCCGATTGATTCTCTGACTCGCAACCGACCGGAGTTTTGCTGGTGGGGATCCGAGGCTCAAGACAAACACCCGAGACTTGAGAGACGATGACCTACGGTTATTGCCGGCCGATGCATGATGCTGCAATCAGCTCCAGTACCTCTAATAAAAAAGACTGAGCAGCACCATTCCGGTCCCTGGTATCTTGATCACGTTCAACTTCCGGTGGAGGTGCCTTGTAAGAATTCCAGTGTCTGCAGTGTCTGCAGCGTGTACAACTGCACTATAGGTCCGCTTCTTCCATTCGCTCCCTTCCTCTACCATCCTGATGGCTTCACTTTCGAGGCTTCCATCGCGAATGATGGCGTCGTCCAAACCAAATGTCGTCGCTTCCCAGCGGCTTGCCTCGATTAATCGCCATTTTTCTACATCTCCAACACGGGCTGCCGCTGAGGTGAAGAAAATCGGGGTTATTGGTGCTGGACAGATGGTGAGTGCACTGTTGACGAACAAAACGTCAATCCAAAATTACAATCAAATACTCACCATTTCTTAGGGTTTGGGCATTGCTCTTGTCGCCGCTCAAAAAGCTCAAGTACCCGTCACCCTCGTCGACAACTCCCAACAGTCCCTCGACAAAGGTCTCGCCTTCGCAGATAAACTCCTGGCCAAAGATGTGTCCAAACAGAGGATCACTGAAGAGGTGGCTAAAGCGACAAGAGCTAGATTAACAGCAACCACGGAAATCTCAGATCTTAAAGATGTCGACATGGTCATTGAAGCCGTACCTGAAATCCTGTCCCTGAAAGAGAAGATATTTGCGCAGTTGGCCGAGGTCTGTCCCAAGCATGCCATTCTTGCAACCAATACCTCGAGTATAAGCATCACCAAGATCGCCCGAGCCACTTCCAAGGACCCCACCGATACGTCGGCATCCTCCCGAGTTGTTTCGACGCATTTCATGAACCCCGTACCTGTCCAGAAAGGCGTGGAGATTATTTCCGGCCTCCAAACGTCGCCAGAAACTCTGGCAACCGCGGTTGCGTTCTGTGAGAAGATGGGCAAGATCCCATCGGTATCACAAGACATCCCTGGTTTCCTCGCCAACCGAATCCTGATGCCCTACATCAATGAGGCCATCATCTGTTTGGAGCAGGGAATCGGAAAGCGGGAGGATATCGACAGCATCATGAAGAATGGAACCAACGTTCCTATGGGTCCCCTGACATTGGCTGATTTCATCGGCCTTGACACATGTCTTGCAATCATGGAGACCCTACATGCCGGTCTTGGAGATAGCAAGTACCGACCATCGGTGCTTTTGAGACAGTACGTCGATGCTGGTTGGCTGGGCAAGAAGAGCGGCAAGGGCTTCTACGACTATAAATAGAGAGATTTGTCTTGAACGGCGGGATTTTCAGATGTCAACCAAAATAAAGCCATGTACAATGTGATCAAAACAACCATCGGCCACAGGACCTTGAATAAACTTTTATGCATTCATGACTTGTATCTTCATATGAAGCACGAGGAACCACATGACCTGATATCATGACTAGGTGAATTTTCGTCGAACAGCCTCTGGTCCTGCGCTAAACCTATTCTCCGCCCCAGTGAGCTTCGCATTAAACTCATCCAATCGTGCCAGTGGTAAATCCAGGAACAGATGTTTATTCTTCCACCTGACCTCGCTTTCAATCCAAGCCTTGTCCCCCTGCCCTGAACTGCTGGGTGGTGGAGGCGGCTCGGTGATTTTGGTGATAAGGTATGCTGTGCTCGCTTCTGCAATGCCATAAATCAAAACACCCAATAGTGGAATCTTGACCATGACGGCAAATGCGGCGGAAAACCCAAAGAGGACACCGCTGCGGTCCAAGAACCAGAGCTTTTTCTGAGCCTTTGTAAAGCGGATGCGGTGGAAGTAGGGCTCCAGAAGTCTGGACATGAGACTTCGGCTAGAAAAGTAAGTCTGCAGGAATGAGACCATGTAATGCTTAGGGATGATGAGACCTGAGGCGAAGATGATGCCTGCAGGGACAGGGCCCACCGATTTATTGAAGGTGTAGAAACTGGCCAAAGGGAGCACAAGGGGTCCTATCAGAGGGAGAAAGGTCAGGAGATATACTGCCAGAGAGATGCCAGCGCGGCGCGCGTATTTTGTCATAAATAACATGACGCCGTCAAGAAGGGAGCGTTGTTCCTTCTTCTCTCGTTCGCCGTGAGTGCTATACATCCTTAGTGAGGGATAATACATAGCCCGCAAGGTGGTAGGATCGTCGGACTGGTGTTTCTGGATATATGTCGAGTCGACCCATCGGAGACTGTCCATGAAGAGGTTGTCCAATGTAGGTGTGACGGAGGACATAACCATCATGAGGAAGAACGGCACTTGGAGGACCGACTTGGATATAAAGTCCAAACCAGAGATGAGCTTGTCATCCCAGGTTTCATGGTCCAGATTGATGAAGACGGAGATGATCAAGAGAAGGAATTTGACCAAGTAAATTGGGATGTTGAGAATGATACGGATGGCTAGACCAGCACATACAGCCACAGCTGCTTGTCGATAATGACTTGTAGTGAAGAGATTTGGGTTTTGAAGGGCACGGTGTGCTCCGACGAGTGTGAGCTGTGCTCCACGCAATATGGCGTTGGGATCGAAATTCGACATGACTGAGGAGTGCTTTGCTGATGAATGAATTTCCAAGAGACGCTAGACTGGAATGGAGGGCCTCTCGACCAGTTGTAAAGCGAGGCACTCTTGGATTCCCAAGGTCGACAGTACGGAGTAGTTAGTATCCAGTCAGAATGGAATTCCAAGGGAGGGTGTTCAGCCTCGCAAAGCAGCAAGGAAATAGTGTCAAGTGCGGCATTACGTCATCAACTACCAGCACGGTGCAGGTGCCAGGGGTGTCAGGCAGAATGTTTGTTGATACTACATGAAGACCTATTTACCATACCTAGATCTACTAATGTTTACACTATGGACTTGAGAGGAGTAAAGGATCATATTGCATGAGATGGATTTCTATATTCAGATTGAGCGCCATGCTACCCTCTGTCTTGAGTCTGGCTTGCTTGCTAGGACGGAGATTCCCAACACGGAGAATTAAAGTCTACTCTGTAGAGGAAAGAATGTTGATGGGGAGTGTTCACGTGTTGCCAAGCATTGTTGATGCGTTGGTTGACCAACAAGCGCCTTCCCCATTGCGCCACCAACAAGCAACATGGGCAACAGTTCTTGTGCGCTGGAGGCAGGTGCGACTTGACAGTGGAGTCCATCTACGGCAGGTGCGAACCAACCTTAACCCGCAACCGCGATCGTGATCATCTCAACCTTACTCCGTAGGCTCATCAACAACATCTCCACCTCCATATTTACCCTACACCTACACATCTGCAAACATGAACTGCTGATCGATCTCATTGACAAGTTTCCTTCCATTCCGCTGTCTAACTACCGTCCGAAAAATGCATCATGGCCTATCCGCCGTCTTCATATGGCGACCGTCCTCCGCTGCAAGGCTACCGAAGATCCTTTACCACGCCCGCTCGCCCTCTATCGTTCCATGAAAAAGCAGGCCTCCAGAATGCAGATGCAGGCACCGACATCCTGTATTCCCATCCCTCCGCCCGTATCATCCTCTTCTCTCCTCCCACCGACTCTCTCCCCACTACAACCAAGGATACTCTACCTGATGCCGATTACCCAGTTGATGCGGTTGAAGTCCTCCCATGGCGCTCCCGAACCGAGACACTTTTGTCCAACTGCGCAATCGTAATCGAAAAAGTCCGCGGATCCACCTGGTTCCTCAAATCTGCAGATCAAAAGGTCATTCAAACCATCATGCGCAACTCGCAATGTTGGTGCGTTGATGGCGAGTCCAAATTTGTCCTGCGCACTGGCAAGCTCAGGTACTATCGGATAGAGTTGCCTTTGGAGACAGATCAAGACAGAGATAGGGTTCGGGATCTGAAGTTGGCATTGCCCAAAGTCCTGCGCTTCGAGATCACGCCCTGTCCGTTCAAAAGGGCTTTCCATGTCGATTTGCCCGAAGATGCCATTACTCCACGGCGAAAAGGAACGTGGAAAAGGAGGGCTCCTCCAGAGCCCACCACGCCCAACACGGACCCTCTGCCGCTTCGGCGATCCAAAACTACTAGAGCATGGAGTCTTCAAGGGCAAGCCTCTACCCCAATGCAGCCCTATGGTAGGCGGGGATCAGACTATGGCTTTCGACCCAGTCGAGATTCTTCTCCCAATCCCAGGCTCGATTTTGATGCATATCGTCCGACAACTCCGTCAAGCCTTGCATCCAGTGAAGAACCCGGCGATGGTTGGCGTGATGAAGCTCAAGACGACTCGATGGTGCACCACGAACAATTCCAATCGTCACATGCAATGGACGTTCAAACACCGGGTTCAGAGTGCGAGGTGTCAGCGCATCTGTCGGAGCAGGAGAGCCCTCAATCAGACAATGAGCCAGAAGTTCCCGCTACGATAAGCCAGGATGATCAGTTGGCACCAACGTCTGCAACACCGGAGGATGTGCTCCGAGAAGCAGACAAAGCATCAATGACCGTCGAGGCTCCACCCCCAGAAATAGTGGCCCCAGAGGAAGACCAAATACTGGTCCCCGAACAAACCTCTGCATCTCAAATTAACCCTTTGGAATCGAAGATCGACACAACCGTTGAGAGCGACGCATCAATGCCATCAGGAACAGCCACAGAAACCGCCGAAGAGGATGAAGAGGAACAGGACATCCTGGCCTCAGACGTAGATGTGGCGCAAGACGGTGAACCCAGCTCCTCTGTAGCTGCCGTTGAAGACCACGATGCTATAAGCCAAGAGGATTCGGCTCTAGATCCTGAGGTCGAGCCTTCGTCAGAGAAACCCATTGACAACACTATAACCCCAGCTGCTGAAGAAGACAGCCTCACAAGGGTTTCAAGCACCGATTCATTTTTCACTTCAAATTCCCTTACAGAGGAATCTCTTTCATCCCACGTGGATGCAATTGACTTTCAGAAGACCCCCAATGCTGAACAACTCGACCCCTTTGCCATGAAGGTTCGACAACACAAAAGGGACGTGTCAGAGCTGACTGTGACAGCGTCAACGATTGATTCATTTTTAGACACCAGCTCTGTCCGGCCATCTACAGGGGATTCAATCGATGTCCCGACAACACCAGCATTGGCACAGTCGACAACATCTGATTTATCGTGGCCTGATGTGGAGACACCATCATCCCCCTTACGAGATGAAGGTCTTCGGAGACGGTTGAAGACGCAAAGATCATTGTCTCCGCTGCCACCATCCCCCACCTTGTTTGCCCCAGGGTCACCGACACATGGTTCTCATTTTACTGCTGCTTTCCTACAAAAGGCTTGCAATTTGGCGCTGGTGAAGCCTATGGAAGCAGTAGTGTTGCTTGTCCATATCTTGGCTCGGATCGCTGGAGGCGCCACAGTCAACGACCTATTGAATGGGGAGTTGTTTAAACGTCCTGAACAGCACCGGCGAAGTTCTAGCTTTCCTGACCAGGCCAGCTCGCCGCGAGATGACACAGATGACGAGGACGATTTTGGAGTTCCATTTCGAGGCCGACTTCGAAAAGATGTGTCTCAAGCCGAAACATCAGCTGTCAAGGACGATGACTCTGATTCCATGTTTGACTTGGACTAGTTGTCCAGAGTGTGAAACCAAACATTGGATGGATGGATTGTATTTGTGGAATTTAGCATGGCGTTATTGGAAGCGGAAGATACCAAATTTCTGTTTTATTATCGGCACAGAGAATTGTTGAGCCATCATTGACCTAGCTTACATCCCCTCGTGGAGGAGGTACCGCGAAGACAGACAACGTTCGGCAATATCATGTGCTTGTATTTCTGTTCTCCTATCTTTGTTCTCGTTCCTATGGCAGCGACTCAAGAGGATCGCCTCGGGCTTTCTGACTAATCCCTTAGCTATCTGCTTCGTTTCCAAGCAGCCTTGTTCAACCTCAAAACAGGGTGTTGGAGAGTGTTTCGCGCATGGCAAGTGTTGAGATGGTTCAACTTTAGGTCGGAAGCCATATGTCTCCATGGCAGATCGTATCCCAAAGATCTTGCCTCCCGTGCCTGACCAACACAACCTTGCAGCGAACAGAGGCGAGATCATTCTGGCACTTGTTCCATCAGGTCGGGTTGTAACAGCCTAAGCTCGTGTTCCAAACTGATGCTCCGGAGCCGCTCGACCAAGATTGTAGCGAGCTGTCCACACGACATCACATCGCAGAGAAATCCCGTTTGCACAACGAAACTTCAAAACCTTGGGACGCCATAGTCCTACTCATGATTGACCGACCCCTCACCTTTACCGACCTTCACGACGCAGCCTTGACAGGAGCAGTACTGGATTTCCCCTTCTTCTTAGCCTTTGCCTTTTCCTTTGCCTTTTTCTTATCCCTCTTCCTTAATGCCTCCATCCCTTTCTTACATGACTCGGCATACTTGACGTAGAAGGAATCGACATCCTCGGCTTCGACGACGGTGGCTAAGCGGACTTTGGGACGTATGGATCCAGCGGACTGTGACTTGGACTTGTTATTGCCGGATTTGGCGACACGGTGCGATTTCGACAGGCCGTCAGTGGCACGGATGAGAACTTGTGGGGGGGATGATGATGAGGTTGAATCCTCGGTCGACACGAGTGGCTTCTGTGTTAGGTATATTGATCCATGGCCGGATGAATGGGTCGATGTGAAGAGAGTGGTCAGCCGAGTGAGGAACTGTAAGTTGACGCAAGAATGATAGATTAGTATATCGATCTCATTGAGAGGGAATGGGAGTCGTTGCTGAACAACGGTGGTGATGAGGGCGGGGTTTGCACATACCTCATCATTGCTCAGTCGCTCTTGTCGCGACATCCTCTGCTGATTGTTATGAGTGTGATGGGGCGTTCTGATGCCCGGCGCCAGTACCTAAGGTTTGGACGACGAGATCATGGGTGGTGGGCTATCCAAATAATAGTCTCTACCCAGAGGAAATGGACGTTGGTGGGATGGGATTATTTGAAATGACGAGCAATCCAAGGCTTTATTCATATTAGGACTAGTGCGATGTTAAACCCGTAGTAATTCCGTCCTCATCAAATTATTTTATTTTGTCCAACAGATACTTGTACTTTGTCTGATCCAACACCCTAACCAAAGAAGACATTGCAAGCGATGTTTTTCAAGTGATCAGGAATATATTCTAAATAACTAGTCTACGGACAATGTCACGGCACAACAACAGGCCGAAGCAGACATCTGGCATCAAATTACCGTTTGCGCTGCAACAAGAACTTGGCATCGAAAGATCTCAACAGCGGGGAAATCGACGGCCCAACAATGGAGCGGTTAGAGGAAGGAAAGAACAGCGAAAACTTGAGCGACAGACAAAGCGGACAAATGTCAGAGGCTCTAACCCAAAAAAGCGAAATGTGAGAGATGACCATGTCGACTTGGAGTCGGACCAAGAAGAGGACGAAAATGAAGAGGATGTCTTTGACGAGGAAGACTCTGAAGTTGATGCACAGCGTCCACCTGTGAGACCCGCGAAGAAGGTAAAGATTGAGCCAGAACCGGCAAAAGTGCCCAAATCGATCCTCAAAAAGCCCAGATTACCATCGCCGTCAGGCTCGAGTGCTTCATCTGGGTCTTCCTCACGCTCTCGATCTTCGTCACCGGGCTTGGTGCTTGACGCATCGTCAAAGGCCTTCCGTGAACGAGCCGCTCAGGACGATGCTGAGATTGCAGCACTCGAGAAGCGTCTTGGTGGCAAGAAAAAGTCCAAGTCGTCGGATCTAGATCTAGATCTCGATTTAGACGACGGGTTGGACTATCTGCTGGCAGGGTTGGAGGGCGATGAAGACCGCGGTTCGAAGAGAAAATCAGAAGAGGACGAGTGGCTGGAGAGGAAGAGGAGGAAAGCCGAGGGATTTCGTGACGACCAGGATGATTCGGATGATGATTCTGAGGATATTGGAGATATTGATATCGACGATGACGAGGATGAAGACGATGAAAGCTTGCTTGGAGAAGATTTCTCGGATGAGGACGACAGCGATGACCAGGAGGATGGGTTCGAAGGTTTTGAGTCCGAGGACGAGCCAGAACTGAAGTCTCAACCGGCCAAAAAGGTGCGAGAAAACCCTTATGTGGCGCCTGTGGCCAACCCGACTCCTTCGACGGCAAAGTACGTTCCACCGTCACTACGAAAGGCGCAGGCTACCGAAGGAGAATCGATCGAACGTCTCAAGCGACAGCTTAATGGACAGCTGAACAAATTATCAGAAGCAAACCTGATCTCGATACTCGGGGAGGTCGAGAAGATCTATCAAACCAACCCGAGACAGGACGTTACGACTATTCTCATCGAGCTGCTCATCTCACTCTTCTGTAACAAGATGACGTTACAAAACACATTCGTGATTCTCCACGCCGCATTCGCGGCCGCTGTCTACAAGGTAATTGGCGTCGACTTTGGCGCTGGTCTTTTATCTCACCTGGTCGACCGATTCGACACATATCACTCAGCACCGGACGGTGCCAGTGATGGTTCTGGAAAGGAATCACTCAACTTGACGTCTTTCCTCTCAAATCTCTTCACCTTCCACGTGGTGTCGAGTACCATCATCTTGGACCACATCCGCTTACTCTTGTCCAACCTGACCGAGTCCAGCACGGAGCTTCTTCTACGACTGATTCGAGATTGTGGACCGCAACTGCGACAGGATGACCCTACATCGTTGAAATCCATCATTCAATTGATGCAGCAGGAGATCAGCCGAATGGAAGCGGAAGGGATCAAGATGAGTGTGCGAACCAAATTCATGGTCGAGACGATTACAGACCTCAAGAACAACAAGATGAAGAATGCCGCGAGTAACGCCGGTCTCTCCAGCGAACATATCACGCGCATGCGAAAGGCACTCGGTTCGTTGAACAATCGATCGTCGCTGCGCGGTACAGAGCCATTGCGGATCGGGCGTGACGATATCAAGAACAGTGATCGCAAAGGGAAATGGTGGTTGGTCGGAGCGAGCTGGAAGGGTAATGACTCAACCACGATGCATTTGGGCGAGACCAGTGGTGACCATGTGGCACTGTCTGAATCCTCGAATATTCTCTTATCCGACGGGGAAGGCGACATGGAAACCAACAACGTCGACCTTGCCGCCCTGGCGCGCGAATATGGGATGAACACATCGGTCCGACGGTCAATTTTCATCACACTGCTATCGTCAGTGGATGCCGTGGACTGCCAGACGCGGCTCCTGAAACTCAGACTCAAGCGGAGCCAGGAGACGGAGATTCCCCCGGTTGTGCTACGGTGTGCGGGAGGTGAGAAGGAATATAACCATTACTACACGCTAGTGGCCAAGCGACTTTGCATGGAGAAACGAATGAGGAAGGGATTCATGTTTGCACTATGGGGATGGTTTCGACGGTTAGGGGAGAAGACTGGGTCTGAATTTGACGATGAGGGAGGAGAGGATGAAGAAGAAGAAGAAGAAGATGGTGCGGACGGTGGTTCAAAGGTTTCGACGGGCGAGATCAGTGCCATGGCTCGTCTCTATGCGTGTCTCATCCTTGATGGGGCAGAGACGCTGGGGATCCTCAAAGTGTTGGATTTGGCGTACATGCAGAAACGGACGAGCATGTTTGTCGAGTTGTTGCTGATTCTGATCTTGAAGGATGCGAAAGATGATCATGCTGTGAGGAGTGTGTGTGAGAGAGCCGCGGATGAGGCTCCACAGGTGGTCAAGAGGTTGCAGTTCTTTGTGCGCAAGACTGTTCGAGGCTCGGATTTGGTAGCTGGCAAGAAAGATGCTGAGCTGGTTAAATCGAGGTCGAGGGTTATGCTTGACACGTTCAAGATGTTGCAAAGAGAGGGAGCGAATGGAGTTCAGGGGTTGGAGGAATGATGGGTTTTCATCTTGGACGTTATAATGGATGGTTCATGAATTCAACGAGCTAATTCGTAAGATACCCCTTTTGGCGAATTGGTGTCACGAAATCATGAGTTGCTTCCCGGAGCAGCAGTCATGTACTCTATATGTACAATGTTCTCGTCAAATACTATCGTGCCAATCGATTCAGACTTCGGTGTTTCCAGTTCCCCTGACTTCATGGATGTCTGTAGGCGCTGCGATTGGGATGCGAAAGATATACCAAATCTATAGGTCTATATGGCAACAGGAAGATGTAGCAAGCCGACCCAACACAAAAAGTGGTATTGATTCTGAACGTGTGTCTGGTGTTTAAATAGCGATGCCACAATCCATGACAACATTTTGACCGGTTATTGACTTGCTTAATGCTAGAGTCTTGATCTGATCGGCAACATCGTCAGGCTCTGCGGTTCGTTTCAGAGCAGCTTTCTCGGTGGTTGCCTTGACTTTTGATTCCGGGAATTTATTACCCCTATTCCAGAAGTGTTAGTAGAGTGTCAGAGTTGGACCGAGACTGACTTACCATTCTGTCATCATCAATCCAGGGCTGACACTGTTGCATCTGACTTTCGGGCCACTGATCATGGCGAGGCCCTTGGTCAAGTGGATTTCGGCGGCTTTTGTCACGGCATAAGGTAAAGAGCTGCCACTAGGTCTGACACCAGCCAAACTGGCCACGGTAATAAAGGCACCGCCGCCTTCTGATTTCTCGAGGTGTGGCATTGCGGCATAGTAGAGCCAGAGATGGCTTTTAACATTGACGTTGAAGCATCTGTCCCAATCATCCTCGTTGACTTGCTGGTCAATGTCGAAGAAATTGGTGAGTCGAGTCCAGCCAGAGTTGCTGACTACGACGTCCAGGCGGCCGAATTTCTCGACAGTTTCAGCGACAAGACGTTGGATTTCGGAGCGTTGCTGGACATCTGCTTTGATGGCGTGGAAGCGTGGTTGGGAGGAGGAAATTTCGTATAAAGGAGGAATAGCGGAGGCTTCTTTGATCACTTCTTCGGCCTTTTCTAGTCGGGAATGGTAATTGACTACGACGCGGAAGTTGGCAGCAAGGGCTTTGACAGTGGCGGCACCGAGACCTGCGCTTGATGCTGTGACCAGGGCGACTTTGGCAGACATGGTGGTTATGTGGACGGAGGTGTGGACGGATATAGGGACCGGGGTCAGGAACGAGGGATTTCAAGATGGATGGTTCAAATGGTGGGAGATAGTGAGATGCTGATCGACGTCGACTTTAGACCGTGGAATCTGAGACCCAAGAGAGTATATGTCCGTCTCTGTCTCTATTTTTGTCTGCGTGTTTCGAGAAAATGTCAAGTCGGCATCAAGAGTGGGAGGAGGTCGGCGGCACGGTGGTGATAAACATCAGATTTCTCCGCACCCCGCGCCTGCCCATCGGAGTCGGCATACGTGATGCGGAAGGGGTTCCGCCGCACGCGTTCAGTTCCGTGGTTTGACATTCAAGGAAGGTAGCTCAAGGAGAATAAGGGAAACTCACAGAGATATCATGATGATGGTGATGAGCTCGCGGAAAGAGTTTTCACGTCGGATATTGACTCGGACAATGGCTATGGCATGTGTGTTAGGTACCTAAACAGACCTACATAGCGTCGAGAATCACGCGCCACCAAGCCCTATAACAACAGCTGAAGGCCTGCGTGTGGATTCCAATTCCAGAATCCTTGGCTGCTCCTTCCCCAAGATCTGATCAGATCTGATGAAATGCAATCGCTTATCGTCAGGTACGCCTTGTCCCTTTGCACCTTCCACGACAGAACCTTTTCTATTCACTTCCACTCAAGAGAACATCATCCGTCTTCGACCTCAAGATGTAAGATTATGGTAAGCCATATAATGATGCCATCGAAGAGCTCAGATGCACAACACGAGGTATTTCCCTTCCCCAAACACTCAAACGTCTTGCGCATGCCAGATCCGTTACCTGCAGAGATCCCCGTGCACGACCATCTTAGCTCAAATCATGACGTCGACACTCGACTTCCCGTCATGACTTTTTGTACCACACGCCTTCGTGTAGGCTTTACATAGCCTTCAATGCCTCATCAATTTACGCCTCTTGATCCCTTCCTCCTTTTGTTTAGGTCCGTCCTATGCCTCTGCTCGCTACACTCACCATTTGATGGACTCAAGTACGACGCCTTTTCGACGTGACATCGAACGCACTGGTTCTGCCAACGCCAGCGTCATGTCCCAACAGCCACTCAAGGCTCAAGATGGCCGCAAAAAGGTTCTCATCGTCGGAGCTGGTGCCGCTGGAATGTCGGCCGCGCACCATCTCTCCCAACATCCTGATAAATTCAACGTCACCTTGATCGAGGCCGTGGATTATTGTGGTGGTCAGGCATTCTCCATGCCGATTGACAAAGAGAAGCATGGCGCCAGTTGGTTCAACCAGGGTGTTCAGGGTGGAAGTTACATATTTCATCACACCTTGACCATGTTCGCTCGACAGGGCTTCCACGCTGATCCTGTCAATCTCCACGTTTCTTTCGGCAAGGATAAGAATTTCTGGACCAATGTCTTTCCCACCCAGCTTTTGGCTCGCCATCAAAAAGAAGTCAAGAGACTTGCCTTTGCTCTCAAGTTTATGCGTTGGTTTGAAATCTTCTTCGCCCTCATCCCTCTCAAATACTTCTTCAAGATCTGGATGTTCTCAGATGAATTCGCCAACACTGTCGGTCTGCCAATGACTGCCCTCTTCCTCGGTACAGGCAACTACACCCCGGAAGTCCCTGCCATCATGCTCGAGCGACTCTGTACCTCCCCTACCTACGGCATGTGGTACCCTCCCGACCCTCTCTCTATTGCTTCCAACCACCCACCCATGGTCGTCTTCCCCAATTTTAGTAACTTCTACGACACTTGGCGCAAAGACCTCATCTCTCGTGGTGTTGCAGTCCGCCTCTCCACGGAACTCAGCGAGGTCATATCGCGTTCCAAGAAAAACGGCGTCACTGTCTCGCTAAAAAAGCGCACTCCTGCTCCGGATGGTCACAACCCAACCGGTGGAGACCCAGATGCCCCAGCCTTTGAGGAACATTACGACGAGCTCATTTTATGCGTCCTTGCCGACACCGCCAAAAACATCTTGGGCAAAACCTCCACCTGGCGCGAGCGAAAAGTACTCGGCAGCGCCAAATTCTCTGACGATGTCACAATTACCCACACTGACTCTGACTATATGAAGAAACACTACCAAAACTTCTATCAGGAAGACCTCGCTGTCACATCCCTGTCAGGTAAAGACCAAAGCTCCCGCAATGACTTTGCTCGAAAGGGCTTCCGACCAATGTATTACATCAAGATGTACGATCAGGACCTCTCCAAGCTCGAAATGTCCTTCGATACCACCAACTACCAATCCCAATTTCCCGAACGTGTTCCGTTCGAGGACCACGTCTTCCAGACCATCTACCTGAATAAAGACCGTGATGGCCACCTGTGGTCCGATCAGGAAATCGACAAATCCAAAATCATCCGGACTGATTGGTGGCACCAGCTTTGTCACAGTTTCACTCACTACATCATGGTCATTCCGTGGCTGATGTTCCTCCAGGCCAAGAACGCCACCCGCTTTGCCTCGAGTTGGACACTGGTCAACGCCCATGAGGTCGCCATCATCAGCGGCATGGCGGCCGCCGTCGATCTTGGCGCCGACTATCCCGAGGATCTCGAACACGACAAGTTCGCTCTATTGAGTTTCCGGCTCTATTATTTGTTGATCTACGGAAAGTGGTATCGCAAGAAGTGGAAGGATGCCAACACGACAAAGGCCAAAGAAGGCCGAACCTGGGCCACGGGCGACTACGGCAGTATTTACAACGGCCCGGGTGTCGTTAGTCAGGAGCGAACGACCTGGAGGGAAGAACTCAAAGTTGGAGCCAGCACAGAAAACCTGGCTCCAGGGGGTGAGAACAAGGATGGGAGAAGTCAGCCGTAGGATCACCAACAAGCCGTGGCCCCACAACATCAGCATGGTCAGGGTGGTGGGAGGTTGTCAGGCGAGACATTTGAGCGGTGGGAAGAATAGAGCAAGGTTGGATGAGCAATTACACCATCTAAGATATCTTTATAAGGCGTCGAATGATCCCTGATGTCTCGCCACCTCAGGGTATAACGCTGGCGCCATGCTCATGTCTCTAAGCACCCGATCACTGCTAGCTGCCTAGGCTCTTGGTGACTCTATCCATGCAAGCTCAACTCATGCATGCGTTACGTGGTTTGGATGGACCACGCTCGGGGTTTCCACGTTACCATGACCCACCAGGCTGTCATCCACTTGTCCAAACTTTTCAGCTGAAGAACTTTTTGTAGCTCTCCTTCTCCCGTCGGAGGCTGTCTTGCAAAGTCTTCTTGGTCTTGGCCAATTCGTGCTTGATGCCCGCATCCGTGGGTGCCAGTTTCGCCGCCTGTTCAAAGTCTTGCAATCCGGCTTCCAGATCTTTCAGCGCAACTCTAGCTTGTCCCCGCCGGAAGTACACCTTGGCCTTGTCCGCGTCTTTGGCATCCTTTGGCATGCCGTCAATGGCAAAGCCCGCCCACTTCTGAGCCTCGGCATATCGCTTGGTCTTGTTCGCCAGCAGAGCCGAGTTGCTGTGCAGTGTGAATCGTAGAGAATCTAGATTACCTTGGAGTTCCTTCGGGTCGTTGTCGTTGGTCGCCGGGTATTCGTTGAGGTAGCGGAGAGCTTTCTGGTACTTTTCAATTCCCACCTCGACATCTCCTGCCTTGAATGCCTTGTTTCCATATTCCTTGAGGTCCAGACCAATCTTGTAATACTCTTCACCCTTCAATCCTTCTCCTTGATCGTCAGGAAAGTCCTCATACGGATCACCTGTGGAGTCGAGAGCCTTCTCTGTGGCGGCCGAATATGCTGAGCCCTCCAGCTGGCCGCAGTCGGACACAACCACGTCATGTACTGGCTTGTCAGATTGCGTAGGAAGATTTTCGATCTTTCGAACAATGTTTTTGCCATTGATGACTTCTCCAAAAACCACATGCTTTCCGTCGAGATGAGGGGTTTTGACAGTGGTCACGAAGAACTGGGAGCCATTGGTGCCTAGAGAGTTAGGAAAATTGGGAAGAGTAGTGGACTTGGTGGTGCATACCAGGCCCAGAGTTTGCCATTGACAGTAAGAATGGACGTTCATGCTTCAACTCAAAGTTTTCGTCGTCAAACTTCTCGCCATAGATTGACTCCCCTCCAGTTCCATTGAAGTTTGTGAAATCACCACCCTGAATCATGAAAGACTTGATGACTCTATGGAAGATTGACCCTGCGCAGCATCAGCGACTGAAGACCAGGGGAGAAGGTTTGGTGGTCCGGTAGAGCGGTTTTGAATACCTTTGTAGCTCAAGGGCTTGCCCGACTTGCTATTGCCTTTGTCACCGACACAGAGCGCACGGAAGTTTTCGGCTGTCTTTGGGACGACTGGGAGGGGGTTTAGCTGTTATCAGAGAGATCGTAGGTGGGAGCAAGGTACCATCGTTGTACTATTCTCGTCAGTGACAATCTTGAGGTGTTGAAGTGAAAGACTTACGAGTTCAAACACAATTCTGCCCTCGTCTCTGTCGCCGATCTTGATATTAAAATAGACACGAGGTCGTCCTAGCAGGCTTGTCAGATGAGACAATTAGTGGTATGAGTGGGCAGTGTATACCGCTCGCTGGGGCAGCCATGACTATCAATGGCGGTGGGCAGTGACAGTGAGGGACTTGCGATCGATGTTTAACGACGTGCGATGGTTGTAAATGGAGGCACGAGGCAACAACAGAAGCGTTGACAGGTTCTTGAACAACACGTGTTGTCCTTGAGGATGTGGAAAATTTGTGGTGCTGGGTGGTCAGGTTTCTTAGGTTTCTTGAATGTTCTATCTGCTACTCCAATGTGGAAATGTCGCCCGCAGTTGTCAGGCTGGAGTCTGTCATGCGTACAGAGTACTTCGTACTTTACTGACCAGAAGGCGCAGACGCAGCCTTTGGTTCAGGCAACAGCCAATCAGCAGCCTGAGGTGCCTGGCCCACACAAAAAAATATATGAAGGAAGGTGCGGGGGAAATTCAAGAGAAGGTCTGCCGAGAATAAATGCATCTCATTACTTGGCGCGTCGTCTTCCCTCATAAGCATGCAGAATGCAAGGCTTTCAATTGAGTCTTCTCTCATCAATATCTCAATCACGCATGTCATCGTTGCCATGCCTCCAGCTCAATGTTCGAGCGAGAAGATAGAGTCGACAACGAGACATATGCCATCTGTGAGGATGCACATCGGTTCGGTAGGGTTTACCGTCGACGCGTGGTACCAGCTACCTCCTTCCCCGTTCATCATCTGTGGAATCACGCGCTCTTTCCAATCCTGTCCAATCCTCCCTCTTGTCAGTGATCAGGAAGCAGCATTCATAAAGAAGATTTTGTCTTTCATTTCCTCCCACATATCCCTCTTTTATCGCCATTCATTTGTTTGATCAACATCTATTTTTCATATTGTTACATGTGCCCTTGTCTATTGCCGACCAGCCATTGTTTTGATACATGTGCTATCTGCTATATTGCTTTTTGACCACTCTTTTGGCACCATATTCATATTCTCCTTGACTGTCCTTTTGACCACTCTGAACTCCATGGCACCCAAAGAACCCGACCCAGATCGCACAACCGAGGTCGGAGCCAAGTCAACAACAACTAGGCTTAACAAAAAATCATTGTTCATGCAGCCTTCGCGTGCTTCTTCGATCGATAAATGGATAAAGAGGATTAAGCACGATTATCCGACAGTGCCAGACTGGGCCCCAGAATACCCCGATGACGACTTGGACGATGTGTGGAAATACTCCCCCTTGGCTTCCCAGTTCCCCACAGCCGTAACCTTCGCCCTTGCTTCGCCGAGGCTGTCTTCGTGGTCATCCGACGTGGAAAATGAGTTTGACGTGATTACACTTGATGTAAATCACCCGACTCTCACCTGTCCAGCTGTTCGCAACCTCCCCTTCAGTCGAGTCTCGTCCATTGTTGTCGTTTTCGATCCGGGCTATGATTCAATCAATCCTTCCTTGACTCGCATGGTGAACATGGAGAACGCGGATACTTATATGCAGAGGCTTATCAAAAATGCACTGGAACGTGGGAGGATCTTGCAGTATTTTGTTGGGTCCATGGTCAGCTGTCGACAATTCGCCGTTAGGCTTGTGTTCATTAACTGCTAGGTCTGTCCAGACCCCCTTCTCAGCCGTATGCTTGACTGAACACATTTCAGGTGCGGTGTCGACAGAATGTCGGTCCCTTGGTGGCCGCTCCGATCTAGAGACTTGACCATGTCATCGAAATCCTGGCAGCCTATCATTGGGTTACCCCCAGTTCTCGACAAGAGCCTGTGCTTCCGAACGACATGTTCGCAAGTCCTTTAACCTTGCCACTAATGAGCACACCGGTCCTAGATTCTAATCAAAATTTGGCCGACACCACCACTGAAATATCGACATTTCGTTTGGAGCGGACTTATTTCGAATGGCAAATAGCCCTCAAGGCTGCATTTGAACGTGGCAAACTTGAATTGCTCCCTGAGCAAGCCTCACAAACATGGGATTTCTTGGCCAGTAGGAATGTCCGCGCACTTTATATAATCCGTGATGCTCATAAGCCTTACCCTTCGACTCTAAGACGATCGATCCTGCCAGTCACCGACAACGAGGTCTACCCAAGTGAAGCGGAAATAATGTCTGGTACTGACCTTGCCAGACGGAATCGTGACTCACCTGCACATACAAAATTCAAGGAGGAGCCAGCCGATGAAATTGTCATCAAGGAGGAGCAAGCCGATGAAATCGTCATCAAGGAAGAGCCAGCCGATTAAATCATCAAGGAGGTGCCCGCACAGGTATGGAGGCCCAGTTCTGGGGCCGGATTCTACGTACCAAAGTCACCAAGTCCTACTCGGCCTTGGCCCACGCGGAGAAGAGCATGAGCCGAGATACTCGTGTAGGGAGCTGTTGGTTTTGAATTGCACCACACTGTCTGTCGATTCAGATGGTCTCAAGTGGGATTCCAGTTGTGTCTGTTTTGCGCAGCTTAAGTCTTATTCGGGATCTAGAACTGGTAGCTGAATCGAATTGAGTATTTTATTCCTCGACATGGGTTCTATTCGCTCCCACATTCCGCCTACTGCGGACTACTTGACAGGTTGATCGGCATTGCAGATTTCCATTCTTCGCCGTAAACTTTGCCACCCGCAACCTCTTCCCGCGACATTGTCCCCAAACCCCAGGATGGTGCTTCTGGCCACGCCATGGATCGGCGCTGTGATGGGGGCTTGTTGGCCATGATCGAGAAGACTTGGAGTCATCGACAGATCTAGGAGCGGACCGCCTATACCAACCCGAGTCTTGATGGTCATCACCCACGTGTATGTTGATCTCTGTGTGATAGACAGGCACTGCTTCTGTTGCTGTTGCTAGCTTCCCATGATCGTCGTCATCCTTGCTTAGGCGAAGCGCTCATCATGAATGTTGCCTGCCAACCTCATAGTTGCGACTCTGGTGCTTGGTGATAGCCCTACAGCGCAACTGCTGGTTCCTGTGACTTAGAAAGTGCGCCCGACTCCCTCCCTCGCTCTCTCTCTCTCTCGTAACATCTCACCACAACGACAAGAGACGGTAACGCATCCGCAGACGCATGCGTGTCTCAGATTGTATCTCCCACCATCGTATTCTGCTCCCGTTGTTGTCGAGACGATCAAAGCCTAGCCTATTCCCACACACTCTCTAGCTCTACGCCTCCTAGCTCAATATGGACGGGAAGATTGGAAAGCCCAACTTGGGACAAATGACCATCTCCAGACTCACTCGAGCCAGCAAGCAAGCATGCATGCAAGTAAACAAGCGAGCCATCAGACAATTGACTTTTTTGTTAGCATCGGGAAACCCGCATAACCTCCTCGGTGGCGAAAGGATTTCCCCCCCCCCCCCCCCCCCCTCCCCCCACCACAGAATGCATTTCCGGCACCATTTGATGCATGGAGGCACCTCGAGGTCAAGCTGAAAGAAAGCTTGCCTTCACGAAGCCAGAACGTTAGCCATGCGAATGGAATCGCCGATCCTAGGGAAGAGGGGGACCAAGCCTTTACCACAACTACAGCATTAGGTTCAGTTCCGTCAACTTTATGCACGACAACTCTAACCTCAGCCATCCTACCTCGTACCCGAGAAGAGATACTCGTCGATCATTTGATTCCCAAACTCGCGCATGATGCATACACGCGAACGAGCGAGACATTATGCACGCTAGAAGGTATCTTTTTAGCCTTTTGCATTTCGTGAAGAACCTGTTTTTCTTATTCTTACGAGCGAGATTTCTTGTTTTTTTTTGGGTTCATGCCTCTTGTCTGGTCTGCCGTGTTCGGTGTTTGGCGTCGAGTTTATCGGGACAGAGTTGAATCTTGATCTAGTCAGGATCCGTGTGGCTTCTACTTAAGTTCTTGGGCTTCGTACTTTTGATTTCCTCGAGATTAGGATGTTGCTATTTCTGTACTCTGTACATCCCTTTGCGTATTGTGCCGTGAAATACGAGATGCATTCGGAGGTCGATCTCGATGGGCATACTCCGTAAACAACAAGTGATAGAAGAGCTAATAGGGTAATAGTGATGACAGTTGAGCCGCCATAGTACTGTATGAACCTATGTGAATTCAGTCTTCTGTGCGTCATGTCTATACATTGCCCATCTCAAAGGCTTGGTTAGTAGTAGTGGTAGTCGCATACAGGCGTGGTAGGTTGATGCGCTTTCTTCCAGGACAACATGGTGATCTCCATAGGGCCTGTCTGTTCTACTCCTCCATCATAATTCTTGGTCTTGGTCTTATTCAGGTTCTGATGATGGTGGCGGCGGAAACCCTCCCTCCTTGGCATGACGCCTACACCTTGCATCATGCGATTGTGACCACATTCATGTCCCTGTTCCCTGATTTTTCACTGTTCGTGACCTCTGCTGTTACCATCATCGATGTCCTAGGCCAAAGACCGGGCGTATGTGGGGGAGGGTGTGGGCGGTCATGGGTATATGGATGTGTAACCTGGAGAAATATGCAGTGGGGTCGCTGAAAACTGTTATATTACTTTATTATCCCTATTGGATTTCATGGTGCCGTCGGTTTCTGTGCTGGACTGAGGTCACTTGTGGATCTTGTTGATGGTCTGCAAGGGCATCATCATTCATTCCGTTGACTGGAGGGATGAGAGATGAGAGGTATCTTTCTCATGCCAGAAAAAATGTCGAGTTGCACAATCACTCATGTCGTGATCAAGCATCGTGTACCCCTGTCTGTGTGATATCAAACTGGACCAAAACCGTTTGCGTATCACGTGTCACACGGTACAGTTCCATCTGTTGTGTTTCGAGTGCTAGGGAGGAGGTAAGGATATGGAAGACTTTCGAGGTTAGAGACAAGAGGTTCTGCTTCATTGTTGCCGCTTGAGCTGTCTCAATTTGATGTTTGTAAAGATTTGATACACCGCTGAAACCGAAAATGTTAATCTTCCTCGCCATGAATTAACGAGTAATATGAATCTGGGGTTTCATGTGGTTGAATTAGTGACAGTAATACAGGCCTTGTTGTTCACGACCATGTCCCTTCATGCATGATCTTTTTTCCCAGACTAGGACCACCGTCCCTTGTCAATCTGGCCGAGGGCTGCATGTAGCACTTCGGGTGCTGCCATGTGCGGGTGGCTACACTTCTGTGGTACAACAAGTGGTTGTCACAGCACCTTTACCATGGCCAAGTTCAGTCCAATTCACCAAAGATCTCCCCTTGAGTCACACAACACATGTGGGGATAGATTCTTTTGTGAACCTGACCAGTGGGGTGCGGGTTGGTCTGACACGCTGCTTGGAGGACAACGAGATGGATAACAACGAAAGAGAGATTAAGTTCTGACCGTGTGTTGTACTCTCAACCATGAATGATCCATATATCACGTGCATGTGACTCGCCAAATATTTGATGGCGACCCGGTCAATAATACAGGGTAGATTGATCATCTACCAAGCAATCTCGGCGGACGGTACAAGTGGTCTGTTCCTACCAAAAGCACATCAAAGTGTTGGTATAGAGGCCGCGATGAGCAAAGAAGACCTGGGATATGATGTCGCATGGGATCGACACGTCATTGTTGAACACATCCTGAAGACGCGACCATTGTGACTTGTCGTCGGAAATTCGAGTCACAAAAGCCCGTGACAGCTGCAGGTTGCCGACATCTCAGCCTCGCTGTCAGTTGAAGGATCAGCTTGGGCCAACGGCCTATAACATATGCATACTCCGTAGGGATCTGTGTGCCGCGGTGGCATTGCGCCCCGACAAGTGGGACTATCCAGTGCAGAAGGATGCTCACCACCTCACTTGCACTCTAAGCATGGCTGATTTTGGGGCTACCGACGATATTGCTTCACTCGATGAAGTGGAAGGAATACGCCATTCGCATATATCAAAGTGAGACATAGGTCTAGGCCATGATGGAGTCATTCATGCCGTCTGGAGGAGGGTCATTGTGGATGATCCGGCGGGCTGAAGTGAAGGATGGGGTTGATGATGCCAAGACACTGTGCTTGGCAGGGGACCGGAAAGTCGGGGGTTTCAGATGCCGTGCGGTAGGCGCGATCGATCAAGTCGTGATCTGTGCTGACGGCACAAAACTCCTGGCTGAGCTTTTCTGCACGCAGAGGCCCCAAGCTGGTGAGTGCTTCAACCCATACGGCTCGAATTTCAGTCGCCGATCGTCAGCAGCGTGTTGTGGATCAATGTGCTTGTTGAAGTGGAGGATTCACCAATCAAGGGGGGTCAGTGCCCTCAAACTCTACTCCGTACATTGCCACTTCCTTCGCAACAATAATGACGAGGTACGGGACTTGGGACTATTGCTTTCATGGCTGGGGATGACGAAGCTGGCGGTGCCGCTCCTTGAGAAAATGTAGCGAGAGACAAGGCGCAGAAGAGGCAGCCACGGCAGCCTACAAGGTAGAGTCCGAGATCCTACTCTGCACGATGTGTATTGCATAGCTTGGAGTGGCTGTCACCATCGCCCGGAATTCGAGACTGACCTCGCTGGGCTTGCTAGACCCGCAAGTCAATCTCTGGACTTTTGCTGCACTGCTCTACAAGGCAAAAGACCCTCGTAAAATGGTTCCACGATTGTTCTTGTAGCTAGGGATCTGAATGCCGGTGACCATTGCCGAAGAAATGCCATGTTCTGACCAACACAATTGGAACATTCGTTGCGCCCAATAGCCACAGGGACAACACTCCCTGCCTATAACACTCTTGACGGGTGAAGGGGCTGAGTCGAACCACGATGATAAGGCGTATCCAGAGTCATCAATCCCTTTGCATTGCAAACCCAAAAATGTGCAACAGCTTGAGATAACCAACGATATAGAAGCATTCGAGTTTTTTGGATTACAGAAGGTCTGTGGACGCGAGGAACTCAAGCGCAATGACCACCCCCTGAAGCTCTCTATACTATGATTGGATGACCCCTGTCCGTGGGTAGGGGGCAAATCGATAAGCTGATTGGCGATAAGCTAATCCTGACTGTTCCCTCCTTGAGGTGGGATGTTTGGGCGTACGAGGAGACAATCATATGCCTCCTTCTTCGAGCCTCACCCTGACGGAAACGAGATGCAGGCAAATGGTGCCCTGCTGGTTAAAAGACTTTCGCACAGCAGCATCGAGGTGCCCGAGTCGAGAGGCTAGACACAATCTCTGATTATCACTCGAATCCCCAAAACCAATGAGGTGACCATGGAGCCCGTATTCTCCTCATTATTATGGCGTGTTACTTCTCCACTGCCTCCCGAGGCTGCAAGCACCTCGCCATGGTTCGGTGTGGCCGCGCAAGGGAGCTGCATGATGCATCCTGTAGGTAGGCTGTCACATGGAGTAGAGCCGTAGAACCTACCATATCTCTGGATTGTTCAAGCCTCCCATTCACAATTCTGGTTGAGTTTGCTTCAGCCGCTTTCCTTCAGCCCCGAAGATGGCGTCTACCGAAACATCAAATTCCACGCACATGTTCCGCCTTTGCATTAGACAAATAACATAATTGACAATATCGTCAAGACTCAAACATCCTTTGGGCTATCCCTGAGAGACACAATGCATCAATTGGTGGTTTCAATAGAGAACCTGAAACAGATCAAGCACTCGGACGGGGCAAAAGAGGTTTCAGGATTGGCGATTGTTGTGCTCAGCTCCATCCAGCTTGGCTTGACAATGTATCTCGCAAAGTGTGAGATGAAATGTGACTGGTGGAATGCCACACTGCCCGCGGATTCGGATCAGCAGTCAATCCCCACGTGGAAATGCGCGAACCTGGGATGCCCTGGGATGCCCGGGTCGACTCGTCAGCAGGACAGAGGCTACCAAAGGTCAAAAGGTCAAGATCTGTTGCGTTTGTAGCCGCCCAGGAAACCATTTCCACCCCTTACCGAGTCTGTTGGCTGCAGGACATGTCAAACCTACCATAAGAAAAGCCCTCACTATAGTTGGAAGATCTTACTCCGTACATCCCGTTACCTTGTGCCAGTGTTTATTCGTAGACCATTATTGACTCGTAAAATAGAGTCTTGGGAGTATCCACCTCTCCCACTCACGCTGGTCCCATCATTAGGGTCTTGCGATAGGGTTGTCATCAATCGTCTTGACTATTTGCATGGCTCACTATTTTGCTTACATTCTAGTAAGCGAGAGGTTCGCCGATCGTGCTGATTCGGCACAGCATCAGAGTTGATGTCGAAAATGTGAGAATGGCTCCTCCAGTGGTCCCTCCATCTCTAGTCAGGCGTACCAAATCGTCCGTGTGTGAGTGCAAAGTTTTTTTTGGTGCTGACGGCCAAGCCGGGCGACTGGCTTAGTTCTTGAGCAATCGGCCTGATGGGCGTTGGCTACACATGACGTGAACCCAAGCATGAATTGATCGCTCAGTGCTTCTGGAGGTTTCCAAATCGCTCCTCACCCATCTTGAGCATTTTCTATCTTGGTTCCGTACAGGTGATCCGGCTCTGAAGTCAAGACACGGGAAGTCAAGACACGGGATGAATCCAAGAACGAAATTAGGAATTTCACTCAATCTACATGTAGAATTGCATGGGGGCTTTTCGAGAGTCGATTGTAGTGATTGAATTGATTTCAGTCATCTGGTATCAAATTGGTGGGTGGGTTGCATGGGCTGTCAACATCTCCTGCATCTACCAGCGACCGGATCGTCGGCGGCCCATGATGCTTCCCAGGTCATGACATACATGTTCAAAGGGTATCGTAACACATGAATTGAAATAGCAGATCCATTTTGGACAAAACGCTCATCCTTGAGCATGACACAAGCATTCGGATCCCCTCAGCACTTGAGAGGGATCGAGGATGACATAAATTTTCCCCATCGCCAGTCGGCGTCTTCAAACAACGCCGAGAATCAATATCTCTTCAGACAGTTCCAACCACGTTTCTCGTTCGGGTCAACGTCAACCGTGATATCATCGTACATTGTGCACCTTAGACAAAGGAAAATCGGGGACCTTTCTCGGACGCGCGGACGTCCTCCCAGATATTGTTGAGAGTATCAACAAGTTGATCGGGGAGAGGACCTTGTTCGAGAATGTCCATGTTTTCTTGGAGTTGAGACAGCTTGGAGGCACCGATGATGACGGCATCTCCATATTCGGCACCCAGTTGGGAGTGCCAGGTCGTCCAGCGGAGGGCTGCAGCGTGTCCGGAAATACCGAATTTGCGAGCCTGCTGTCGGACAAGTTCGGCGGCAGCAAACAAAGGATCATGGAAATAGTCACCAGCATACTTGGCGCCCAGTGGGGAGGCAATGTTCCACCGACTGTTCCTGTCCTTGGCCGACGCTCGCGAGACTTTGTTGGAAAAGAAGCCACAGGCTGAAGGGCTATAAGCGTAGAAGGCAATATTGTGATCGCGGAGGACACTGAACAGTCGCTCTTCACCACCTCGGCAGATGGGGTTGTATTGGCCTTGGTACACAGATGGTTTCACAAAGCCGTTATCCTCGCAGACTTTAACCATCTGCTCAACCTCTTCGACGGAGAAATTGGACAGACCAAAGCGTTCAAACTTGCCTTCAAGGTAGGCTTTATTCATAGCCTCCGCCGTCTCGGCAAAAGGAGTGGCACGATCGGGAGCATGCAGGTACATGACATCGACCTGGTCGGTGTTGAGCGCCTCTAACGACCGATCGATACTCAAGGCAATGTTCCTTGCTCGATGAGAACCAGGCATGAAACTGGAGACCTTGCTGGAGACGTTGGCCCACTTTGACAAGCGTAACTCTTCTTCACCTAACAGCTTTTCGCATGTGCCACCACGACCCACTGGGTAGGCTCTGGCGGTATCGATGTCATTGTAGCCTCTTGAGTGAAACAAGTTGACAAACTTGGATGCATCTTCGACGGTGGTGATTTTGGCGAGAGGGGATTGTTTGGAGCCTACCGAGGCGGTTCCTAGGACCACTCGTAAGGGTGGTTTGCACTGAACGGTCTGAATCAAGGGAGAGGTGATACGTTCGGCATTATCGAATGTGCTTGCTCGTGAGCGGTTGGGAGTGACTGTCATGTCAGTGGCATCGGTGTCGTCTGACTGATTTGAGCCAAAGGAGTATGCTGATCTCGACGAGGTGGCTGAGTTGAGTTCTGTAGAGAATCGCTTTTGCTGAGCATGGTGGAGGCTGAGATTGTGCATGTTTAGCTGGGGGAGATGCTCCAACTTCATTCTGAGAGCGGCCGCCATGGAGCCCATGTGCCTGTCTTGAGACATGATGGGTGACTGAGGATAGTCGTAGTCTGTAAGAGGAGCGGGAGAGTGAGGGTCAAGGGGAGGTAATAAGTATCGACCAGAAGTGTCCAGCTGGTCGTTGGGAACGTCTGGGGACGTAAGAGAGGGCATTTAATTGCCTCAAGGTGTGTTATTGATTACTGTAAGCCAGACGAGGGTTTTGAATTTGGGTTTGAGTTGGGAGGGTGAAGGACGAGTGAGGGTTACAGGCGCAGTCAGGTCAAAGACTGGAGAACAAAGACTGGCGGTGGTGTGTTCGTGTGTGCCCTGTTTGCAATGACAAAAAGGACAACAGATAGATGTAGAGGACAGTGAATGAATCAGGTGTGTAGTGGTGTACAGAAATGTCAGGGGATGCAGAGAGGGAGGGATGAACGGCAGTGGATGGAGTCACGGAGTATATCTACGAGACTCGCAAATGACCTGATGCTGGAGGGCTGCAAGAGAATACTGGGGCAAGCCCGTTGGATGCTGCTGGACTGAGCGCGGACGGGGCAGGATCCAAGGGCACCAGGGTGGCCACAACTGTTTGCGCGTCTAAGAGACGTCATTGGCCGAGCCCACAGGGTCGGGGTGTCGATGGTGCTGGCCCGTGGGCTACCACTGCTCTCAGGTCTAGTGAGCAGCGGGCAGTCGGGGCGATATGCGCGGACGGTGCGATGGGGACTAGGGACGGATGGGTCGATGTTGATGGCCCTGGGCGATGATGGGCGGGCGCTGAGCCTGCCAGAAGGCGTGGCGATGGGACCCCCCAGTCAGACCAAGTCCGGCAGTCTCGAGCATTCTTTGCCCTAAGTTGTGTATCTGACGCAGCCAGCCAACTCGCCCGTGACGGGTTCCCACCTACAGCCACTTCTCAAGCCCACTCACCCACTCTACCACTCCAGGTCGCACGGCATCCACAGTCGCCGTGATCCCCACTGTGTCGCTTGACCCCGGTCAGCTGCCAAATCCCTTACCCCTGTCGGCTTTTAAACCTTGGAGCCTGTTGGATGGCATACCGTGCGAGCATACGAAGTTTCGCATACGCATACGCAGTAGACGCAGACGCCGTCGTGGCAGTCTCGTGGACTGGATTATGGCTGAAGGACGAAAAGGTCGGCTAAACCTGACCCGCCCGTAGCCCACCCCTAGGCCCTGAGTCCTGGGTTCTGATTCCTGGCTGGTGCATCCAAGGACCACAAGCCTCTCCACGTCGCTTCTCTGGGCGCAGCGAATCCTCACGCACCAATACGAACAATACCTCTCTCGCTCAGCCCTCAGCATGACTAAAACTCATTGGGATGCAAGCGTCAAGAGTCAAGACTCAGCACTACGAATCCTGCGGAGAGTTCTGTGTTCACTATATTCAACTTCGGTAGCTACGAAAAAGCCCATTACATGCGCAGCAGCGCCATTTGGCTGAAGGCCCCCGGCTGGTCCGAACGATGAATTTGATGGTTAGTACTTCTATGCGTAGAAACAGGCACTCCGGGTGCTGGTTTCGGGGTGTCCGTCCTGCGTCCTGATGCCTAAAGGCCGCGTAACTACTCCGCATTACCGTTAGTACTGGCCTAGGTGGTCACGGTAGTCAACCACCTGACAAGAATTTTTCTTGCGTGGCCTCGGTATGCGTTCGCACAGTGGCCCCTCGGCCTGTCGACTATCAGTTCTGGGCTTACAACATGCCACCGGATGCCTAATACCTGGTGCTGACGAACCTAACATGTCTGAAGTGATCATCCATGTTATGGCTGATCCCGCCTGGACCCTACCCATCATCAACTCCCGTAGGAACTGGTTGCACTTGACTTGACTCGTTCTGTGTCAAGGTTAAGACTCCCTATCATTATTATTGCTGTCATATCCAGCCTCTTTGATGGCGTTCAATACCAATCAAACTCTCGACATCCAAGTTCCGAGATGTCGGCATGTCGGGCAATGAGGGGTTTGGTGGTCACGTCAGCGAGATTGGCGGGCCAGCCATGATTGCTGGCTACCTTTGTACGCTTACAGGCGGATTCACAGACTTTTCCAGCGGTCCAGGTACCATGCGGGCGCGTGGAGAAACAGGTACCGCCAGCACCTCACAAGTACCTGCCTCAGTCATAGGACTAGTGAGTACCTAAAGCGTACCTTCCTTCTGGTGGCCAGGTACCGGACTTCCGCTCTGGGAATCCGGCCCGGAATATACGACACACGTGATCACAATCATCAGAAACCTGATTTCCAAGTGTGGCCGAATATTGAGTGCATGCAAGGTACACATCGGCCCGCATCTCAAGCCACACGACGTTCAAACAGTCTGAAGAATTTTACAAAATATTAGTGTAAACAAATATTGGCGACTCAGGCATCCTGGCACTGTTTTGAGGGACTTTATTGTGACTGTCTCATCGTGTTTCCAACTCTCAAGCGCAGCCACAAACTATGATGGCACGGTTTGTGTGGTGTTAAGGCAAGTATCTACTAGCCACACTGTCCACAACGCTTACAACCGAATATCTCCGTTGGACGGCTAGAGCAGGCCAGGTCCCATCAAGCTGCAACGAGTTTTACAACAGGCCACAGCGTTCCAGTTTGTTAATTTGCAAATCCTGACGCGCAAATGACCAATGCCATATGGATGCGGCTTCCCTGACAAGACGGGCGAACAAAAAGAGTAGTCGTCGAACCATGATTGGCTGGATGGGCTAGAGGAAACTTTTCAAGTCGGCCAACGGAGCTCCGACTTGCCGACGCCGACGTCGCCGCCGACGCCAAACTTGTTTTTCCTCTAAAGCCAGGACCATAGACCATTTCCAGTGCTTCAAATCACCACCACCGAATTTGATTATTTGTCCATTTGGGTCAAACTTAGGATGGGATGACCACGGAAGTCGACATGATGCAGCCAACCAGGTGTCAAGCTTCCCCAGCCGTTTGCGACTCTGCCACTGTACTTTACGTGTACCCTTTTGGCTCGGGGTTTATGATGTATCAACATTCTGGACAGTCAGTTCCATGAGTCCATGACGAACCTGCTGTGGTTCCGGTCTTGGCTCGGCGTGCTTAGTCGAGCTCGCCACCTCTTGCGCAATACCATGGCTGGAGCTTCTAATGCCGCAAGCCTTCAGCCATCCATGCACCCAAGCCAGCTTCCTCAAGCATGCGTCGTCATTTCTCCAGTGAGACAAGACGAACCAACTGAGGCCGGAGACAGGTGATATACCGAATCTGCTGTGCCTACTGTACTTTGTGACGCATACCTGTCTACCCAACAGGCAGTGATCCTCAAGAGACTTGTTGGTTGTTCGCTTGGAATGTTTGGTCAAATGCAAAGACGTCATTGAACAATGATTGGCTTGCTCATGACCAATCTTGCAACTTTTCACTGTGTGCTAAATGTCTCGAGTACATTAGCTTCACTCGCCAGCGACGTCTGGCGCGTCCGATCACGGCCTTTGGACGAGCAGCATAGCTTATGACGAGTCGGATCTTGTCTGCAAGATAGGTCGCATTTACCCAGATTTCGCCCGGCTTCTTTGACCATTCGTTTGTCTTTCCTGCAAGTCCCAGTCTCCAACCGACTTGACTCTATGTCGATCTGAGCGTTGGGACCGAAATGATGCAAACATGTTCTGAATTACTCCCAACTTCCCATTCCCCGCCTCTTACGAGGGATCCCATTGTATATGCCCACGACACCCAACGATTGGCCCTGTCATCGGCCACATCGGCGACTATTTGGCCGACAAGCCCAAACCCTAACGTCTATTAGCGTGTTTTGAACCCTGACTCATTCGTTCGAAACGAGGGAAACTCTGGGGAACCTGGCACGTAGTGACCTCCACCATCACACAAATCTTGTCAACAAATGCTTCTTCCATGTAGTGCGCGTCTACGTCGGTAGGACAATCAATTTGGTTGGTATCGATGCATCCAGCCACCTACCAGTAAAGCCATGATATGTCCGATATGCGTCCGGTCTATAGGTAGGCTGTCCAAGATCCAGCCATGTTCAACAGCTGGCTGGGCCGGCTCCCAGGTTGAGGACGATCCTTGTCTCATCTCTGTCCAACCTGATGAATGATGAATTGAACTGTAATTACCTGTTCCTTGATTAAGGGAACCTCCAAAACAAACATCAGTCTCGACAACGTAATCGCAATGGCCAGCAGCATCAACTCAATCTCTCGCTTCATCCTGTGCCTTACGTGAAGCCTAATTAATGGTACCTGGAACTAAATACTTGTCTCGAATCTCCATTGCATCAAGACTATGTACAGTATATTCATGTTGCGCCGTGGCATATCAAGTTTGTGTGCCACTATACACACATATCCAACTGGTGTCCCAGAAGGTAGGACAAATCATCTGCATTCCCTTCGACGACATGTGTCCCACAGAGTTCTGACAGCTCAACTGAAATAATAACATTCGAATGACGAGATGATACTTTTGCTTTGTCGCTGACACGCGCCTCGACTCGTCCATGTCATACCATATCGTGGCAACGGCTTTCGATTGATATGCTGGCAAACATGGTTGATCTCGAGACCCTGAAGCACCCAGACAGTCTGGAATGTTTCGTCAGAGTACCCAAAGGCAAGTCGAAGCTAGGTTTGACCCTCACGACCCCTAACGAAAACAAATGTGAAGATCTCAACACTCGACGTGGGTCACAACATCCCTGAGATCCAGCCCAGGAACGATGTACACAGCTGGGCATACAGAAACAGTAATGATGAGAGACGGCATCAGTTTCGACTCGCGCCAAGGACTCTGATCTACATGACCCTTCTCCGCCACATGGACCTCATCTCATCCACTCACCCATGGGTTCTCGTTTCAGGTCCTTGACCTTCTAGGCGCTTCCAACTTGCAAAACAATACTGGAACACCACGAGCACCTTGATCCCTACAGTAAGTACTATTGTTTTGTATCTGACGGTGCCGTACGTGCCTTCGCTGTCGTGACTGATCCGCCTGTGAACCTATCCATGAGCTGAAGGCTCCAGGCGACCCAATGGTTCAGGGTCTCAGGAACTTTGATACACCCAGAGAGCATTTCCATATGACGCGTACGTCATTTTAGAAGAATTTAGATCCAAATAGGGATATCGGCGTTCGTTGCTTATCGATAGTCCGGACAGTATCTCATATCTAAATGATCCTACGGATAATCAATACCACCAAGAACCAACCACACATCCATCTCTGAGACTACAGCACACTCAAATCATGAAGTCGGTGGAGTCTATTCTTGCTCATCGTAATAAGATGACCCTACTCCAGATATGTGATCATCTTGGGCAAGCGTGACGAACAACGCAATTCAATTCGTGGCACAGGCCCACCTTCTTAAGTCAGGATGAAATGCTTCACAACGCAGCAACTCGAAAAGTTGAACCGCATGCATGCTAAGTCGGCATGCGCCGAGCAATATCCAAAAATACTATGCGCTTGGCCCAACAAGACGATCTTTCTACTCATCCGTTCTCTCGAAAGATGCTTCCTCGCGACCCATTTCCCTCCCAGCAGTGTAACGTGGCGAGGAGGTGTGGATGCCTCCATTGCATTTGATATCTCCCACTTTTGCCATGTGTACAAACTCGCCGGAACCTTTCGGGCATCAATGATCTACACACTCAGGCATTCCAAACCTTTCCGGAGCCTCACAAGATCCCTGTGTACCACGATGTCCGTGGACAATTTCCAGGGTGTGCAGTTCAGTGTCCACACACCCTGGACGGTCCAGATCAGATAGTTCGCTTGCCTCCAAACTTGTCACCTCTACAGAATTTCATCCCGACACCCATAATTCAAATCTGACGAACATGCTCGGCCACAGGTGAAGCTGCAACAAATCCTTATAGCGCAGCAATTGTAACACCTGACAAATCAGATAGGTCAGTCAGCAGCGCCCCCCGTGTACGGAAAACGCATATGCACCACGTATTCAGGATTTGAAAGAAAAAAAGAGGATCTAAAATCGGAATATACTGTCTCTACTGGATTCAAGCCCCGATTTGTTCGACTTGATGGCGGCGCGAAGCATACGTGGGGCAAAATCTGACATGCATGAACAGTGAGTGAGGATATCATCCACTCCCAATTCCATTGCTTTTCTTCATGCTTGCGATTGGTTATCTACGCTCAGTCCTCGTATCGATTCTTGCGTCAAGGATTTTTGGTCTACGGTAAGTACTTACTTGTGTGGTGTGGTGGGTTACCACGGACCCAACCTGGCACGCCTAGCCATCCAGTCTGCCGTTCAGTGGTTCAGTGGTGGAGACGGTGATAGGACACCAGAAGGCACTGATCGTCGAGCTCGACGACTCAATTTCCAGCCCGAATAAAGATGCCATGTCTGATGCATAAGCACACAGACTCGTTCCGGCGCGGGGTCAACCAGGACCACGACGTTCGTTGTTCAGAGAAACAAGACAATGTCGGGGCCAGACGAACACGGACGGACGTAGGGTCTGTTGGAATGAATGGATACCTCGTGATGTTGAGGCTGGCTTTCCTTTTCCCGCCCTCAGAGTCACTCCTCATTTGACCGCCAATGTATATCTCCAGCATCGCACCCGCTAGCCCCCATGTTGGGATGACTGCAGTCATGTTCCTTGTTCATCTCTGCAATGCACATGTTGACACGTCAAAAGGGAGGAGCACCAAGACATTTGTCAATTGGATCCATCTGATTTGATGTGTTTCATCTCACTTGTGAGTTGTCTCTGCTGCTGAGGTCTGATCGCAGTAGGCACTTCCAGCGAGAGGAAGAGAGAGTAACCATGTAGCGAGGAATTGCTTGGAGCCTCATCATCATGGTGGGCGTCGTAATCAACCACTGGTCTCCTGCACCTCAGCACCATCCACCACAGGATGGAAAGGGAACCAAAGCCTGACTAGACCAGCTCCTCCGATAGATCGCTTTGAGACGATGTTTTGGGCTGGATTCTGACAAGCAAGGCCTTTTTTTTTGATGGACAATGTCTATGGAAACTCGTCTATGACTGATTAAAATTCCAATCGTGTTTTTGTGGGTGAGCTCAAGAACCAAGGCCTTTTGATTCATCCAAGGCCAGTCTATGTCTAGCCTCGACAAGTTCAAGAGACTTTCCCCGAAGCCTCCATTACCGTACAATGGCAAAAGGCGCGGCCAATAGCACAATGCGCAATACGCGGCTGTCGCAATTCAGATATCGATATCAATGCCGAGATCCATGTTTGCGAGAATCTCGTCGTCGAGGGCAGCCTTTCGAATCGTTGGAAGACCTCCTTTCTTTTTCTCCGTTGCCTTAATGATAAGTGGGTTCGGCGTTGAACTTCTCGGGACCCCGTTAGAGCTCGTCAGTGGATTTGGAGTACCGACACGCGAAATTGGTCCTCTTGGAGTGCTTGCCCCATTGACTGGCGTTCCCGTGCGACTGATGTCGCTGCCGCCTTCAAACAATTCATCGATTCCTGGCGCGACCTTTTTAGCCTTTCGCTGTCGGATTTCGGCCAATTGTGCTTTACGCACATTCTCTGCGTTCAGTCTTTGATTTCGTAGATTCAGCTCGGCCAGTTTCTCTGAGTCCTTGTTGACAAACCCTCCATCGCCGCGGGAAAGCGAGGTCTTGAATGCAAGTTTCATTGGGACGATCACCGCCAGTTGTTCTTCCAACTCGACAACCAATTCCTCATTACCATCCATCTTGGCCTCGGCAATCTTCTCCCTCAGACTGTCCTTTTCCTGCCTCCTGTTGATCTTATCCATGAGGTCGTTTTGTCTCTTCATCTTTCCAGAGATTTCAGCTTCGGTAAAGCGATGTGACAAGAGTCGGCCGATCTGATTGAGTTTCGAGTTGATTAGACCTTTGGTTGGCATCTTAAGGTCTTCATTCGCCATGGTGGATCGATAGCGTCGCCACTCGTCGTCAGTGATCTTTGACATGGAGCACTCGAGGAACGACCATAACTTTTCTGACTTTCCATGAGCTGCTCGGACATACATGTCCACTGGAAATGGCCGGCCATTGGTTCCTATCATCGCGTACGGCGGACCCTTGGCAAACCCCTTAATGAGGCAAAGGCGATAGTCATTGACGCCGGGATTGCGGGAATTGGGGCCCAGGCATACACGAGCGTAGCAATCGGTGATGGCGTCCTCAAAGCCGGGGGTGTAGCAGACTTGGGCAAAGTTGTCGCGACCAACTCTGGCTCTTTGAATGTCGCCTAACTCAGCGGCAGGATCGTCTTTGGGCGGGGTTGGGGAACGTCTGTCGTATCTCCTATCTTCGTAGTCATTGTCGCTCTCGCCATCGGCATCGGCGTCACTGAAGTTGTCTCTCGGGGATGCTGATCGTCTAGCAGAGTCACCCTTCTTGCGCTGCTCGTCCCGAAGACTTTTCTCTGCCCTCTGTAACTTGTATGCTTCGATGGCGCTACTTGCTTCCCCAGCACGACCACCGCCAACCTTTGTTCGCTGTCTGGTGGATTTTCGCTGATTTTCATCCAGGTCTGCCACGCTTGCTTTCCGCTTTTTCTTCGCAGCATTTTTAGCCTCTTCTCTTGCTCGAGCAGCGACAATCCGGCGAAGCTGTAGATCTTGTTCATGATGTTCGACTTGCTCACTACGCGTTGCAAGAATGGTTTCTCTTTCGATTTCAGGTAGAGCTTCGATCTCGGCTTTGTCTTTGGCACTGTAATAGAGCTTTTCGTAAGGAAAGATCGGTTGATCAGCGCCAGGACCAAAGTCAGCCTCGGAGTCTGATTGCGACATCGAAGCCGATTCGGAATGTTGAGAAAGCGACGATCTAGAGAAAACTTAGTGATCAAGGCGACAAAGGACGGTGTCCGCATACTTACAACTCGTCTTCATCATCTGAGTAGTTTTTGCGGCGCCTAGCGCGCTTTGTGGTTTTGGCAACGCCTTTTCGAGACATGTCTGGTTGAGGCGAAACGCGAGAATTGCTCTTCGAACGAGATGGCGATGGAGACTTTGGTTTGGGGGAGGAGCGTACGCTTTCTTCACCGGAAGAATCGCCTCCGGCGAGAGCGAGGAGTTCTGCATCGAGGTCGGCCATCGTTGCTGGAGGGAGCCCTGAGTGATGAGTGAAAAGTAGCTCGGTCACGTGGAGTGCAGAGCCAGCGGCAGTCAGTGACTCCTCGGAGTTTTAGGTGGCAAGTATTCAAGAATTTGTCGTAAATGATGCGAAGATGCAGTACAAGTACAATTCTGTCCTGATTTCGGGGTAGAGGGGATAAGGTAGAGACTGGAGCAAGGCGAGGTAGTGAATGTGTTCACAATTTGAGGAATTGTTTGTCGGCGTTATAGAAGGGCGAATGCTGATTGAGACCGTGAGGAGGTCAGGGATGGACTCGAAGGTGGAATGAATAGTGGTGACAATACGCAGCCAGCGTCTTTGAAGGAAAACGATGTCAAAGAAGAGAGACATGTTGTCGACTTCTGACTCAAATTCTAGACTAGACCAAGAATTTCATGACTCAGAATAACCCAATCACATCACAGAGAAAGTGCGTCATTTATTCATAACCTTCTCTGAAGCTATGTCTTCTACGGCGGAGTATCATAGTACTCTTACTTCATTTTCAACGTGGACAGCATTATTTGATGGCCTCATGATGTACATTCGACTTCAGCCCCAGGGCTTCTACAAACACAGCTAATAAGGCTCTTGAGGAGTCTAGTCGATTTTGCGGCCATGTTGCATCTTAGCAAAAGCCCCATTCGCACAGCTTATTGCTTGAAACCATTGAAAGGATGCTTCTCTTTCGCACCCACACGGCGAATGCTCTCCTCTCCGTCCACAGATGCGTCCGAACCTCAAGCCTCGCCCAGCAGACCTAGAACGACCCTCTCTGAGGAGCAAAGAAAGTTCCTCGATAGCGCGCTCCGTGTAAACCAGGCTGGAGAACTTGCGGCGACCCTGATTTACACTGCTCAAACCCCTCCGATCGTAAAGGCACATCCTCACCTTCGCCCGTTGATGAAACATATGTACGACCAAGAAGCCGCACATTTCAAGACTTTTAATGAGCTCATGGCCAAACATCGAATACGTCCCACTGCCATGTATCCTGTATGGCAAGCCGCTGCCACGATCTTGGGCTGGACCACGGGGATGATGGGCAGAGAAGCTGCCATGGCCTGTACAGAAGCTGTCGAGACTGAGATTGGCAATCATTACAATGGACAAGTCAGAGAGTTGTTTCAATGGATGCAAGAGCAGAAGGATAAGGGCGAGGAGCTCGATCCTGAGTTGAAGGATCTGATCGACAACATCAAACGCATTCGGGATGAAGAACTGGAGCACCTAGACCATGCTGTCGAAAATGATGCAAAAGAAGCCAAGCCGTATGAACCCATAACTGATATCATCCGGTATGGGTGCAGGAGCGCCATATGGATCAGCGAAAGAGTTTGATAGGGACTATTCTCGCGTTGTTCCATTATGCTGTGCAACAGGCTGCAAGTAGTTCCTTCTGGTTTGAGATGAAGCGGATCAAACCTGTCTGTCCATACCCCATCGATTTTCCTGGCCCGGCAAGTCATCCGGCATGCACAGATGCCCTCCGTTGAGTCCTCAGGGGTATGTCGAAAGACGTGGCTCCAACATTGGCAGGCGGTGAGAGGGGAGTGCTCGCATCTCTACATGAAACTGCTCTCTCATGCCGCACCTTGTCGTGCTCTTCACAAAATCGACACTGGCTCATAACCCAGCTCTCAGCCAAAACAAAACCTTTACATGTCTTTTTCAGCACCATGTTCAACTGGTATTCCTTGCTAGGTTTGCAATGGACCAAGACTTCTTCCGAGTGTTCTTGGTCGCAGCCGAAGTGAACAACCTTGATGGCTCTGCACATTGTCACAGCGAAGCTGACAGTGACTCCTGTTCTTTTGTTGGATGACAATGATGGGGAACCTTCGCAAGGAGCAGAAAGGCTTGACGAGGTCAACTTCTGGACATTCATTAGTACTGGTACGCGTTGAGGGTGACACACTTACCTGTCTTGGATGTTGAGGGATCTTAGCAGCCGCGAATTTAGGTTGCACAGCATGAAGGTGGATAAAAATAATGATGGTTTCACTAGGGCAGTTCGGTCTGGGCCTGGAGACTGGGCAGTGTTAGTTGGGATCAAAAGCAGAGGAAGAATTCTCAAGAACCGTGGGATGGTTGCCTGCGGTTTGACAACAAGATCGTTTCAGGAAAGTCCGACTGTCAGGGAGGAAGTTTCCCAAAGGTAGTGGGAAGTCTCTGATTTAGTTTTCTCTTTGTCGCGTCACTGCTTGATGTTTCAGCAAGCGGAGAAAGAGAGATGGGTGGTAGAGAAAGAAAGGGCAAGTGAAGACAGAAGATTTCAGCCTGCTCCTCACCTGATTCACTCAACGCAGTGATTCAACAGCTTGAATCCGGGGCAAATTTTACATGATCCATCGCAATCAACACTGCTGCGCTGGCATTGAGCATCCTTAAACCCCTTCCTTGCCTCCCAACCCATCTTCTGTCATTTTCTGTTGGCCTCAGTGCACCTCATCACCCACTGACAACAAAAACTCATGACCCAGCTCATCTTCAGCAAGACATTCAGCAGGTTTGCCTTCATTCATGCCAACATCAACCACACCATTCAACATCTCTTAAAACGCAGACAGTCATGTGCCGATACGTCCTCGAGACCTGCCCTTACCCCGATCAAGATCCGGTTACTGCTCTGATCTTTGAACCTACCAAGCTCAAGCTGTGGGAAATCTGCGAACTGCCAACAGCATGGGGTCGCCTCAGCTGCGGCAATCTTGTCATCCAACATTCACTCTCTCCAGCTGAGCAAATCGTGTCTACGCCAGTCAAAGCTATCCTTACCACTCATTCCAATCTTCCCTCCGAATCAGATTCATGCCTCAAGACAAACTTGGCACACGTACCTCATCCTTCAACCGACAGCGCCTATGTCGCCACCAATATTCAAATGAAGCAGCCTCAAGAGACCGCAGCATGTGTCTGGTGTTCTGCAGTCATGAAGTACGCGGCCACCAAGTCAAATGAAGTCCGAGCCTTAGCTCAAAAGTCACTTGATGAAATTGAAAGAGTCATGGACACGAGCGAGGAGCTGAGAGCGATCCAGAGAGACATTCATATCAAGACTCAAGAGCTGAACTCTCTGAGGCACGTCGCTTGGGCTTTGTCACGTGAGCAATGGGAGGACAAGCTGGTCAAAGACACTCAAGAAGAGAAGGATAACTCTGACAGTTAGGAGCATATCGAGCAGTAGTGTGAGCTTTCTGGATGCCTTGTTTGGCAGTCCACCACAATCACACATACGAATTAACAGCCTCCATTCACCCCACCAGATTTACGGTCTACCTTTTTTTTCCTTGGGTTCAAGCAAAGTTCACTTTGCTGGCTGATATCTTGGCGATGTCCATTTACTATTATTGATAGCCCAATTCATGATATGCGGACTCGCCTTTCCTAATGGATCTTACATCTCCGCAGCACCGAATCTGTTCTGATAACAGAGCATCGAGCTGCGGTTATGGTATCAGTGAAGCACCCTGGACAGTTGATCAACACTAGCACCGACGAAGTAAGTCAAGGGATGATCACTCACTACCAATCGATGGCTTGTCTTGAGCACGAGGTGTTGCCACTCGTGAATGAAATCATCCTCTGGGTAATCGTCGTGGTTCACGTCCAAGTGACCACGAGGAGCCCATATTCGAGGGACGATTGCAATTGCACGCCCTATATACAGGAATTAGCTTTATGGATGGTTGAATTTACCACCACAGACTGACCATGAATGCTTTGGTTGCTGACGATTCTCAGTAATGCCTCGCCGGCATCGCCAATTTCTGCCAACACCACTCCCTTGGAAGTGATGCGTTCAAGAGCGGCGTCGTTGATGATGTCGGTCTTGATGTACCTATTCCCTGTCAGAATGAAGCACCCACTTCCATTGGTGTGTAATATAGCATACCAAGGAGCAATATAGTTGACTCTTGTGCCATGAATCAAGCTTGTCTGTCTGAGGGAGCCCAACATGCCCCGCAACCCATATTTGGATGCATTATATTGGGGAGTGCCTGGTTGGTTAACGTAGCCTGCCAGGCTACCCTGAAGGACCAGCGAGGTCACAGACGACGGGTCTCGTGCAGCCTGTGCTTCAAAATAATGCAAGGCCAGTTTCACCGTGTATGTTGCTCCAATCAAGTTCACGTTCAAAATCTTGAGGTCCGGTTCCTCGGGCTCGCCTCCTTCTGCTGCGCCTGGAGGGTCGAGACGTCAGTGATCAGTGTCACATAGATATAGCCCAGGATGGTTCGCTTACTTGGGTTAAGAAAGACGGGATCTTGGCCACTGATGCCAGCGTTCACCACCACAATGTCGATGTTGCCCGATGGTGACTTTGCAGTCGCCGACTTGAACAGAGCGGCTTGATCTGCCCACTTGGTAACGTCACATTTTGAGTAGTGAACTTTTCTGCATGTCTAAAGCGTAAGCCTCGAACATTACTGGTATCAACTGGGAAGAGAAGATGGTAGACTTGCCCTGGGTACTGCTTGCTCAGCTTGTCTGCTCCATTCTGATCGAGATCTCCGATAAAGACGGTAACACTGAGATGGTGGTCAGTCCGTGGCTAGATCACCAGGTGTAACCCAGATGTCCTTACCCGGCATTTACAAGGACGTGTGTATATGTAGCTCCTATGCCGTTACTGCCTAAATGGTGTTAGTCAAGACCAACATTGCCAGGCCTCTGTATAGCCACACAAACATTAAACCTTACCGCCAGTGACGATTGCTGTCTTGCCACTCAGGCTTGACGCGTCAACCGGTGTTGAACAGTCAACTGGCCCGGTGTTTTGATATCGAGCACTTGAAGATGCCATAGTCGCGTTGGTTTCTCAATCGTTATTGATGCAATCAAAACCTCAGCGAGCAAATTTTCGAGAGATCCAGGTTTCTACACGTCTACCTTTATGCATGTATCTATTCACTACAGGCTTGCAAAGACCCGAAGCCGGATATAAGACCTTTGTCGATACTATTCTTTCTGACTCTCGTCTACACTCACTCGGTACCTCGGATACCCCGCAGAATAAAACTCCAACGGTGGTGGGGGATTCGGGGCAAACTCTAACCCAAGGCTCCATTCTGCTGGATGGACCCATACTACCACAACCGTTGTCGATGTGTTGGGCGACTGTTGAAGGCTCTTGTGAAGCTGGTGCTCATGAGATATGGTCCTTGAGTTGAAGTCCATGTGCAGCGACAGTATCCACTCAGTGGTTGCTTGGGATAGGTGCCTAGGGTATTTGGTTTGCTAATACCAAGAGCGAAAGTCGCAACATTCTGGATTTACCTTTGTGTGGTGCTTTACCTTCAAGGTCCAGACTGGCTGGTCCAAGGTGCCTGAAACCACAGAACCCCATCGCTACGTTGAGCTGCATCTGGAAAAGTAATCCAGCGAAACAAGCAACACTGAAGGAAGCCAGGGCTTGTAGTAGCGTTGACAGGCAATAGCACCCTCCCGAGCACCCGCCGCCACAAAAACCGCACGGCCGGGCCCCAAGTGAAAGAATTAGCGACGATAAGGCGAGTTCAGAACGGGTGACCCAGGTTGGTAGTGGGATCAAGGTACCGGGTACGCAAACTGTGGTCCAGATCGCGTCCAAATTTCTTGGAAACGGAAAAAATTCAATGCTCGGCACGCATTTACTTTAACCCGGGGATGACGTGTAGCCAATCACAGAGCGCCAAGACTGTCGACGACTTCGCCGGATTCTCACGACTAGAATCTGGGTTTTTTTCTCCCATCAAGACGACATTCGAAAACAAATCAGAACCGCATACAATTGGGAAACAACAGTGTCAGAGTGGTTGCGCCGAATCCGAGGGCAGCTCTGGAGGTTGGATGGTGCACAATGCCGGCTTTATTGGAGGATCCTGATTCAGGTGTGATTTATCGTCAGACAGGCCATGTGCCCTACCCGACATCCGACAACCCCCAGATACCATCTTCGATATTCCCACGACCTGTCACGTTGCGCGATCGAATCACAGTCGCAACTCTGGTGCCATTCTTCTCGCCTGATGCCGTTCCAAAGAGGCTACTCGCCTACCTAGGTGAGAACCTCAACAAGGAAATCGAAGGCGGAGACACCTACCCCATGAAGGACCCTTTATCTCTCGACAAATTTGGTTCTTACTGGTTTGGAAATTTCGGCGCCATCATGATCATGGGAGACATTGGTGGGATTGAGGCTGTTATCGACATGGAACGCACGGGCGCCGATTGGAGCAAGCTGTGTTTGGGCAGTTTTTATGTCAAGCCCAACTATCCAGGAAGAAGCAGTCATGTCTGCAATGGTGGATTCCTCGTGACGCCTGCGGCTCGCAACAAGGGCGTGGGCAAATCGATGGGTCAATGTTACTTGGACTGGGCGCCTCAATTAGTACGGATTTCCTTTGTCACTCGCGACCCGTTGTGCTGACCAAACAATTTTCAGGGATATACCTATTCGGTGTTCAATCTGGTGTATGAGACGAACACAGCATCAACAAAAATATGGGATTCACTCGGATTCAAGCGAATTGGCAAAGTGCCTGGTTGTGGGATTTTGAAGTCATCGCCTGAGCCTGTTGATGCCATCATCTACGGACGCGACCTCTCCTCAGAAAGTGAAAATGTGGCGTCAGAAGAACGATTTGATAAAATCCGTTATTATCTTCGGCACCAACTCTACCCGCAAGGCGCTGATCGATCAGAAAAGAGTCGCTTACGGAGTGCAGCAACGCACTATAAATTAGTTCCAGGGCAAGATGGCGTGGCGGAGAAATTGATGTTGAAAGACAAGGAGGTTATTTCGGACCCGCAGGCACAGTACGACATTGCCAAATCAATCCATCATCAGACTCATGGAGGTATCAATAAAACCACAGCCATCATCGCAACGAAATACCACTGGATCCGGATCAAAGAGACAGTCAGTCATGTTATCAAAAATTGTCCGGACTGCAAAGACACCAACAAGCCCCCTGTTGGCCGTGGTGAGACAAGACCTGGGAGAAGCAAGACCATTGATGAAGCGCCGCCAAATCTGCCACTGCCACAGTCACAACCACCTCCACCACCGATACCTGACGTGACAAGCCTATCGCAAGAAGATCTATCGGCTAATCATATATCGGACCATGACTTTGTCTCGATACAACAACCGATGGACCTTGCCAATGGCCACTTGAGTGATCCGGACAGCCACCTCCACGCTTACGACGAGATGGCGATCGATCCACAAATCATGGAGCAGATCCAAGCAGAAATGAATTCGACATATGGACCCAACGCGCATGCCTATGTGCAGGCTGGTCTACCATCGTTCGCCGACACGTCACACTTGCAATCCCATCATGACCCGCATGACTTTGGCCAACAGCCTTCAGACCACCAGTTTATTCACGACCCGACCTCAAACATGATGGGCCACGACCATGTCATGAACGACGGAAACCCAGGCACCGGACTCAACAACATGCAACCGATGCAGCACGTATTACCCATGGATTACATGCATCCAGATCCACAAAACATCAACAATACGGATGCAAAGTATGAATTGTGAAGAGGCGTTGGTGGATGACAATGAGTTGGTTTTTATTGCACTTTCTAGACAATTCGATTCGACCGTGATTAGGGCGAGCATGCTGGACGTGCAACATGTCCGAAGCAGGCATTTTCTTCTTCAAAGGGGACGAGTGGTGGCTTGTGGTTTGTAGTCGGCAGCCTTGAGGCAAATTACGGTGTTGAGCAGCCTCAACATTCGAATGATTCTTGCATGACTTGGAAATATTGTGTGCACCAGTGCAATGAGACTGTACGAAATTTATAGAGCAACAGCCAGTTCAAACTGCTTCGATCTTTGGAGTCGTTGATGAGTTTAACAAAGCCCTAACTAGTGTGCTTATTTCCACGGAGGTGAAAATAGGCTAATAGGCACCTCAGGTAGTAAATTTCTTTAGGGGCGCTACGGGCTTGATCTGAGCGACCCGTGCCTAAAGAGCGCCTAGAAGTCCTTCAGCAAGGGGGAAGGGTCAGCTGGGAGGACCAACTTGGTGCCTGGAAAATGCCCGGCATCGCCAGGCGGGCAGACACGACGATGTGCTGAGCTACCTTTCCTTGCGGCAGAGGGCGCAGTCACGTGTGAAAACCCTACCCATGTCCCCAATCCCCCCAATCCACCTCTTCGAAATTGGTACTTGTACGTAAAGGCTGCCGCTGTCCTCCAGCATGAGGATCATTAATCCCTACCTCGACCATCTCCACGATACCCGACCTAGCCTCTGAATCTCCGCCCAGCTTATCTTCCCGCCATTTCAGTCACTGCTATTCAAACCTCGGTCGACTTGATCCTTCTAGGCCTTGTTGACGACGACTTCACGGGCGAATCTTGGTGATCATCTCCCAACGATGACTGCTGGAAACCAGCTTGTCATTATGCTGAAGCAAAATGCCTTCTACAACAACCAAAAGGGTCTCACGTGCGAGACTTCGGACCAAGACCGGATGCATCACCTGCAGAGATCGACGTAAGAAGTGCGATGAGCGTAGGCCAATCTGTCAGGCATGTCAACGTCTCAAGATCTACTGCTGCTATAGGGATGCTTCTGAAGGGCTCAAATCACCGACTCCGACCCCAGCTGTTGTCGCCGAGAGCCCTGCTGAAGACCATGATTCGGTCGAGATAGTACCAACTCCTTCGCCACAAAGCACGTCCCTAATCCTTCGCCCACAAGGTCTGAGGACTCAACGAGACTTTGACCTGTTTCACTACTGTTCGGAAAGATTCATCCCACTTTTGACCATCCCTGACGCCACATACGAGTTCCGAGATGCCGCCCACGTGTTTGCAGTCGGCTTCGACGAGCCTTGGGTCATGCATGCCGCCCTCGCCCCAGCTGCACTCCATGCATCACACGCCGAGCTCATCCCCAAAGAGGACGCCATCGTCTATACTCAGAGTGCCCTAGAAGGACTACGCCGTGCAACCGAACGGGTGGTAGCTAGTTCTGAATCGAGGGAAACCTTTCTTGCAGCTTCCTTGTTCATGGGTGTGTTTGAGGTAAGTATCCCCAGACTCCCAAGAACTGAGTCGCACTAATTCACCACCGCCAGGATTTCTACTCTTCACTATCGAGTTCCAGCCTCACCCACTACCGTGCGATTGGCAAGGTGTTGGAGATGAAAGTCGATGGAACAGCTCGACTGGACTTGAGCCGCATGTCATTCTTTGAAAGAACCCTATTGGACTCGGTCCTCTACCATTTCTCCACCAGGATCTTATACGAACGCGACATTGAACTCAGCTGCTCCGCATTCCCCAGCGTAGCCATGGCGAAATACATTGACGCCCTGGAGCATGCACCCAAAGACAACAGTAATCGAGATACCATTCTACCCGTGCTGGGCAAGATTCCCCCTGCCATTTTCCTCCTTATCTATCAAGTTACTTGGCTGAGTCGGCAGCATCCGCTGGACGAGTCGAACCAATCGCTTGCCGTCGACTGTCTTGCCGAGTTGGATGCGTTCCAAGAAAGATACCCAGCACTCGCATTCTCACCGACCGATAGCCTTGTGGGCATGCGGAATTCAGACATTACCCCCAAACTCTACGCACTTGCTCTACGAATTTTTCTTGCCAAGATCATCGACCCGGACAACGTCTCGTGCGATTCGCCTTGGATCCAGGAGCTCTCCAGAATCGGCTTTCGGTTGCTGCAAAGGTACGATGGCACCGAACCATGTGGACAGCTGATATGCTGGCCTGTCGTGGTGTTGGGCTGTGCCGCATGTCCCACCACCATGGACGAAGCCATCCTAGAATCTGTCGACGGCGATTTTCTTTCTGACAGTTCTCACATGCGTCAGAAATTGCAAGAGGTCCTACTCCAGATTTGGAAGGTTTCGTATTCGGGCAATGTCCGAAGGACAGCGAGTACGTTACGGCAAATTTGGGCACTGCCGACGTTTCTCATCAGGACTCCCTCTGTTGATTCCTTACCCACAAATCAGATCAGATATGACGGTTTGAAGGCTTTGATCTCTAAGGCTGGTCTTGGTCCCGAGAGCTTTTCGTCGTTGCCGTGAATAATAATTTGGCCTGCTACGACAAAGTCATTGCTGCACCAAGATGCGAAAAACTACTGACGATTCGATGAGCCACGTTACACGAGTTTTATAGCCTAATTTAATGACCAGTGGCGTACGTATCATGCTCTAGATCTTGTCGACTGCCTCATGCCTTGTTCAGAATCGAATCAACCACTCGAGAAATATTGATGACCTCTTCGTCTCGCATACGAGTGGTGGCTACCTGTATGGAGACTGGGGCGCCATCGAAAAGCTCAGGAATGTCTAGCACGGCGCGTGTTAGATATACTGCGTCCAATACACGAAGCCAGAATTCACTTACAGCTTGTTCCAGCTTGTCCAGGCTGTGGCTGGAATGGCTCGCTATCAATTTCCTTGGAAGCCTTACTGAACGGCATGACCACGGATGGAAACTGATTAAAGGTTAATCCGGTAGCCGGTACGACAGAGATTTAATCAACTTACATCGAGGACATTGAAGAGGACGGTATAAGGTGGCCAGCCAAAGGTGTCATGTGGCACAGCAGTGTTCTGTGCGGCTGGTGCAATGATGGCATCCAGCTTGTGGTGGTTCCATAGTTTCCTCCAGTCTTCAGTGTACTCTTGTCGCTTGACGGACAGAGCGGCATATTCATGCAACTTGTCCAGATGCTTGAAGTCGGGAATAAACTTGTATTTTCCATGATTAGCTGTGGCGGTCTGGGCGAGGACCGAAGGCACTGGCGGCTCGCCACTGGCCTTCAGATGGCCCATTGCAGCACCTGGGGTCAGAGTGAACAGCTCGAATGAGAGCTCGCATGCGTCGGCAACCCGCGTCTCACCGACATCCAAATGAACTATCTCATGCCCCTGGGCTTGGATGAGCTTGACAGCTTCTTCGAGCGCTCTCTTGACTGGGGGGTGCAACGGATACAAGGGATCAGCTGGCAAGACACCAAACCTCAGACGGCTATTGGTGATTGGCTTGAGGGTGCGCCAGGGGACGTCCAGCGCGGTAGAATCGAGCAGGGCAGGGGTTGAGTCGATGACGGCTTTAGCAAAGATTTCTAGCGCCTCGAAGTCATTGGCCAAAGGTCCGGCAGATGCCACAATGGGCTTGAAGCCTGGCAAGCCGGGGATGGCCTGGCCGCCATATGGAATGCGGGAGGATGTGGGTTTGAACCCATAGGTACCACAGCACAACGATGGGATGCGAATAGAACCCGCAACATCAGTGCCAACTCCGATAGGAGACCCTCGCATGGCAACAAGAGCACCTTCGCCGCCACTCGATCCTCCAGCATTCAAGGCCGTGTTGTGAGGATTGAGGGCACGGCCAAAGATGTTGTTGTGGGAATCGGCCGTCATGAGCGTCATAGGGATGTTGGTCTTGCAGTAGAGAACAGCGCCAGCACCGAGCAACACGTCGACCAAGGGTGAATTGGCCTCGGAGAGTTTTCCCAGGAACGAGACATAGCCAATACTAGCTTCGAGACCCTTGATTTGGAATCCATCCTTCATACTGATCGGAAGACCATGTAGAGGACCCAGAGGTTTCCCGTCAGCCTTGGCCTGGTCCAACTCTTTGGCACGGGCAATTGCCTGGTCAAAAAAGGTCTCAGTGAGACATGAAACCTAGTAGATTAGAGGGAGACCTGAGGTCAGCATAGGTCCATGTAGTTGGAATCACACCAGTGAGGCTCTTCGCATTCGGGCATTAAGGAGAATGAGGCGGGGAGAATTTATCCCTTACCAACTGTTGAGCTATCGCAGCCCTCTTACAGAATGCAGTCGCCACTTCCAGAGAAGTGTATGCACCCGAAGCCAGCTTGGACAAGAGTTCAGCGACGGTGTTTGACTCTGTGATTTCAACTTCTCGTTCCGACAGAATACCTGATCGTTTAGGGATGTCGAGGTCCAAGATCCGGTTGGCATTTTCCTCGAGCGGGTACTTCAATTCCTTTTTGATGGACTCGGGGATCTTCCATGCCTCGGGAATCAGAGATTGGCTCTTCTTCTGTTTGGCGGCAACGATGGTCTGCCAGTCTGAGTTTATGGAGCCCATTTTCGGGTGCAATGCTAGAGATGAGTGAGAGGGAGGGTTGGGGTAGATAAGTATGAAGTATGAATTGAATATAAATATAAATATAAATGCTCCGTCGACGTTTGATATTCAATCTCTTATTAGGACGGAGAGGAAACAACAAGATTAAACTTGAGCGGGGTCGAGATCTTAGGTTCTACTCGATATAGGGTGATAGAAGTCCTTAGGATGAGATCAACCAACTATATATACTACTGCTGTATCCATCTATCGTTCAACATCCGACACAAGAACGCCGTGACAACGTTAATCATTTCGGTAACCAGACGGCAATCATGACATCCATCTCAAGTAGGTATGTACTTGTCTTGTACGAGAGAGTATATTTTATTTCTTAAGCACGCAACAGCCTTTGTTCTCTGTGGTTGGCTTGAGGCGCCCCTCAGCTCCTGTCTACGACTATCCGTATATCCATGTCCATAACCCCGCCTTTAGAGCCAATCCGGCGGAGATCGATCGTATTGGCCAGACACTGCCAGAGGACAGTCTGCCTGAGAAATAAACAGACTGTGTTTTTAGGTGGCCTGGCGTGCCTGGGTGCCTCGGTAGAAGCAGAAGGGGATTTCTGGGGTAGAGATCTTGGGTTCTTGGGTAATTGTCTTGGTCACCCTGATGTGGTGATGATGGCATGCTGTTGATGATACGCTGTTCTCCGCCCACCACAGATAGCCAATCATCCATCTTTGCGCGGCCCCTCCAACAACGGCAATGAGATAATGAACGGTCAGACTGCTTGCTCCAAATGCTGGTGCGAACATCAACCTTGGCTTTGTACGAAGAGAAGTCTAGATTTCTAGTCTTGTTGGTGGACACATGGTGGGCGGCGTCCGCGGCGACCGTTCGTCAGTAGTATAATAATTATTATCCTTGGATTTAAAGGTTCGGCACTTACGAAACAGAACTAAACAGGCGAAACAGGCGACACACCCTATTCCACCGAAAAAGCCGCAACGATCAAGGTTGCTTCTTTGAGGACCGCTGACGCATATTGGACTGGGGATCCTGGGCTCGGACTACATGATTAGGCTGCCAGCATGGGCGAAGCAGGAACCTCGAAGATTCCAGCCGAATTGATATCGAAGCTCTCGGCAGATCCAGGGACTCCAGTACCTGACCCCACCGTATCGTTCTGGCAGGAGCCGGTCTTGCCATTTGCAGACCAGCAATCTCCTACTCTAGCAGAGAGTGCTGATGTGGTGATTTTGGGTTCCGGCATCACTGCTATCAGCACTGCGCAGCATCTCCTGCGTCTTGATGCGTCGTTGAAGATTGTGATTCTGGAGGCTAGGAGGGTCCTCTCTGGTGCTACGGGGCGAAATGGCGGACATATCAAGGCTGTTCCCGTCGCAGATTATATGCAGTTGAAGAAGCAGTTGGGTAGGGAGAGTGCAATGAAAATCACACGGTTCAGGCTGGCTCACTTGGATGCGTTTGTCAAGGAAGCTGAATTACTTGGCGAGGCGGGCGAGGCGGGATTGGTGAGGCGAGTTGAAGCCTGCAGTGGCTATTACGACAAAGCTGCCTGGGAAACTGCAAAGTCTAATCGAGAAGGATGGCTTCAAGATTTCCCAGAAGAACGTGAGCGATGGACCATTCATGAGCAAGATTCAGAGTTGAAGGTATGTCTGGGGACTGCGTCTGAGTCGATGGACGCGGCGATTCGAGGTTGACTGACGAGGTGTATGTAGGAAATGGGTTTAGTCAATGCCTATGGCGCTCTTCGTGGACCGGCTGGGGCAGCATGGCCATATCGGTTTGTTGGCGCAGTTCTATCCCAGTTGTTAGCGACTGGACAAGTGATGCTCGAAACTCATACCCCAGCGACAGGCGTCAGGCGCACCACCACAGCATCTCACCCATATCAGGTGGAAACCCGGCGAGGAATCATCTCGACCAAGCATGTCGTTCATTGCACCAACGCATTTGCGGCGCATCTACTTCCCGCTCTTCGTGGCAAGCTATACCCATTGCGTGGGCAGATGACTGTCCAGTCAGTTCCTGATGACTTCCCTCGCTCTGGGGCAAAGAGATCTTGGAGCACCATATGGGCACGAGGGTTTGACTATATCACTCAGTCGCCGGGACCTGACGGATCCCTGTATCTTGGAGGAGGTCTCTTGCAAGGCGGATGGGAGAGGGATCGAGACATTGGAAACACGGACGATAGCCAACTTAGCGCCCAATGTCTCGAACACCTCGAACAGGTACCTGGAAAGGCATTCTTGCATGGTCAAGGGGCGCAGATAGACAAGAAGTGGACAGGCATCATGGGATTCACAGGCGACGATCTGCCATTTGTCGATCGACTCGCCAGTCATGTATCGGGTCGTGAAGAGTGCGAGGCAGGTAGCGGAGGCGAATGGATTGCTGCTGGGTTCAATGGATATGGTATGGTGCATTCGTGGCTCAGTGGAAAGGCGCTCGCCAGCATGATTCAAGGACGTGAGGACGAGATCTTGGATTGGTTTCCGCGGGAGGAATTCGCCTGCACGGAGAAGAGACTGCAAGGCATGACGCCAGAGGGTGCCTTGTCTCGGTGGTGAGCTTAGAATCGATAGTCAGGTGGCTATAGTATGTATAGGACAAGCAACAGTCGGAGCGTCTCACCTTCCAAGGCATCTAAGGCTTCTATAGCGAGATGCCTCTAAATTGCCAATCTAGCCATGTTATCACTTGATCTTTAAATAACAGTTCCTTGATGAGGCTTCCACGTGGCCATAAAAGTGGCTGACGTTTAAGGCACGTTTGACTGGGGAGAAGAAGAGTTGCCGAGTCGGCTCAGGGGCGATATGAAACAGTATTGGTTGGTACCGTGTCTTGGTTCATTCGGTACCAACTAAGCGGGATTCTTCGTTTGTTCGCGAATGACTACTGGTAGAGTGGCCATAGGATGAAGAGTGGATTGCAGATTGCATGCAGCTGGTTACGCAGGTGGCAGTAGTACGAGTGATAACTGCGCATGTACGGAGTAAGAGTTGCCAGTTGGTGGTGATGGTTCGAGCCCTGGCGAGGCATGCGAGGCATGCACCCACGCGAGGCTCCAGAACTCCAGGTCGCAGCTGCCAAAAGAGTTTACCCACATATCAAAGAGCCAAGGAGGAAGGAGCATACGGACTACATTATGAAGAAATAATGCAGGCAGGCAGGCAGGCATCAGACTTGCAACCACCAACGAACTACGAGCAACTAACTGCGCCTGCAGGTTCGACCGAGTCTAGCACTGGATAGTCAATTGTACTCCGTAGACATGTCGTGCTCTACCCGTGTCAGTTCAGCTTCTTCTATTTGAGAACCTTGACCTAGGCGTGCCACTCTCTCTCGACCCTGGTCTAGTTATGTTAGCTTCACGAAGACGGACCGGATCCGTCTTCCCTCAACCTACTTCCTACTCCACACGATCCAAGCTTCCTATCGTCCTCCCCTCAGAGCTTGCAGCACTTGGGATCCGTGGTCTGTTCACGCACTCCGTACAAAGAACGACTTTCAGCTGACCAACGGTGTGCTTGCGCGATCAAGTCTCCGGCGATGGGTCTACGGAGTAGAGCTTCTACTCCAGCACTCGAACTGCTCCATTTGCTTCTTTGAGTCCCTATTACCACTTCAGCTTTAGCAATCAAAACACAACCGAGTTGCACTATCAATACTATTTAGGCGCAGCCTGAGACTCTTTCCTCCACCTCACCCCGCCAGAGCCAAACACAGTCCCCTGAATCCATATACCGAATCCTTCAATATTGCAGCCGAAAAGAATCAGACAACAGCCACGGCTCTCGTGTGAGCGGTGCCCACTTGAGCGGGGAACTCAACTATGCCAACCTCGATGCCCAGTATCAAACTAAACTGCAACAGGGCAATCCCAGGTAGTCCGCGCACTACGGCGCCCACCTAGCTCCTGCGCCCCTCTGACGACCATCTCGGCCGTCAATGCCAACTCCAAGCCAGCCGTCTATCCCTGCTTGCGTTATGCCGTGTCCAGCAGAGTCTATTCTGGCGCACCCACTTTTGATTGGTTTCCGGCCATTGACATATCATACTGCTCAATCCACCATACCTGCCAACACCTTCATTGCGTCGGAGATCAGCATTTTAGTCTCGTCCCTTTGCCATAGTACACCCCTCAAGCATTTCTCCATGGCCCACGTCGCTCTCTTGACCACTCGACCTTGAAGGGACTATCGCGTGGCAATGCCCACCCGACAATCGAACTACCAGTCTACTAGATAACGAAACGTGGCACCGGCACAGAACTGCATATGCATATATACTGCACTGATCCATGCCTAGTCGAGAAAAATCGGCAGTCTCCCGCTCATCTTCTTGCTTTGACATTTACTTAAGGCCTTCTGCGGTCTCTTTGCGGTGTCCTTTCCCTGGTTCTGCCTTTTCAAATCTCTTGTACAAGTCGCGTTCAAACTCTTGGTTTTAATACACGGCCCAAGATGTCGGTTACAGATGTTCACGAGAGACTTCCTCCCGGAACCCAGAGAATCGAGGACTCGATTGGGTCCAAGATTCTCCTGGCACCTCAGCCCAATGCCGACCCAAACCAGCCTCTGGTCAGCTCCTCGATGCCTTTTTGAACATCCCCAGTCGCTAACCTCTGCATAGAATTGGTCCACATTCCGGAAAAGTGTCCACATGGCGATTCTCTGCTTCTACGCACTCATGGTGTTCGCAACGTATGCCTCAATCAACCCCCAATTCTTTCCAGACTGATCATGATCCTTACACTTTTAACAGACTCTGTATCATGGTTCCCCTCTGGCAAGACCTGAATGAAGATCTCGGCTTCAGCTATGACACCTTGAACAACGGCTATGCGGCCAACATGGCTGGCTTATCCGTTGGCTGTCTCATCTTCATTCCCATGGCCCTCAAATTTGGCAGACGTCCAGTCTATATCGCGACTGCCATAGTCATGCTCGCCACCGTTACATGGCAGGCTAAGATGAACACCGCTGCAGACATGATCGCTTCCTACGTCATTATGGGCATGGCTGGTGCGGTCAATGAGGCTCTGTTCCAAGTCACCGTACGTGATCCTTCCTTATCCAAGACGATTAATCCCCTACTGACCTCCATCGAGGTTGCAGATCTCTTCTTTGTTCACCAGCGAGGAACCATGAACGGCATTTATCTCTCAGTGGTGCTTATCGGAAATTATGTAAGTACACCACGTTGACCCTCAACGCTGGTCGGCCACCCCAAACCATGTTTTGCTGACGCCAAATTTTCTAGTTTGGACCCGTGGCCGGCGGCTACGTGGCCATCTCTTCTCAGGGATGGCGCTGGGCGCTTTGGTATTGCGTCATCTTCGATGCCATTCTTGTGCTCGCTTTGATCTTCTTCCTCGAGGAATCAAAGTATACTCCCTTGGTTGTTCAAGGCGAAGAGGTCCCCACCCCATCATCCTCCTCCAAAGACGAGACTCTCTCCAAGGTTCCAAGTGCCACTAAGCCGCAACTGGGTTCTGTTAATGTTGATGCCACCGATGCCGCTCAGAACGAACGTCGACGGCTGGTTGATATTGACTACAGCATTCCAATGAACCCGATCTCCAAACGTTATGCATTATGGAGTCTGGAGAAGCAAGCCTCGGGGGAAAAAAGAAACATTTGGCTCCATGTCTATCAGCCCTTCCAGCTTCTTGCCACTTTCCCAGCAATCATGTTCACAGCACTGCAGTACGGGTTCCTGATTGCCATGCTTGCCATCCTCGCCGTCACACAAGCAACCTTGTACCCATATGAGCCTTATGAGTTCAGTGCAGCAGGCGTTGGCAACATGAACATCCCACCTGCAATTGGCGCTATTCTGGGCAGCATCTTCGGTGGGCCATTGAATGATTACTTCATTGTGCAAGTAGCCAAACGCCGCAAGGGTATCTACGAGCCTGAGACCAGACTGTGGTTGTTCCTTGTTCCCGGCGCCTGCATGCCTATCGGACTGTTCATGTTTGGTCTGACCATTTCTCAGGTGCCTTTTTATCATATCTGGCGCTAAAGTCATATGCTAACCAGCTGATAGGGCATGGCATGGCAAATCAATGCCGTAGGAGCAGGCTTTATTGGTGCTGCTATTGGTGGATGCGGTGATATCTCTTTGACCTACTGCCAGGATTGCTACCAATACGTAAGTTTCAGTGTGCTTCAAGGCCAACTGGGCGAAAGTGGAAGCTAACAACATTCAATCAGATCCTCGGTGATGCGCTCACCTCTGTCGTCTTCGTCCGCAATATCATCTCGACTGCCCTAGTGTTTGCACTGACCCCCTGGATGGAGGGTATGGGCGTGTACAACATGTTTGTCTTGTTGGGATGTTTGGCAATTGCAGTCGCGTTGACTTGTGTGCCATTGATCATTTGGGGTCGCCAATGGCGCAAGAAGCTGGCTCCCAAATACGAATACTATGCTGCGAAGCAGTACTAGTGCACTGCTCAGTGTGCCTGGCTATCTCCCCAGGTCATCACCAATACATATACAATAGACTGAAAAAGATCTAATGACATTAAGTTATACGAAGCATTTTTACGGCTCTCCCCCTTTCCACCTAATTGTGTTCCAAAATGGTTGAAGATGCGCTGCAGGACAACACATGTGGGCGATGCTCGCAGGCAGTAGCACATGGATCACGGTTCACGAAATAATGATCACGAACTCGCCTTCCCCTCTAGGGCTCTGAAACCCATCCAAGTATGAGGATAGAATGTCCTCCGTCACCTCGAAAGCCGCCTCTGCAGCACGTCCACCAATTCTTGCCTTTCTCTCCTGAATCCTCCGCCACAAGGTATCCCTGTCCGCCTCAAGATACACCAAAATTGTCTTGGCTCCTCGATCCTCAACAAGTCTACGGTACTCATCGCGATCCTTCTTAGCGTAGAAGGCGCGGTCGAGTATCAGGTTCGAAGGCGGTATCTGCTCAAGTTGCTGAACCGTGGAAGCGTGGAAGATTTCGTCCGCTTCCTCCTGATACTGCTCGCCGAGTTCTGCGGGAAAATCGACCGAATATATGCCGTGTCGTTCGTAAACGATGGAGTCGATCGACAAGCGCTGGAATTTGTAGGCGGGGAAGTGGGATTGAAGGCTGGTGGAGAGGGTAGTTTTGCCGGAACCTATGGTCGAGGGACATGTATCATTGGCATGTTTATTGACGGCACTTTAAGAAGAGAGATGCAAGTGTTTGTGTCCCATCTGCACAGGACATACCCGAGATTCCACACATCATCACCACAATAGGGCGATGATCATTGTTACTCTTCTTTAGTAATTCAACTAAGGCTCCGGGGATTGCCCCTATGGATTGACCATCTTCAGCCATGTTTGGCATCTGGACTGTTAAGTAGTTCCGTTGCGTCAAGGTTGTAGGATCCTTGATCAACGCATGCTGCAAATCAAATTGATACCAACTTGTATATGCCCATTGGAGAGAATTCTTCGGTCGCTTCACGATTGAATGACTCACTGTTGCACTGCCATTATGAATGTCACCCCTCAAATTCAGCGGAATGGATGACTCGAGTTCACAGGGTTGTGCTGTTCGCGATTCCTCGAGGCCGCTACCCCTGACTCAGCACTCCGCCGAAGTGGGATACTCCGGCGGAACAGACGCCAACGCCAAGATATACAAGTCTGTCCAAAGGTTGTCAAAAAAGTTTCCAAAGGCTGCCAGAATCGCTTGAGCGCCGGTGCGGATTCGAAACGACGCCGCCTACAATACGACAATTTCGCTCGATCACTGCAAGCACCGTCCACACAAGCGCATAAATCATCATCATGGCAGCCTTTGGAGGGCAGACGCCCACAATCATCGTCCTTAAAGAGGGTGCGTTTAGAACCCCGCGGCACATCCGCCTGCACGCTGAGACTCTTAATGCTAACGCTCTGTGACCGCAGGCACCGATGCTTCTCAAGGCAAAGGACAAGTTCTCTCCAACATTAATGCCTGCCTCGCGGTTCAGAACACTATCAAGTCGACTCTCGGTCCCTATGGCGGCGACCTTCTGCTGGTGGACGCCAATGGACGACAGACGATTACAAATGACGGTGCCACAGTCATGAAGTTACTCGACATTGTCCACCCCGCCGCCCGCATCCTCACAGATATCGCACGATCGCAGGACGCCGAGGTTGGCGACGGCACTACCAGCGTGGTCGTCTTAGCCGGAGAAATCCTCAAGGAGATCAAAGAGTTTGTCGAACAGGGTGTCAGCACACAGACCATTATCAAGGGCTTACGGCGGGCGAGTCAGATGGCCATCAACAAGGTCAAGGAAATCAGCATCAACACTCATGAAGGCAACAAGTACGACACATTGAGAAAACTCGCTGCGACGGCCATGAGTTCCAAGTTGATTCATCGCAACGCCGACTTTTTCACAAAGAGTATGTTCCCAATGAGAACCCATGGAGGGTGCGTATACTAATCGCTATTGCAGTGGTTGTCGATGCCGTGCTTTCACTGGACCAAGAAGACCTCAACGAGAAGTTAATTGGAATCAAGAAGATCACAGGTGGCGCTCTCGAAGACTCGCTGTTCGTGGACGGAGTGGCATTCAAGAAGACATTTTCATATGCTGGATTCGAACAGCAACCCAAAAGCTTCAAGAACCCCAAGATCGTCGCCCTGAATGTGGAACTAGAGCTTAAAGCCGAGAAGGACAATGCCGAGGTGCGAGTCGAACAGGTTTCGGAGTATCAAGCAATCGTGGACGCCGAGTGGCAGATCATCTACAACAAGATGGAGGCTCTTTATAAGACTGGGGCAAAGGTAGTGCTGTCAAAACTGCCTATTGGTGACCTGGCGACACAATACTTTGCTGACAGGGATATTTTCTGTGCTGGCCGTGTTGCGTCGGAGGATCTGGAGCGAGTGTGCCAAGCTACGGGGGCAGTGATACAGTCGACGTGCTCGGACATCCAGCCTTCACATCTCGGCACCTGTGGTCAATTTGACGAGCGACAGATTGGCGGAGAGCGATACAACTTGTTTAGCGATTGCCCCGAAGCCAAGACATGCACGTTGATATTGAGGGGAGGCGCAGAACAGTTCATTGCCGAGGTCGAACGATCATTACACGATGCCATCATGATTGTCAAACGAGCTCTGAAAAATAACACGATCGTGGCAGGTGGTGGAGCAACGGAGATGGAAGTGTCGGGGTACATTCATCAATACGCCGACAAGAATGTACCACACAAGCAGCAAGCTGTGGTCAAGGCATTTGCCAAAGCTTTGGAAATCATTCCTCGTCAATTGTGCGACAATGCTGGATTTGATGCCACCGACATTCTCAACCGTCTCCGTGTCGATCATCGGAAAGGAAACGTGTGGGCGGGTGTGGATTTTGACCACGAAGGCGTGAGAAACAACATGGAAGCATTTGTATGGGAACCCGCACTGGTCAAGGTGAATGCGATTGCGGCAGCTGTCGAAGCAGCATGCTTGATCCTTAGTGTGGACGAGACCATCAAGAACGAAGAAAGTCAACAGCCTCAAGCGCCTCAAAGAGGCCTTCCCCCGGGAGCGGCTCAGAGAGCATTGAGAGGAAGGGGACGAGGCATGCCCAGACGTTGAAAAGGGGTCAACCGCAAAAAAATCATGCTCGCCAAAAGGAGACAAGGTCCTGCGCCCATGGGGAATCACGTCCCAGAGTCGAGCGGCCTTCCGTTCGTTGGCTACCTTAGGTTCGAACTAGAGCCTGCAGAATCTTGGCAATACAGTGATGGCCTTCAAACAAGCCAACAGAAGGACTTGCTGACAATCATCAGATTGTGCTGTCGATGACAGAAGCTCTAGTTGCGGATGCCCCCATCACATGCCCTGAACAAGATTGTGGTGCGAGCCTGGCGATAACGGGTTCGCTCATGCCAACAAACCTTACCTACTTACGACATGTAGCATTGCCATCATGAAAAGAGTCACGAGTAAGACGACGGTTTAGCGTTGGTAGCATGTAGCAGTCCATAGGCGGTGTGTCATCAATAGAGAAAACCCCAAGTCATGGCGAGAGTGAGCACTGTTGACTCTCAACATTGTGCGTCTTGCATGGCGTTCAATAATAATATCCTATACTTGACTGTCAGAAATGACAAAGTCAACGGGCTTGGTCCAGGCGTTCGGAAATGCCGTCCAAGGGTGGCACGTGCCAACAGGCGACAGACAAAAGTACCTTACTGGACGACTCCATAAACAGCTCACGTGCATGAAAGGCAGCAGCTCATAACAATGGAAGCGGAAATGTCATAACGTGGGCGCAGCTGAACACCCTTGGTTTGCAGTCGGTCAGTTGCGATTCCTGAGCTAGGTGACAGCCCCTCGACAACATGGCGTCAGGCTAATTATTTCAGATGGCAACGTGTTGCTGTGACACGTGGATGGAGCAAGAGGGTGCTGAGAAGACAATCAAAGTATCCAAAACACCCTTGTTTAGGCGGCTAAAAGTCTGTGGAATTGAATAAACCAGGGTCTGGAGTTCTGGACTGTTTTGGGAAGACTCATATTGTGTAAGTGATGTGCTTCTATGGATGGACATGGCAATATGACCTTTTGAAGATATTAGACTTCTGGTCGCCCCGAATCAGGCGCGGCGAGTCGCAGATCACATCTCGATCTGACTCCGTAAGGTAACCATGAGCTGTTATGAAGTCAGCGTGGGGCGGTGGACACTCCTTTGTTCTGCACCGAGACCCCAAATTGGGGGGGCATGGGGGGATCCTGACATCGCTAAACTCGGCTGTGGCTGAAAGGCTGGCCGCGGCCATCAGCCCGAACTGCAAGGGCCCTTGGAGCTGAGCCGTCAGGTGGGAAAAAGTCACAATTGTATCAACAAATTCAGTAAGAGATGAACAATAGCCAAGGAACTGATTGGATTTCTTCCAGCAGGGGATGAGACTCTTTGGCTCACATAGGCGAGGTTGTGAAATGTGCCTCTGGACATTTTTGTGGTAGTCAAATATGCGTCCCTATCTAATTCTAGGGTCGCTTAACCATAAATAACCGCTTGTTGGTTGGCTCTTCAGCCATCAGAACCCAGGTTATAAAAACCAGGATTGGTCTACCGTGGCCCACGACCCTGGGTTAAAGCCATGCAAAGCAATCGCATTGCCAGGTGGGAGAGATGAAATAGGCAGTTCTAAGAGAAATGCATCAACCTCGCTGTCACCGTGTTGGACAGCTGTGCTAAGCAGGGTGCTTGGTAAGTACAGAGGTACCTACCTAGGTAGGTCGAGTATTTAGGTATGTAGATCTGCAGACCTTTGTAGTCAATGCGCTGCTCTCATCATGCTTCCAGCTCATGTGTACCTCAGTTAAGAAAATGTTCAGGTCCTAAGCACCTTAGGTATTGAGCGGTACCCTCTGAATGCCCCTAGTGCCCGATGGGCCCCTATACTGTTACTGACTTAGCCCCAAATGTCACAGCCTAAAGGATAGGCGAGTACGTAGAATCATCTCCAAGTTTCGGGGTATGCGGTGTGCATTCGTCAGCTTCGCTCCTTGGCCGAGCCCATTCCTTGGTCGTCTTTCTGGTCTTCAAGGGAAGCAAGCGCCACTCAGCAGCTGTTCTTGCCAGTTCACTTGCGCCTTGCCCTACAGCTGCGAAACAAAGAAGAAGCGCCGTGTGTCTTCCTCATTTTTCCATCCATCATCTCCTGGATTTCTCCTACGCTCGATATACTTCTATCGTCCAAGAAATATTGACCTAGACCTCGACGTTGACAGTAAGCATTCACCTAGCCAGGCGATTCATAATTATACTTTTCTCGCTTCTTTAAACACACCTATCAGGCTCCCGGCCAGGCTTTCAGATTGGTGTCTGGTCCCTGGGACCATTCCGACCGAACGCGTCGACACCACCCTTCGATCCACTTCGTTTGGACCCTAGACCAGAGCTTACGGTACGACCTACCATTCTGTCGTGCCTCTCTAGACTTGAGCCGAACTTTGCGAACCCAACCCGCCCGACTGAAATTCGACAAACAGCATATTGTGCCTAACATACGCCTAACTGCTTTGCCTTGACCCGAAAATCATTGTGCTTACAACCCGATCCTTTTCTCCTCTCGACATTATCACCATTCTTCCTCTCGTCTCCCAACATCACCTATACCCACGAACCACTCCCTCTTCAGTTTTCTCGACTCCACCATAGACACACACAGAGACACACACATATACACACACACTCGGAAAAGTGCAATGTCGTTCTATCCTGGCCAGGGCGGCTACGGAGCGCAGCAACATCACGGTGGCGGCGGCGGTTATGGATATCCTCCTCAATCACATTCACCAGTCCCAGGTTATCCTCCCCAAGGCTACAACCAAGGAGGATATCCGCCGCAGTCGTTTTCGCCGCAACCACCTTATGGACAACAGCAATATGGCAGTGCGCCGCAAGGGTACGGTGCCCCCCCTCCCCAACAGGTAGCTCCATATGGCTACAACAATCCCCCCCCCCCTCAACAGGGCGGATATGGTGGTTATGGCGCACCTCCACCTCAACCCAACGGTTATCCTGGTAAGGTCATCCCGTTTTCGTCTTGCTGTTTAAACATGTCTGACTCATTTACAGGTCCCCGACCGGGGATGCCCAGCGGCAACAGTGGTTATCAGCAACAACGCCCTGGCGGCGGCGGCAGCAGCAGCAGCAGCAGCGGCGGTCCCCCTCCTCCTCCTACTGCACCACAGCAATTTGGCCATGGTGCTCCTTCAAACTACAACTTTCAATACTCAAACTGCACTGGCAAGAGAAAGGCGCTTCTGATCGGCATTAATTATTTCGGACAGCGGGGTCAGCTGCGAGGATGTATTAATGATGTCAAAAATATGTCGACTTATCTGAATCAGAACTTTGGATATGCCAGAGAGGACATGGTCACATTGACAGACGATCAGCAGAATCCCATGTCGCAGCCCACCAAAGCCAACATTCTCCGGGCCATGCATTGGTTGGTTAAGGACGCCCGGCCCAACGATTCATTGTTCTTCCACTACAGCGGTCATGGAGGTCAGACACCCGACTTGGACGGAGATGAAGAGGACGGTTACGATGAGGTCATCTATCCTGTGGACTTCCGGTCGGCAGGCCACATTGTCGACGACGAGATGCATAGAATCATGGTCATGTCCTTACAGCCTGGAGTCCGACTCACCGCCATCTTCGATTCATGCCACTCAGGCTCCGCTTTGGATCTTCCATATGTCTACTCCACCCAAGGTGTCCTTAAGGAGCCGAATCTTGCCAAGGAAGCTGGTCAAGGTCTTCTCTCGATTGTTTCGTCATATGCTCGCGGAGATTTGGGCGGCATGGCCTCGACTGCCATGGGCCTGTTCAAAAAGGCGACTACCGGAAATTCGACATACGAACGCAACAAGCAGACCAAGACCAGTCCGGCCGATGTCATCATGTGGTCGGGCAGCAAAGACGAACAAACCAGTGCCGATGCAAGCATTGCAGGACAAGCGACTGGAGCAATGAGTTGGGCATTCGTGACCGCATTGAAAAAGAACCCTCACCAGAGCTACGTTCAATTGCTCAACAGCATTCGAGACGAACTGGCGACAAAATACGATCAGAAACCTCAATTGAGCTGTTCACACCCGCTGAGTAAGTCTCTCCTTCCCCTGCAACACCCAAGAGATTACTGACTACCATCTAGACACCGATCTTCTATATGTCATGTAGGAGACACGAGCGAAATTTTAATGGTTGCGCCGGCGTTGTTTATCGCCATCAACTCTCGGATGCGACGATGATGAACTGTGTATAATTGAGTAAATAGCACTATGGCGTTGACTCTGGTGCATGGCTCCCTCGCTACCCCGGTGAACACAATACCCGGAAGAGTAAGAGGTAGAGGAATTGCTAGTCAAAATTCATACTTGTTTCATGATATGACATGGAGAGACTCTGGCCCAGACTTGATACCACTTGTGATGAGCACTCTCGGTGGTGTAGACAGGCGGATGTTTGAAGCCGATCACATGATGGATGACTTGGATTCCCCGTTGTTGTGGGGAACTATTAATAGGCGACGATTAAACAACTCATAGGTTGTATGCCCGCTAGGGCGTCTACAGATACGTATGCACATAGTAGACACTCACGGTACTCGTACTCGTGTCACCCATGCCACTGTGGCACTGCAACATCAAGAACGCCTTGCGATTCTCGTTGGCACGGAATTATGCGGGCACTGCGGGGTACCTGGAGCCTAGAGCCTACTTAGAAGCAAAGAGGCGACAGGATGCCAGGAATCTCCGTGCCCAAGTAAGTAGGCCGAGGGGGCACTACTTGGTGCCCATCCACGCCATCCCATGCGTGCCATGTCAATGTTCTGGAAGGCACATGATCCCTTCCAAATTGATCGTCGTCTGATCATCTGCGATATCTGGTCCTTGCCAACTCTAAGCCTACGAGCCCTGACAATAATTAAACTACTGGCACTGCATTTCATTGGGTGACGCACGTGCTCATGCTCATTTCAAGCAACCGGCTTCCAAAAGTCTCTCTCGAGTCTCCATTCTCCAGTCGCTCCTTCCCCAACTTGCATCATCGTACTTGAACGTGGTGTGCCTGCCGTCTCTGTCTTCAACTTGGTCAAACATCAAAGCCTCACTTTTCCCTCTCGCATCTACCATATCTGATCCCTCGTCGCCATCACAGTGCAGACACCTGCAGAGTGATTATTCTTCTGGCACACATGCCTGAGCTGCCCCGCACTTAGGCCCTCCTCTTCTCGAGGCTGAAATCGACGCGCCATCATGCCATCGTGTTTATACTTTTCCCCTCCAACATGAAACCCGATGTGCCGCCATCATACGAGAGCGCCATCAGCCGCGAAGCCTGGACGGTTATTGCGCCGTGGATACCTTCTAGCGACTTGTGTTCGGCCTGCCTCGTCTCTTGCAAATGGTACTCCATCTTTGTCCCCTTCCTCTGGGGTGATCCTGCTTCCCACTTCGGTATCGAGAACGACGCCGTATATGTCGCCCTCACTCGGTTCAAACGCTCCTTGCGCAAGGCTAGACTCAGCACTCGCGGCTTGACACATACCCTTCATCTTCCTCCTGCCCTAGGCGAGATCTATGGGGGTCCACATCCCACATGGCTGCGCGAAGTTCTCGAGCATTTGCCCAACCTACAGTCCTTGATCGTCTCCAGCCTCCCCTTCTTCGACCACCATAGCCTAGTCGCCCTCAGGTCCACCGGCATCAACAAGAGATCGTCTCAAGGGGAAGATAATACTCTACCTGCCTTTGGCCTCAAACTATTGTTGGCCTCCAATGAGCGCAATACTACCTCTCTCGGGTTGAACATCGCTATATCTCGCTTTCCTTACCTTGTCTATCTTGACCTTTCCTACACCACTCCCGCCAGAGACGCCGCTGTCTTGGCTTCCCTCTCAAATCTGCATGATCTCCAAGTTCTCAAGTTGAGAGGCGTTGGGATGAAAGATGGCGAGGCTGAAGTTCTGGCCAATTCCATTGGCATCAGAGTGCGTTTATTGGATCTGCGGGACAACCTCCTCACCGACATGGCTGTGAGATCTCTGATGCAAGCCTGCTTCCTTCCCTCAGATGCTGCATTCTCCAATTCGTTGAATGTCGAAGACTGGCCCGTGGGTATGGCGCCTGGTCCAGACTTTTTCAGTCTCGATGCCTTGAGGAGCGAGGAACTCGACCACGAATTGCTCAAACAACTCACGAGGCCTCTGACGGGAAGACTGGCATTTGAGGATATCCCCCATCGAGGTCTGACCCATTTGTACATTTCGGGCAATCGTTTGTCTGTTGAGGGCCTGTCTAGTTTGCTGAAATCTGAACGACTTCATATCCTTGACGGCGGCACCGTCGACACAGTCAAAACAATTGCCCGGACCATGTCCCCCTACTCTGAAACAGGTTATATCGATGAAGTCCGTTTTCCCGGCGCCGAGAAACTCATTCCTGTTCTGGCAAATTCTGCCAGCAAGAATTTGACCTATTTACGAGTCGATCATGCCTTGGTCTCTGCCAAACTGGATACCCCAAAAGAGCCCGCTAAGCCCAAGGGATCGGCTGTCGAGCTTGTCGGGTCGCAATCGGTAGTACCAGAGTTGCCCACGGAAGAACGATCTATCGTTGAGGCACCAGCTCCCGCTCATTACGCCACAGAGCTACCTGCAAATGACCAGATATTTGAACTCGATGCAACTCCTGCTTTGCCGAGGCAAGAATTGGTGGGTGACATGATTTATTTTGCCCTCAGTCCACCTGTGGGAGACAAGCCGGCCGACAGTGGCCCCGATCCCGCCGAACAAACGAGTCCTGTCAAGGGTGAAGGGCCATATGCTCCGGAAGTGGTTGAAGATTACAATCATGAAAATGACACAGTACATGACGGAGATCCTCACCCTGCAGAAGAGTCTGAAATCTCGGACGACACGGGAACTCACAGTACCGTCCGGTCAATACTTTCCCCCGTATCTCCTCTCGTTTCACGTCCAAGTCCTGCCCATGGTAGTTTCACGCCTCTGGATGCCACGTTGAATGGACAACAAGGATCTGGCGCTCTACTAGATCTCGCAAAGGCAGCCGCATCAACTCATCAGTCCTCGACGATGTCTTCAGGCCCAATCAAACAAGCCGGTTTGGCCCCTGCTCCCACGACCCCATCCTCTAACGTTCAGCGCCTGGCAAGGATCGAGACTCTTCTCCAAAAGCGCCCGACAGGGTTTCCAAGTAAATCAGTGCAGCCAGGTCAACCTCTCCCTAAGCTCACAGCTCAAGCGCTCAGAACGCTTCATCCGTGTCTGCTCCCGAACTTGAGGACCCTGGTCTTGACAAATGTGCCTACCAGTGTACCAAAGTCCTCCACCATTATTGAGGCCATTAAAGCATTTGTTTCCGCCTGTGCTGACGAGTCTGCTCTCTCTCATCTACTTGCACGAACCGACTACTCCTTACCACCGGGCCGTGCTCGCCACATGGCTGAAGTCGAGCATGCACGGTCTCTTTTTGCCCTACGGACCATCATACTAGAAATGGAACAGCCAGGCTCCAAGCAATCAGAGGCACAACAGCGCAGTTGGCAGCATTCGAGACAACGTCTCAGCATGTCCAAGTCTTCCACGGGAGACATGGACTCGGAAGCACTATGGTCTGCCGCTGAGAATGACTTTTCCTTCTTTGGAGCAGAAGGAGAAGAGCAAGACGAATGTGGGATTTACCAGCACGACCCCGACAAATATTTCCCCACGGCCCATTTTGACGACAAAATCCTTCTGGGCCCCGACGACAGCGGCTCTGGTGTACTTGACAGTGGCGCTAGTAGTCCACGAGGTAGTCTTCATGGGGGCTATCATGGGACACTCAGTCCGTTCAGCATGAATTACGGCAATCTCAAAAGCCCGAGGAACCTGCCATTAGGGAGAAACAGGAGAATGAGCGGCGAGAGCCAGCGGAGTGGGATTTCAATGTCTCATGATGGAACAAGGCAGGTAACAGCAGAGATGCCAGGTGGGTTTACATCACCAGATCTCAGGCAGCACAGATTGGCTCCTCGGTCAGTGCCTGCCGTGGCGGTCCAGGACCTAGAACCAGAGGAGGAAAAGGTTGACGTTGTCGCTGAGCTAGCGGCATGGCGAAAAGAGCGGAAGAAGGCATACGATGATGAGGTGATGAGACAGCGGCTGGCTCGCGACCACTCGGGAAACGGTACCTTCAACAGCTCAACCCCGGGAAATTCACGATCTTCACCATCGAATGGCCCCAGAGGTTACGGGTACGGCTATGATGACGGAGCAACCTCAGCAACGACACAATTTCGTGCGCCAACTTCATCGCCTCAACCGCCCACCATGACGGCTAGAACGAACGGCGACACGGATGTTGACATGCGGCTCATCGAGGGACATTGGAAAGGGGAGATCAAGGTGGTGAGAAACCCGACTCCCAAGGGAAGAACAGGCGTGGTTGACATGTATGGAAACTATTTTGAAAAAGGATATTTGTACCCGTGATGTCATGGAAGATGTTGACGAGCACCATGATTTGTTGATTGTACATGCCTGACGCTGGATCACGATACATGAGGTCTAGAAGCAGCCTTTTGGAAACATGACCTACAGCCAAGGAAGATAATGACGATAATTATAAGATTGCATAATGCTTATTATATTCTGTACCACAAGTCGCTGAACAAACCAATTTTTTTTCCATTATCTGGAGCAGAGTACGGACGCAGGGGAGCGTGCGAGTCAGCTTTACAATCACGAGGGAACAACACAGCACAGCATAGCACAGCAATATAAACGAGGTAGGTTACAGCCAAATGAATTTATATGAGACAAGACAAAGCAGACCAATGTCGGATACAGGTACCTAACCCGGAAAAGTGATTTGCTATTTGATGACTCCATCAACGCCGGCGCTGTCTTTGTGTTTGTGTGTCTGTGTGTATATGCTGGTTTCCATGAATCCTGGCGCCCTCTTGATCATTTGCTCTTATTGCTGGTTGCATTTCTTCATTCGTTCCTTCGTTGGTAGGGTGTATGCCCTACGTGAGGTGGGTCAGGGTTTTCAAGGGTTTTCGGTTCGGTCTCGTTCCAGTTTCCAACATGAGCGACATCTGTTGGGTCCGACAGCGTTATGTAGCGATGTATCCTTGACACATTGTTTCATTCAAGTCTTCTTCCTCATAAGTGACGGCGTAGGGTCAAAAATGTGCTGCCAGTCTAAGCGAGTATGTGCTTTTTGTGCGAGTGAACCATTGTGTGGGCCGGAAGGCATGTCGCAGAGGCTCAGATATCGGTCGTCATCCTCGCCGTTGACAGGCAGAGATTGAATTGGAGCGCCTTGCCGCCTGTGGTGTTCGAGAAACGGAGGCTTCGGTGGGTCGATCCTATTCTGCGATCGGCATCCGCAGAGACCATTGTGACTATGCTCCTTCGCTACCAAACTCTGCTGTCCATTCGGAATTTCGCTTGAGATCTTCACCTGAGACGGTGGGTCTTGAGCTCTTGATTGCACGGATAAAGTCCTTGACCACCAGAGGGGGCTCTAGTAATTTTTCGGAGTCAACGTCCATCCAAGTCATTTCCATGGCGCCACTATCGCCAGGAGAGCAGGGCGTTAGTTTTTCTTCTGAGTCGACCATGACCTGGTAAGTCTTGTTAGTATCACAGTAATCTGGGAGGTTTGCTGATGGGGACTGACCTTTTTGTAATGTGTCGCTGTTTGAATCTTCCGCACTGGTTGCATGAGAGCGTCTTGGACAGCGATGCTTATATCACTTCCTGAATACCCCTCGCTCAAATCCGCAAGAGCCTTGTAGTCTCCCTGCGACAACTCGCATTTGGTGTCTCCAACAGCGAGTTCAAACATCCTCATTCGAGCAGGTTTATCGGGTAAGGAGATGTGCACTCTTCGCTGGAATCGTCGTCGAATAGCTGCGTCAAGTTGCCAAGGAATGTTGGTTGCGCCGAGGATCAAGACCCCCTTGGAGTCCTTTCCCACACCATCCATTTGAACGAGTAATTCGGTCTTGATACGACGTGAAGCTTCCGACTCGCCTTCACCACGGGGACCACACAGAGCATCGACTTCATCGATGAAGATGATGGCGGGTTTATTTTCTCTGGCCATGTTGAACAATTGTTTGACCAATCTTTCTGATTCACCCATCCATTTGCTGACGAGATCAGAAGAAGAGACACTGAAAAAAGTACTGTTGGCTTCGGTGGCGACCGCTTTAGCGAGATATGATTTACCAGTTCCGGGAGGGCCGTATAGGAGGATGCCTTTCCAGGGTTGACGTTTACCCTGGAAGAGATGGGGGAACTTGATGGGGAGAATGACGGCCTCTTTCAAAGCCTCTTTGGCACCTTCCAGACCAGCAACATCTTCCCACTTGACGTTAGGTTTATCGGTCAAGATAGCACCGGTTAATTGACCCCGTAGCTTTTTGCTGTCTGCATCTTCCTCGTCTTTGTCTCCAGCATCACCCTTTCCAGCGCCGTTGACGGCTTTGCCATTAACACCCATGGCGGCAGGCTTCTTTCGATTGCTTGCATCATTGGACTGGATGTGTTGTTTCAGCTTTTCGGCACGATCCATATATTCGCCTGCCTTTGCGCGAATCATCTCCTTAGACTTTGGGTTCTTCTCCCATTTGAGGGCAAGCATGAAGAGTTCGAGGGCGGCATAGTATTGTTGGTAGGCTTGCTCATATGACCCGGCTGTGTCTAGTTCTATTGCCTGTTTGACCGTGTTGATGGCTTTGCCAAGAAAATCGGTATTGGACATGGTGAGGGGTGTGGAAAGACCACAAGGAGGACAAGAAACTCAAGGAGTCGACGTTACAGGCGTTGCAGTGGTGAGATTGCGGGATGCGATAGCGGAGGCGAGGTCAATCACACAGCGAGGACGATGAACGGGATTCGCAGCCAGAATTGAATGAGATAGGCGACGACGGGCAACAAAGACACAAGTCGGTCAGAAGGTGGCGTGGAAACCCTGGACAGATTTGATCAGGAGGTAGGTTGGTGAAGCTCGCAACAATCAGGGTCGGCGATAGTGAAGGGAGGGCAGAAGCAGAGAGCAAAGGACAGGGAGTTGGTGGTTGGTTGTGGAAGTAGATGGACCAACAATGAAGTTGTCAGGTCAGCGTCTACCCGCGTGGGTTGGGATACGAAGTGAGTGGACGGGCGAGTGCAGGCGCAGGCGCAGGCGGCATTGGATCATTATTGATCAGGAATGGAATGGAAGCCGTGGGAGCCCCGCGAATCATAATCAATACACACTTGCCCTATCTGAGTAAGGTGGGTATTGCGTTTTTCCAAAGTTACAATACAACGTAACATCATCTTTGGCTGTGAGGCTCTCGCTCATGAAACCACCTGCATGAGTTGATCGACTGTCCATCCCACAACCCTTGACATTGTCCATTCGCATTGGGGTTGCTCAAAGATGGATCAGGACAGGTCACAACTGCAGTCCTCTTCAGAGGCTCTGCAGAAGTTCCAGGATGGTATGAATTGTCCCCCACCAGTCCCGCGCAAGTATTGACCTGCTCTTCTAGATCTTCAATCAGCAGTCGAGGCCCGCCAGAGGCTTGAGGCCCAGCAACAAGAGAACCTGGCTGTCCAGAAAGAATTCGCATCTTTGGCCGACGATGCCACCATCTACAAACTTGTTGGACCGGTGCTGCTCAAACAAGAAAGAGGCGAGGCCACCAGCGCCGTGGATGGGAGACTGGACTTTATCACAAAAGAGATTGGAAGAACCGAAGCGAGAATCAAATCAATCCAAGAAGAGTCGGAGAAAACAAGGATGGAAGTTATGCAGTTACAACAAAAGATCCAGCTCGCCGCCCAACAACAAGGTCCTTGAAACCTCCAACCACTACACCCGATCACATACCGCCCGGTCTTGTAGACCACCAAAAGAAGTAAGAGACGGACATGGGCCCAGATGTGACTGCAAACAAGCTCTCCTCTCACTTCGTCGCCATCTTCGTCCTGGGTGCACGCATTTCTCCAGGAGCCAGTTCAGACAATAGCACATGTCGACGGCGTTGACATCATTGCTCTGAACAGCAAAGTCCCTCTCTAGCACTCTAAGGCTGCTGAGGAACAATGAGTCTCCATGTTAAAAGACCATTCACTTGAGATCTTGTGGATCACATGATCATCCAGCAGGCAGTGGGAGCAACAACTGCGAGTGGGGGATAATCCCTAGTCGAAGCAAAGCCCCGGCAACATAAGTCGGGTTTTCACTAAATTATGACTGTTTATGAATATTAATCATCATTTCTACCTCCGTTGATGCTTTTATACGTAGCAAGATAATGTTGTAACTCTGACTTGAACATTTTTGGGAATTGCGGCGAAACCAGAGTTCCTCGAATCTGATTGGCGGAGCACTTCCAGTCTTGGCATTATTTTCGAGTTCTGCTTTCTCTGTTGTCAGGGAATTTCTTTTCTTCCCTCCAAACACATATGCAACCAAAGTATCGCCCAATCCAAGACGATACGAAAGTAGCACACAATTCATGTGACATAACTTGAATCTGTGAAAAATAAAATGCCTCAAGAGAAGAAGAAGCGGGGTCGTCGGGAGGAGAAGAAGACCAAACGCAAGGCAGAAGATCAACCAGAAAGACCATCCAAGAAATCTCGGTCAGACGACGTGTACAACCCCGAGAATGCCGAAGCACCGCTCACAGTCAGCGGTGATGCTGGTGATGATTACATTGGATTCGATCTACAGCCAGCCCCCGGTGTTCATGCCCCTTCCTTCGAACCCGAATTCCACGGCCTCTTAGACCCCCAGGAACAAGAGTACTACGCCAGCGTCAACAGCAAGATGGTTGCCGACGATTTTGAATCAGATGAGGATCGTGCGCTATTCATCCAAGCGGTTTACAGAGAAACTCAAGGCAAGGAGTTGAAGGTAGCCTCCAGTCAGTCCTGCTCGCGATACCTCGAGAAAATCATTCTACGCTCAACTCCTTCCCAACTGAGAAGACTTTTCAGCAAGTTTCTCGGCAACTTGACATATCTCGTCCGCCATCGATTTGGCAGTCATTGCTGTGAAACCTTGTTCCTCAACGCTGCCAAGCATATGACCAAGGCAGAGGTCAACTCAGGCGATGATGATTATGACGACGACAACGATGACGGCGAAGATGAAGAAGCAGGAGAGCCTTCTCTGTCACTGGAGGACTTGTTCCTTGCCACCGCCGAAGAGCTCAAACCAAACATGGGCTTCTTGCTCACCGACCGATTTGCATCACATACCGTTCGAGTTTTGTTCTTGGTTTTGTCGGGCCAACCAGTAGACGACGAGTCAATCAAGGCAGTTCTTGCCAGCAAGAAGAAGGAGAAACTAGAAACAGTTTCGGCAACGAACTCAACAGACTCCGACCAGAAGAGATTTGTGCCGAAGACATTTTCGCAAGCTTTATCACAGTTGATAAACAGCGCCGTTACTTCGCTCGATACCACCTATCTGCGAGCTTTGGCAACCCATCCCACCGGAAATCCTGTGCTACAACTTCTACTACAACTCGAATTCTCTGCTCCCAAATCAAAACAAGCCGAATCCTCGGCACTATACCAAAAGCTTTTCCCAGACGAATCTCTCGAAGAAGACACCGAGAGCGCGAAATTTATTTCTGGTTTGCTCTACGATCCCACTGGATCTCACCTAGTGGAGACTTTGGTTCAAAAACTGCCGGGCAAGAAGTTCAAGCCCCTGTACAAGAACGTCCTAAAACCCAAGCTCGCCAACATGGCCAAGAACGATATCGCTAGCTACGTGGCCATCAGAGTTCTAGAAAGGTTGGGTAAAGACGATCTTCAAGAAGCCAAAGAGCTACTATTACCTGAAATGTCCACACTTGTCTCACGGAAAAGGACAGGATTGATCAAAACCCTGGCCGAGAGATGCGCTGTTCGAAAAGTCGGCTTAGCTGACCTGACAGAGATCTTCACACATGGATACGGAGACGAGAAGGAATTCATCTTGAACGTTCTAGAGTACAAGCCGTCAGGTGAAATGGAAGGGACAGAGAACAAGGAGACGACACCTCAAGCATCAACCCACGGATCATTGTTGGCACAATCACTTCTAGCTTCGCCTGCGACAGCGCCCTTGGTTCAAAACAGTCTGTTGGGTCTGCCTGCCTCCACCATCATAGCATTGGCCAAGGTTCCCGCAAGCAGCCGCCTTATTCAATCTGCACTGGTCCCCAGTCACGACAACTTGGCTTTCCGACGTCGCTTTGTGCCACTCTTCTATGGCCACATTGTTGAACTTGCCTTGGATGTGACATCTTCCTACGTGGCCGATGGGTTGTACCACGCCACGGAAGGTCTCCATTTCATGAAGGAAACTCTGGCACGAGAACTCGCCTCCAAAGAGACAGAGCTTCGAAATAGCCCGTTCGGGAAAAATGTGTGGAGGAATTGGCACATGGAACTATTTACCAGACGTCCTGGTGAGTGGCGTGCAGTGGCCAAGAATGCCGGACATGATGAGCATGCAAGAGCACCAGGTGGCCCTCAAGCACCCAGTGTCTCTGCACGACAAGGGCAGGACACGACAGCGAAGAAATCAGCCATTCAACTCGCACGGGAAAGACATGCACAGAAGCAGGCACAAGAGGCCAAAAAAAGGACACCTGCGACCTCGGCCAACAGGGTTGTTCCCACCAACGCCTAGAGATGATGGAGCAGACATCGTGTTCCAACTTCCATCACACGATAGCGAATTGCATATCTTTCAGTCGATAGTGATACTTTTACCGAGTATATCTCCCACGGCCTGCGCCGAGCAATGACCCACTCTTGCGGTCCACACATTATGTGTCACAGCCTTGCGATGGCGTCATTGGGAGAAATTTTACCACGTCTGGCCTTGACCAGTCATCCATCCACATGATGATAGCGATAGTTCAGCAGTTACACTGAGCGTTGTCGATAAGATTGTTGTTTCTTGAACATAACCTTCATATCCTGTATAGTTTTCTTAATAATGCTGGGGCATTACCGCCGTCTGGTGTAGAGGATTTGACCGCACGTATCCGACATAGGATTTTTCACTTGTGACCGTTTGGAAACATGGGCGATCCCTCTGAGTCATGTTACAATGGCGACATATCCAGGATTAATGGCCATAGTCTCCACGGAAACACAAACGTCAAGACGACAAACTCTTTGGCGAATCAGATCGCTGTCGAGACAGAACAACTGTTAAGGTCAGTGCTCGACCTGGTCATCCCATTTCTCAACAAGGCCGACAACGAACGACAATCCCATCGCGACAACCAGGCCATTTCGCCTTCCAGTCTAGTCGACGCCAAATCTCCCCAAGAACTCACTGAAATTCTCCGCCAGAATGGCACACTGACACTGCCTGACCAAGGGACTTCACAAGACGGCCTCGTACAGAGTCTGAAGTCCCTCCTGGCATATAGCGTCAACACATCGGCGCCAGGATTTCTTGATAAACTCTATGGAGCACCACTGCCACCGGGGATAGCAGCAGAATTGATTCTAGGTGTCCTGAACACCAATCTGCATGTCTACCAGGTCTCGCCAGTGCTGACGTTGATGGAGACGCACGTCACACGGGCACTCGCCGCGCTCTTTGGTTTCACAGGTCCCCGTGCCGGCGGTATCAACGTTCAAGGCGGCTCTGCCAGTAACACAACTTCGATTGTGATTGCAAGAAACACTCTATTTCCCAGGACCAAGGCCTATGGCAACAGTGTGGACGGCTTGGACCTGGTCCTCTTCACGAGCGAGCACGGTCATTATAGCATCACAAAAGCGGCCCAACAGTGTGGGTTTGGCAGTGATGCTGTCATTAGTATCCCAGTGGACGAGGTCACTGGTAGGATAGTGCCTACGAAGTTCGAGGAGTTGATTGTGCAACAGAAGCAATTAGGCAAGACCCCATTCTATGTCAACGCCACAGCAGGCACGACAGTGCTCGGCAGTTTCGACCCCTTCGATCAGATAGTTCAGATCGCAAGGAAATATGGCATTTGGGTCCACGTCGATGGTGCGTGGGGCGGTAGTGTTGTCTTCTCCAAGACGCTTCGAGATCAGAAGCTGAGAGGGATTGAAGGGGCAGACAGTATTGCCACCAATCCCCATAAAATGCTCGGTGTTCCGGTAACTTGCAGTTTTCTTCTGTTGTCAGATTTGAGAAAAGCAGAACGGGCTTGCACCCTGAGAGCAGGTTATCTGTTCCACGATGTGGACGACAGCGAGCCTGAAGACGAGGAGGTCAATGCTGAGGCTCATTCATGGGATAATGACGATGAAGAATGGGTTCAGCCCGTCGATCTGGCCGACCTGACACTCCAATGCGGTCGAAGAGGAGACAGTCTCAAGTTCTTCCTCAGCTGGCAGTATTATGGCACTTTGGGCTATGCCTCCAAGGTTGAGACGGCATATTCAGTCGCCTCGCATATGGCGAACCTGGTGTCCCAAAGAGAAAACCTTGTGCTCGTCAGTGAGAACCCACCACCATGTCTGCAGGTATGCTTCTACTATGCTCCTGGTGGGAAATTTCTGCACCAGCTACCCATAGACCGGGTTGCCACGGAAGAGGACAGGGCACGGATCGGGAAGAAGAACTCGGTTGTTACTTCTCGTATCACCAAAGCGTTGATCTCGAGAGGCTACATGACCGACTTTGCTCCGGCGCTTGGTCATGAGGTGGAAAAGGGGGCATTCTTCAGGGTTGTGGTCAATATCAGTACCATCAAGGAGACAGTGGAGCGTCTGGTCACCGAGGTTGAAGATATTGGGAGCACTGTTGTCAAGGACTTGAAGCAACGGCGTGGATGAGCAAATGATGACCAGAAGTCATAGAGATCATGCTTGAGGGTAGGTGGATTATACATGATAGACCACTTTACGCTTGAGCTCCAGGATTTGGACTTGCCAGGCGTCGAGAAAACTGGTCAGGGTACTCAACGTACTCAACGTACTCAATGGTGGAAGAAGATCAGGGCTGCGTTCCATGACTTGTGTGGATGTAGGTGGCCAACGAGCATCGTGCGACACGTGATGTCTGCTTTCTTGGTATTTTTCCTGTGTCTCCATCAACACCACATCTATATCTAAGCCGCACATCAGACCTTCCACAATCCTCGACAAGTTTCAGCCGGATGGCGTGAAGCGGTCAAGTCTTGTTAGCCGGTGAGTACAACACCTTGACTGCAAGGCGCTGAGACATCTCACTTGGCAAGGCGCATAGTGACGTGTGCACCACGACTACGTTCATTAGCTGTCCATGCGAATGATGCCTTAATGATTCTGGGCAGGCAAACAGACATCTTCAACAAGCAAATGTCAAGTCTTCGGAGCTCAATGCGCAGCCAAATACAAGGCAATCAGGCGATGAACAATCCCATTCTCAGGTAGTGCCGTCGCCAAGGTGAAGCCAGCGTATGCCGAGCGACTCTCCCCGACGTCTGAGTTGTTCGCTTGTCAAGCATCCGTCCCACTTCTCCGCCAAAAACTTCACTACACCTTCTGCTGAGAGAGGCTGTGCAGCTCTAGATGCCTGATCGCGGATTTTGGCACATTGTTTTGGTTTGCAGAGCCAGATACTCTAGGAAGACAATTGCTCTCAGACGGTATGTACGAGAAGATGCCTCCGAGAACAACAGTCTCGGCAATAAGCTGTCTGGCCGATGCTGTATAGCATATATAAGAGCCCGTCTCTCCAGTATTCCCGCATTTACACCCCCAGTGTACTCGAGTGGCGCACGGATATTAACTGCAGTCTCCAGTCAATACTTCCTCTTTGTATTGGTGTATGAGTCGAGATCATGAAGCTCTCAAACAACCTCTTACTATTATTGCCGTTCCTTTTCTCCGAAGCTCTTGGGGATCTTGAAGAAAGAGCCGCGGCCCTGCGAAGGATAGCCGTCACTGTACACAACACATTCGAGGCCATGAACAGACTTGGACATATCCCTGAGATTCCGAGCCCTCATACTTACGACTATAATAGCGTGTCATTGGACTTCGACGCTCCAGATCTGGGCAGTCTGGATTCTGGACTAGATCCAAACCGAGTCGCCAACTACTCTCTCAAATCAATCAGCCCTTATCTCACGCCCCAAGCGACCAAGTATGCCAAGGCGAACCCATTCGCCTTCGTCGTCAATTTTGGCCAGTTGATGTCAAAGAATCCCACCGATGACGAACTATTGAAGATCATCCGAATGCCTACCATCTCGGAGGTTGTGACGACGACATTGACGACCAGAGTCTCGTCGACGGTCCCCTCGGTCACAGCTGCACCTTCATTGGTCTCCAAAGTCAGTTCTCTCCTCTCAGTCGCCACGTCTATGGCCGCCGCTTCCAGCTCCATCATTGATGAAGCCGTTAACGATAATATATTCCACCTCGCTGGCGTCCTCTATGCTTCTGCTACCTCGACCGCTCCAGCCTCCAATCCGACAAAGGTGATCAAGATGACATTTCCCGCAAATGAGGTTTGGCCTCGAAGAACTGCTACACTCACCGTCAGGAATTTGCCGACAGCAAAGTGATCCGACCCGGGAGAGAGCTTTAGGAGCATGGAGAAGAATCCCAAGAGGAGAAGTGGAAAATTAAGGATATCTAAGGAGACTAAGGTATGGTCCCTTCTCTCAGGTCCGCAATAACGGTTGGCGACTATATTATCTACGACATTGAAGGCTCAGTCAACGGACATGTATAAAAAGTATTGAGTTTCATGGTGGGCAGTGTTTTTGTAATATGATACCATAGACTGTACATCAAGTTCTATTTAGATTCCCTATTTGAAATACAAGTTCTGGAATACCTCATTTTTTGGCATATGGAACACGATATCTATCACGTGATATACGACCATGTACGGCGGAATTTATCAACATTTGCCCCTTATTTTTGCCCCACCGTGATTTGGACAACGTGAGCGCAGCCACAGCGAACTCTCGAACTGATCGATTTGTCCCCTCGTCTAAACGATTCCACTATCATCGCCTCTTCAGGACATCTGACTCCGTTCGACCACTGAATCTCTCTTCCAGATTTGCAATCAAAGAATTCGACGGAAACTTCTATCTCATTGGCTGGTGCTATGAAACTCGTTGTCATGGCACGATAGCCTCTTTGATCACCGCCTACCTGATCACTCCAACTCGATCCCTATACACACTCGTGTTCCCCCCTTCCTACCTCACACAATCGACCGCAGACATGGCCATGAATCGAATGCGGAGCGCCTTTGCGCCTCCGCGGAAGGGTGAGACCTTTGAGCTTAGATCAGGACTTGTGTATGTTACAACTCTCCTAACTCAATGCCCTGAATCGTCGTGCTGACTGGAGCCTTTGTCTAGTTCCCAATATGCCTACGAGCGGTAAGAAGGCTAAACCCGCCCATGATCGTCTTAACCCAGCCCATTCTAACTACCGCGCTTTCAGAAAAGAGGCCATTCAGAAAACCATCATGGCCATGACCTTGGGCAAAGACGTGTCCCAATTGTTCCCCGATGTCCTCAAGAACATTGCAACTGCCGATTTGGACCAGAAGAAGTTGGTCTACCTATACCTAATGTATGTGTGTCGGATCCTTCTCTTTGCGTCAATACATGCTCACAAGTTGTCAGGAACTATGCCAAATCACACCCCGATCTCTGTATCCTTGCCGTCAACACCTTCGTTCAGGACTCTGAAGACCCCAACCCGCTCATTCGTGCATTGGCCATCCGAACGATGGGCTGTATCAGAGTTGACAAGATGATTGATTATATGGAAGAGCCCTTACGAAAGACCCTCCGAGATGAATCGCCTTACGTTCGCAAGACCGCAGCCATCTGCGTCGCCAAGCTGTTTGATTTGAACCCTTCGATGTGTCTGGAGAACGGGTTTCTGGAAACCTTACAAGAATTGATTGGCGACCCCAACCCCATGGTGGTTGCCAATGCTGTCCAAGCACTCTCTGAGATCCAGGAGTCAGCTCCAGAGATGAACAGTCTCCAGATCACTCCTACCACACTGAAAAAGCTGCTCATGGCTCTCAATGAATGTACAGAGTGGGGTCGTGTCACCCTGTTGACTACGCTAGCAGATTACAAGGCACACGATGTAAAGGAGGCCGAACACATTTGCGAACGAGTCGCTCCACAATTTCAGCATGTCAACTCCAGCGTAGTCATGGCCGCCGTCAAGGCTGTCTTTCTACACATGAGGTCTCTTTCCAGTGATGCTCAAAAGACATATATGAAGAAGATGGCCCCTCCGCTGGTCACATTGGTATCTTCTGCACCAGAAGTTCAATACGTTGCTCTCCGAAACATCGACCTCCTCCTACAGAAGCAGCCCGAAATCCTCAGCAAAGAGATCCGTGTGTTCTTTTGCAAGTACAATGACCCCCCTTACCTCAAGTTTCAGAAACTGGAAATCATGGTCCGGATTGCAAACGAGGCCAACGTGGATCAGCTATTGGCAGAACTCAAGGAGTATGCATTGGAAGTCGACATGGATTTCGTCCGCCGGGCGGTGAAAGCCATCGGCCAGGTTGCCATTAAAATCGAAAGTGCGAGTGAGAGATGTGTCAATGCTCTTCTTGACCTGATCAACACCAAAGTCAACTATGTCGTCCAGGAGGTAATCGTGGTTATCAAGGACATTTTCCGCAAGTATCCTGGATACGAAGGCATTATTCCGACCCTGTGCCAATGCATAGATGAGCTCGACGAGCCAAATGCTCGGGCTTCTCTAATCTGGATTGTTGGCGAGTATGCAGAGAAAATCAGCAATGCTGGCGATATCCTTGGTGGTTTTGTCGATGGCTTCAATGAAGAATTTGCACAGGTATGCCAGGCTGCTCTACGATCCGAAAATGCAATCGCTAATCCTTAGAAGACACAACTACAAATCCTGACCGCAGTGGTGAAATTATTCCTCAAGCGGCCTCAAGCGGCCCAGGGGCTAGTTCAGAAGGTCCTGAACGCTGCTACCGCTGACAACGACAACCCCGATATCCGTGACCGAGCGTACGTCTACTGGCGACTTCTTTCCAACACCAGCGATCAGAATGCTCCCAAGAACATCATCCTCTCCGAAAAGCCTCCCATCACAACAACCATTCAATCCCTACCCCCTCAACTACTCGATCGACTCCTCGGAGAACTTTCTAGCCTTGCTTCAGTCTACCACAAACCTCCTGAGCAATTTGTTGGACAAGGCCGCTTTGGTGCAGACGCTGTGCAACAAGCAGCGATTGAAGAAGCAATGCAAAATGCTCGAGAAAATCCCATCGCCGCCGCTGCCGCCGCCGCGGCAGCAGCAGCCGCACCAGGCACCACACCCGAAGCACAGAATAATGTTGAAAATCTTCTTGATATTGACTTTGATGGCTCAGCGCCAGCTTCGACATCGGAAAAGCCATCGAATGGACTTTCAGGACTGGAAGGTCTTGCAGGCACTCCACACAGAGTGGCGTCACCATCCAATCAGCCCTCATCAGCAAACAACATGGACGATCTACTTGGGGTCTTTGGCAACGGCAGCTCGTCGGCAGGGCCATCTGGATCTGGCTTTGGTGGAATGTCTGACAATGATATCATGAACGGCTTTGCTTCGATGGACTTGACCGGTTCCCAGCCGCCACCGCCTCAACAACAACTTAGCCAAGGCGGCAAAAAGAAAACGAATGAAGATCTGCTCTCCTTATTCTAAGGAAGCTCCTTAGGGGAGTAAGAGTCTAACCTCGCGTTTGGGAGCTTCCACCTGCGCCCACGGATGACATTTGTTGTAAGATGAGGTGGATACTCTCTCGAAAGGGGACTGAGAAAAGTGATCCTGAGAGATTTTCTTGAGATCTAAGCACAACACATCGACTTTGGACGCGTTGACTGGGTGCTCGAATCGTGGCAGATAGGCCTGATATGACTTGATTAAGGCTGAGGTGTGCGTGGAGATGGTTCACAACATTTTCAGCTCGATCATCTGGATGCGACAGAGTCTCGTCAAACCTTCCACCCTCATTCTCAATACAAAGTAGGCCGAGCAACCCTTCGCTACCAAAATTTTGAGAATCTGATGACGCCTGCGCTCGACGGTCTTCTTTAAAGTTGATCTGGACACTGCTATAGCACGGTCATCCTCGAGGCACGAAATATAACACGATAGGTGGTGACAAGCAGTAAATCTCAAATATATGTGGCGAGTAGCAGCTGCATATAACGCTAAGTCGCCTACAGAGCTCTAGACATCACTGCCATATCCTCTCTCCAGGGCACTCTCTCCAGGGCACCCTCCACATAGCACTTCTCTCTAGGGCACTCTCTGGGGCACTCTCCAAGTAGGGCAATCGTTGGTTGGTGGAGAATGGAAGGTATGCCGAGGACTTAGACGCTAAGCCATTTTCCGCAGTCGCGTCTTTCAGTTTTTGGTGCAAGCGCGACCCAGTGCGACTGCCAACTGACATGTCCGAAATATTTCCTTTGTTTCATAAATCCATAACCTTGAAGCCATACTCGTACCCAGTGACAACGACAAAGAACGACCATACCAACGACGGCAGAGATCACGCTCATTACAGCCTTTGATAAAAGGCAACAGACAAAACGCGATCACCACTAGGACTCGAAGTAACACCACTTTCCCCCCAAAAGTCCTCTCCTCGAGTGTCACGCTTGGACCGCCCATTCCTTGTGTTGTTGCGATGTGCCCTTTCGTAAAGTCATAGTTGACTTTGCATGTACTGTGCCCTATGCATTGCATAAGAAAGCCTTGTCACTACCTTTGTCTACTCTGTTAGCGAAGGCCAAGTCATAGGCCTGTACCACACCGGCCAAGTCGATCTCTATCATTCACATCCTGTCAACCACAGGCAATGGCACCTTTGTCTTAACACACTCTTTTTGTGACGTTTACGACTCTACAACCTTGTCACTACTAGCACATAACTTCTACACCACTTCACTATCAGCGTTCTTCGCCAGCCACGTGCCGATCTGACAGGATGGTCGTGTGCAAGTTTTGGCAGCAGGGTAACTGCAAATTCGGTGGTATGTTGATCACGATTCTCCTCTCTCATACAACCACGACTACCTACCGAGTGCGCAGCCTCTTCCTAATACACCAACTTCACAGATTCCTGTCGATTTGAACACCCAGGGAGTAACCGGTCAGGAGGATCCAACTCCAACAGATTCGGCGCGCTTGCGACTGGCGGGGGAGGCCGGCGGGATAGTGGCTTTGGGGGCGGCAGAGGCAGGAATCCGGGTTAGTCTACTCACTTTTCTCACTGCCATTGATTTCAAGCGTGGCACAGCTAACAGACCGTTGGCAGATTATATCATCAATCCCACCGAGTTCAGGACTGAATTATCAGAGGGCAAGGGACGGCCCAACTGGATTCTTTCGGCGTGGGGTCCGAAAGAAGGTCCCACGTCGCTTTTGCAAAGCAACGAGTTCAGTCCAGAAGAGATCAGACTACGCTTCTACGAGTTTGCTAGCCAAGGGAAGGCAGACGAGGCAGATCGTGAGGCAATCGAATTATGGAAGAAAGCTGACTCCGATATGAAGAACCTCGCCGCGAATGCCGAGGCCATTGGAAACGTCTTGAGAGAGGCCGAAAAAGCAAAACCAAATCGCTGGGACTATCTCTCCTTTGACGGATCCAAAACAAGGGATCAATTCGACGCTGAATTCAAGTCGCAAAACTCTGGCGGTGCCTTTGGCTCCAACGCCGCTTCTTCTTCATCCCCCTTTGGTTCCAATACCACTGCGTCTCCTTTCGGAAAACCAGCGACCTCAACATTTGGACAACCTTCACAGCCATCGGCTTTTGGCACTGGTGGTTCTACCTTTGGACAGCCATCGCAACCCTCGGCTTTCGGTGCAGGGGCATCTACCTTTGGACAACCTTCCCAGCCAACTTCATCATTTGGTCAGCCCTCCACGTTTGGCCAACCTTCACAACCAACTTCATCTTTTGGACAGCCCTCCACGTCATTTGGTCAGTCATCGTTCGGACAGCCTTCACAGCCTACATCAAGCTTCGGTCGTCCTTCGCAGCCGACGTCTGCTTTTGGCCAGCCCTCTCAACCAACGTCCACATTCGGACAGCCGACTCAACCCTCAAGCTTCGGACAGCCGTCGCAACCGACATCTACCTTTGGCAGGCCGTCAGCATTCGGCGCAGCAACTTTTGGTCAAGCTGCACAACCAGCGTCAGCTTCCAATCAAAGTACGGCCTTTAAATCAGGCTCCTTTGGGTCAGGTGCGCCCACAAGCTTCGGGTCTGGCACCTTTGGCACGGGACAATCTACCTTTGGACAGGCATCGCAACCAACATCAGCATTTGGTCAGCCTTCACAACCAGCCTCTTCTTTCGGCCAGCCGTCACAGCCAACTTCCTCCTTTGGCCAACCATCCCAGCCAGCCTCCACCTTTGGCCAACCATCACAACCTACATCTTCTTTTGGACAACCGTCACAGCCGACATCGACCTTTGGTCAACCAACAGCTGTATCATCTGCTTTTGGAAAACCCAGCGCTTTTGGCCAGGCAGCTACAGGCTCAAGCGGAACCAGTTTTGGCCAGCCTTCACAGCCTGCATCGTTTGGGCAGCCATCTGTCCCTCCCACCAACACCGGCTTTGGCTCAACACCGGCACAAGCCAACCCGTTCGGTCCTCGACCAGACAACAATCAACCTAAAGATGAGACAATGGACGCCGAGAATGAGGCTTCAGCCCCCAGCAATTCCTTCGGTCAACCATCCACAATGATGGCAGGGTTTGGAATCAGTACTCCAGCTGCACCAGGGCAGCCAGCAGCCCAGACCTCTGCAACCCAAACATCTCTCCAGCAACCTTCATCACAAGCTACATTGGCATCTGGACCAGGAAGTACCACCTGGGGCAACAACAGTTTCGAAGCCCACCCGTTGACTGGAAAACCCGCCGCCAAGGTGATGTATGCACAAACACTTCCACCGCAAAAGGGACAGAAGGGAGGATTTGGAGGCCTCAGCTCCTTCCGGGGACAACCAGTGAAAGAGGTGGATGGCATATCATGTTATCAACGACCGGATGGCAAGGGTTTCGAAAAGATCTGGTTTCCTAACTTCGCCGAGACCGACGACATCCGTATCTTGAACGCGCCAACCAAGATCGCTGACACCCAGGCGCCGGCCCAAGAGTACACCGACGAAATTACCCAGCAATTCAGATATTTATTCGAGACGGGAGGGTTCAAGGATGGAAAGATCCCGCTTGTGCCTCCCATGAGAGATTGGGCGGTCTACGATTTTTAAGAGGTGGCTCTAGATAGCGCAAGGCTTATTGCAGATGAACCTTAGAAGGTACTTTCATATGATCAAGTGCCAGGCCGGAATACATATTCGCAGGATGTCGAATTTCAATACGAAGAAACGTCAAAACTTCAGTGAACTTGGTTTCTGGACTTTTGTGACTTTTTTGTGCAAATGACTCTTTATTGATGAGACTGAAGTATCTAAAGAGCCATCCCCGACTAGTGCCGCGACGCACAATTAACCTCCGCACTGACCAGGACGATAACCACGGAAGTCGCAGAAGTTGTCTTTGTCGCTGGCACGTTTGGTCGCCTTCCACGAGGACAATTATGCGGCAATGGTGACTTCGACCTCAACACCAGCCTCGATGTTGATGATGATCTGCTTGACAACCTCGGTAGGAGCGTTGAGATCGATGAGGCGCTTGTGGATGCGCATCTCATACATATCCCAGGTCTTGGAACCCTCACCGCAAGGGGTCTTTCGGGTGGTGACCTTGAGGGTCTTGGTGGGCAATCGGACGGGTCCCTTGACGCGCAGGTTCTTCGTCTTTGCACGCTCCAACAGCTCGCTGCACACCTTCTCCAACGATTGCACCTTTCGGCTCGTCAGGGTGATACGGATCTTGTGGATTTTCTGGAAAGGAATCGCATTATGTTAGCTAACGTTTTTTTCTCTTTCTGTAAATCTCTGCGTCTACAATTGCAGGGCGCAATTGCGCTGCGCTTCGGGGGTGAGGGATTGCATACTGGGCCTTCGCCGAAATCCTTCTCGGGCTTCTGGAAAGACATGGTGTCGGCTTGTGGGGATTTTGTGGTTTTTTGTGTGTATGTGTCGTGAAAGAGTGTGTAGGCGCCAATCAAGACTCGAACTATCGTGTGTTCGGTAACGTGATGAGAGGCTGAAGAGGAGGAAAGGAAATCAAGAGGTGTCGTGGATTCAGGACTGCGGGTAAATGTCTGCGGGCGAAATTCGTCGGCGATTCTGTGGGCGGAAATCTTGGCATGGGAGAATAAACTAGACTGATTTAGGCTAGTGGTAGATTTGGATCTTGCCCCAAGAGGTATAGTTTGACCAAAAGGTACGGCGGATCATAGATTACTCCACATGGACAGCGAACGTCACCATCGCCATGTACACTACCCACGACATCCCATCTTTCTTGAGTGAAAACACCTCTTCTCTCTTGGTTGTGTCTAGGTGAGAGCGACGGCAAAGGGCGCTTGTCCACAACTCGCAGATTTCAATGTCAGAGATCTCCGGGATCTCCGGGTCGATACCACCTCTCGTTGTCTATCCATCAAGAGATGTGAAGTCGTCTCTCCCCGCTACAGAATGGGAAGCATGCTTGGATTCATGGCTTTTGAGTCTCGAATATCGACTACGACTCCCGGCGACACAATTTCGAAACTTCGGTTTTTCACATGAATCCAGCGGAGTGGACTTCCTTCTTTCTTTGTTCGACGCATATCCTGAGCATGACAAATCTTCGTCACTCCAGCAGAAAGAAAGACTGCTGCTCAAACGGGCATATTTATTGTCCAGACGACTTCTCCTGGAGACTTCATATCCCTTGGATTGTGCAAATGACAAGCTAACGACATTTATCACACTGGCGAGTCGCACCTTTAACTCAGTAGCAGATTGGAAAGTCACGTTGCGAAAATTGTGGGCGACCAATAAGACTCAGCTAACAGCTGCCGTTGAAGAATGGAGAAGAAATATCTCCGCCAGCATGGCTGCATCTTCGGAATCTCCTGCCGTGGTGGAGAATTTGCGACGTTTCAATGCATTCGTGAAGGTATCTGCCGATGCGGGTCTAGTCCTGATGACGGGATCCGACTACTTGGAGTTACTCATTGAGATTTATAGTAGCAAGTCCAATGCACCGTCAGCTTCAGTGTTGCGGAAGGCATTGACGGAGCACATTTTCTACTCACTAAGAAGCCTGATGTCGGATGGCTCCCAACATCCGTCACTCCTGTTGGATCATCTCTATTTCTTGAGATCTGAGTCTGAGCGGCTCAGCAAGGCAAATCCGTCCCTTCCCACCTTGGGATCCAGCCTTGTCTGCTCGACATCATTCCTCAGGCACTTGGCGGCAGATGATGCGATCAATTCTAACAAACGAGGTCAAGGGCTGATCGACTCTCTCGGAGTTTATCGTCAATACAACCTTCAACTGCATCCTCCCGTCACTCCAAGAAAGCGACCTTCCGCAAAAGGTAAAGCTAAAGCTAAAGCCTTGCCAGAAGAGCATATGCATATGCACAAGGCGTCACAGATATCTCAGATTCACGACCTATTCCCAGACCTCCCCAACGGGTATATTATGGCATTGCTGGATCATTTCGGCGACGACACCGAAGCTGTTATTGCGGCTCTCCTCGAACCTGACTCACTACCACCGCACCTACAAGATGCGGCCGAATATCAAGGGCCTTCTATGGATATAGATGGGCCTTCGCATAATCTTGCACCACATTCAACGCCCCCACTCCTCCCTCATCGAAGAAACGTGTTTGATGGTGATGATTTCGACCAGTTGAGGATTTCCCCCAACCGATTACATAAAGGAAGGAAAGAGATCAAAATGGATCAATCAGGATCCAAGGAGCATTCAAGGAGCAAGGCAGCCATTATGGCAGCACTTGCTGCGTTTGATTCGGATGATGACGAACGTGATGACACGTACGACGTTGCTGACGTTGGCGGAACGGTTGACTCGACGCTGGACACAGATGATAGACCTCGCACCAACGCACAGTCTGACGCAAACCCACATGAAGAAAGCTTGTTCCGAGCATGGAAAGCCAACGAAGAGATGTTTGCGCGCGATAGCAAAACTCGTGTTACAAAGGTGCGACAAGACTTGAAACGAGAGACAGGCATGAGCGATGAACAGATAGAAGGGTGGGCGATCATGTTGAAGAAAGATTCCAAACTGCAAAGCAGACTGGACGAGAAATACTCTGCAGGCCAGTCATTCCAGGGCAGTCAACCTTTACTTCCAGCAACACGATGGCAAGGTGACACGCCTGAAGATAGCGAAGAGAGTGAACAAGCTGTTGGCGGTCGTCGTGTAGGACAGGCACAGATTCGGGGAAACCGCTCATGGGGCCGTGGTAGGGGAGGAAGTACTGCAGGCACATCTGGGGACCAAGCCAGCACTCAAGCAGCACGAAAAAGAAAGGAGCAGGGTAAGGGGAGAGGTGGTGCTAATCACCAACGGAGAGAGGGGCGAGCACGGAAAGTTGGAAGAGGGATGGCGGGAGCACCAGGACCATGAATAGCCAAAACAGATTGGGTTCATGCGTATCCCTTGATGTGTCTCCAGTTCATTGATAGACTAGCGTTCTTCAAGTACGGAAAATGAGTCGCAGCAACCTTTGTTGAGTCGTCTGCCTCAGGTAAATGTCCAGTGACATCCTATAGATACCACGTGACAACAAAAGGGGTCAAATGACCGGCCCACCTTCCACATACAGTTGCAAATTGGGGCGGTCACGTGTGATTTATGTTCCAAATGACAAACGACAAACGACAAACTCCACCAAGTGCTTTTCACAATCTTTGGGATATATTTTAACCCTCGCTTCCTTTGTTTCCATTCCAGCAAACATCTTTCGTCTTTCCTCAGATCCCAGGCAACTTACTCAAGACTCCTAGTACATCCACGTCCTTTTTCCTCGAATCTGCTTGTCCCGTACTGATATTGGTGCACACGCACACGACATCTACCACTTACAACCAGTCTCGTCTCTGAAGCCATAGTCTCCCCTGAAGCGGAAAACTGCGTCTTTCTGTGGTGAAGTCTGATCCAGAAATTACGTCTTGTTAGCAGACCCTATTCCAGAGAGGCCCGCGACCGCCAACACACCCTCCTTCGCCTCAAATCCACGACATGACACCAACATTCTAGGCAACAGCAAGCGAGCTCACTAGGTGCGGCAATGCCAGATACACCCACCGTGAATGGCGCCGCCGCATATGGATCGCCTTCAAACGCCTTCGAAACTTCCAGCATTCTGCAGGCTTTAGAAGTCATTCACAACCCTACCACTCACAACGATGTTAGACGCCAAGCATCTGATTACCTCGAGCGCCTCAAGGCAAGCTCTGACGCGCCTCACTATGGCTTTATCCTCTCAACTGACCGCTCACAACCTCCGTTGGTCCAGCACTTTGGTTTGTCCTTGTTGAGCCACGTTATCCATCACGAGATACACAACCTTTCCGAAGAGCAGAGCAACCATCTTCGAGCCTGTGTCCTTGACCTTGGAGCAGCTTTGCAGCCTTCTGACCTCGCCTTTGTGCGCAACAAAGTCGCTGAGTTGTGGATAGAACTTGCAAAGAGATCTTGGGCGTTGGACTGGTTTGACCTGGACGAGCGACTCGTTCAACTGTGGTCACAAGACCTTACCCACAAAGGCTTCGTTCTCACCGTGCTCGAAAACTTATCAGAGGATGTCTTTGTCCGTGAAGACAGCATTGCCATCCTACGAGGCCGAGACCTGAATTCCGCTGTGGTGGAAATTTTTACATCAAGCTCTAACTATGCAGGTGGTATAAAAATCGGCGACAGTGTCCGACAAATGAGGCACGGCGACATTGGCTGGCTTGCCAGAATCAGTACCTTCTTGACTGAGGTCGTCAACAACCAATCTGACGATAAATTGGTCAAGGAAATAACTCTCAAGGCTATGAGCGCGCTCCGGTCTGTATTTATTTGGATCACCAGCGCGTCCGTTGTTCACTCGATGGTTCTTGCCACTGTGTGCAATTTTCTGACCAAGGATGACCCAGAATTGGTGACAGGCGCGGTAGAGGCTCTTCTCTCCCTCTACGGAAAAACACGGATGGAACTCATCGAGGTGCAGGCACTCGTTCACCCTCTCATCCAGCCAGACAGCGTGGCAACACTCCGGCAGCTATATATCAATTCCATTGTGACCTTCGATGACGTTTACAGCAGTAGATATGTGCTTTCCAAGAAGCTGTCCGAGCTCGTCTCGTTACTCTCGGATCATACGTGTCAATATGGCCCACCCACTCCTGATGAACTCGACATCACGCCCTTTCTACATTTCCTTACCACCATGGCCGAACATGAAAGTCTGATTGTCTCGATCCCCGTCGTCCATTCGTGGGTCAAGATCCTGGAAGGACATGCATGGCGCAATAGCCCGGCAGTGGCATCTTCCATCGGACCTATTCTACAAGTTGCTTCTGATCGACTAATACAATACGATCAGATGCCGGAGGACAGCCACAATCCATCTGTGCTGTTTCTCAACGAAGAAATTGAGCTCTTCCCCGAACGCCAGGGCTTCTACCTCAACTATCGACGCCTATGCTCTGCAGTCATCGAATGGATCTGTTATGGACAACTTGAGGTAGCAATGCAGGCCGTGTTCAAGCGGGTTGATGAACTCCTGGATGAGGTGCAGAATGCCGAGCAACATTTCAATCCTGCAGATTATGACCGCTCCTCCGAGGTTGTCCTTCGCGCCGACGCCAACTTTGCTCTGATCGACGCTGCCTTTAGAGGGTTTGATCGCTGGCAAACAAGACACAAAGACAACGGCGCCTCCCCAGAACAAGGGCAAATTGGTGATAGAGTGCGCGAAGCTTCAAAAGCGTGGATGCTGAGTAACATGAATAACAGAACTTTCAAAGACCCGCAGATCAGGCAACGTCAGTTGAAAACTGCTGTCGAGGTTTCCAACCGGGCACTGCAGAAAGACACCGGCTTTGCTTTCAGTGTCCTTGAATACATTTTGTCATCATTCATCATTGCCGATCATCAGCACCAAGCCTACACGGAAGCTGTGATTGAGCTCCACAACTATGCAGTGGGTGAACTACGGAGGTTAGCCTTACAACATGCCGACTATTTCGTCACATTCTACGACCAGTTGCAACAAAAGTTTACAGATTTGATCGACCAACTCGGGGCTGACGAGAAACTTCAAGTGGAGCTCAAGTCGACATTGTTCTCGGTTGTGCAGCGAGCATCCGCCGTGGACTATTCGCAGCGGCACTCCAAACTCCAGGGGTTCCTGGAACCAATTGCATCTGCCTGGAAGAGTGATGACCTACAACAACGCCTGGCCTCCTTTGAAACTTTCACACGTTCGCAAGCCTTTGACAAAGTCGGTCCTTACCTCGACTCGTTGCAAGCAGCAAACATTCAGGATTGGACTTCAGTTCCTTACGATGAACGCGGCGCGCAGATTCAACAGGAGATGGTTTTTGGATATACGATCCTCCCTCTTCGAGAAACACGAGTCTTGCTCAGCATTTCAACCGAGAAGCTGAGCCAAGACTCCGACCTTCATAGGATGATCACAGATCTGTGGTCGCCCATGATTCACAGCGTACTCGAATATGTCCTTCGCTTGATCAGCTACAACCATCGACTTCATGACGCATCTTCCTGGCCTAATGTTGGACCCAACCTCCTGCCCGTCATTAAGCGCGTTTTGAGAGACCGTTACTGGCAGTCCGGCATTTCAGGGGGGTCCATGAGCGCCTTCCATAACCAGGTCAAACAGACACGCTCGACGCTGGAGGGATTTGCGTCATCGGTTCGAGGCCGAATCAGGAATAACCTCGAACAATGTTACAGCATCTTGCATACGCTGGGACGCTTAGGAGACGCTTTCTATGGGTTGCCCAAATTGCCAGACATGATTGCTGAGGCAGCTCTTGATACCATGACTCCACTGAGTCCACATCACTTTGCCGTTGTCATCCAAATGGTACCAAAGATGATTGACGAATGTCCTCCATCGAGACGCCAACAATTTCTAACACCCATCTTTTCATCACTTCTTCGGCAACTCGACACCAAGCTGACCGAAGAGTGGGCCAAAATGGACCAGAGACGGTCGACAAAGGGCGACGATGAAAACCTTGGAGAGGAGATGCGCGACGACTCGGTGCTGCGACAGACGACCTACAAAGGAGTCAATCTGGTTACGTACTGGTTGAACACCAAGCGTGAGCAACAGCTTACCTCGAAGAAGTCGATTGTCAACGGCAACTATCTCTCTCAAGACAACCAACAGTCGATGCGGGAATTTTTGTTGTCTAACACGCAGATCCTCGATCGCCTCCTTGTTTTCATCACACACGCCATTGCATTCAAAGACACTAAATGTGCATACAACATGCTCATGGCTGCAACACGGCTGGTGCCGGATTTTGGTAACGACCAATACATTTCTGGTGAGGTGGCAGAGGCAGTACGAGGCTTTATCTCATCAGATATGCTCAAGACGGCTATCACGTGTTTGAACGATGGCTATTTCGCCGATCATCAACAACACTATGCTCAATTGATCGCTACGATTTGGATCTCCTACGGCCTACCGGTACATGTGCCTGCAAGCGAGACAGGACCTGCACATGACCGGCCAGCTTTGACATCAGCTCCTCGAGACGTGATCCTCAGTCTACCGGGAATGACCGAGGCGAAGGTGGACCAGGCGGCTGCTCAGTTACTCCAAGAAGGCAGTGGCGGTAGCGGTAAACACAAGAAACTTAGGGCCATCGTCCTGTCATTGCTTGAAGGCGTCAGAGGAGTGCGACTAAGCGAGCTAGGCAAAATCGACATGCGTCCTCAACAATCGAAGATCCTGGAAAAGTACAAACAGAGAGAACTTTTGGGCATGCAGGGTCTCGAGGAATCTCATCATGTCAATACAGATGACGGTCCTGACCTGGGTGGTGTGGCTGACATGTTTGGCAGTTGAAGGAAGGAAAGGGGGCATTGGATTGGATTGTTTTTCTTTGCTGCATTTCATCACATACGGGGTGAGCGAATACTGGCGGTGGCTGGCGGCTACTCTTGATTGCACTTTAGGGCGTAACGACTTGAAGACCTTAGGGTGGCGGTGGTCATACGGTCTCATCTCAGGAGCTGCGATGTCTCACGAGCCTGATGCGAGCGATTTTTACATAGCGGCCCACGAAAACTCCATTACGATAGCTGCTTATGATAGCTGCCTTTGTCATAAAAAGTAAATTGGGTCTCAGAGTTGTCATATGTATGCCCTGACTTGTGGCACATGTGGTTTCAAGTCTTTTTTTTCATTTCCCTTGTCCAGATGTGATGGTTTATGTACACAAATTCTCTAGACTCTCCAGTTGTTGTAAGAGCTAGGAGATCGCCCTGATTCTGGCACGTGCTCAACAACATTGTAATAGATCCAAGGCTTCCTCTCTCGCATCTTGTTGATGCGAGGAAACCTTAGAGAGCACCGAGACCTGGCCCGAATTGAGATGTCGAATCGCCTAGGGTCATGACGTGGTTCGCTGAGGTGTAGGTGCATATGTCGGCCGAACGAACCTGTTGCAGAGATTGGGTCAGTAAACAGAATGCTGGGGACAACAGAGGTAATGATTCAGCCCAACGTACCTGTCACTGTTATAGGGCTTGCTCTGACTTCCTAACAACTCCTGCTCGCGGGCCAAATCGGCATAATATCGACGGACCTGGTCACGGTCCTCTTCGGCTTGCAACAGAGGGGTGATATGGATGCGAGACCACATCTTCTCTCTCGACAATTCAATCTTCTCTCGGTGGCCTATCCATATCTGGCGCCAGCCATATGTCATCACGGCGCCGACACCGAGCAAGTACCAGATAGGACGGAGACCACGGGCGGGGATGTTGCGCTGTATGACACGAGTAGGTCAGTATATGTATCAAGTTGACTTGGACAGTCAAGGGATGTGGACAGGACGAGCTGGGGAACCAAGTAGGTGAGGTGGAGTGACGAACTCGATATTGTACGGCATCGTAGCCACCCGTAGGCGGTAAATCTTGAGGCATAGTTGTTTGGACTCGTTGCCGTTGTTGTATGGCCTACATAGACGGGGCAATACAAAGGCAAAGGGCCCGGGTGATGATGGTGGATGTGGTTTCGAAGCCTGGGAGAGGAGCTTGAATTGCGGTCGAATCGATTGGGTGCGGTTGGCGCTTGCCTCGCTTGTGATTTGCCGCGCGGATGATCAATGCCAAGGGCTATGCCCCGCTGCGCAAGGCTTTCTCCAAATTTAGCCGCGCTACAATTTTTCCCCAAGTAGGAGGAAGACGAGGGTAATGATAGTGACTTAAATGTTTATCACGTATTGCTGCGTTTTACGATCACAGTCTAGAGCTCCCTAGTCCGTGGATTCGGGCAAATATGGACCTAGACGAACGCCCAAGCAAGGTCAGAAAGGTCGGAACAGCGGAGGGAGCTGGGACTGACCTCGAGGCAGACGCACCTCTGTTGACCAAAGTCATACCGCCCAGTGATACTCAGGAAGCTGCTCATGCGCCGGCAGGCCCGTTGAAGAGCGAACCGTCCGATGAGAACGACTCAGATGCACGACTTCAAACATCAGACTCAGCAAAAACCAATGGCGCCTCACTCGAGTCCACAACTCAAACCGCCAATGGCGAACCTGACAAACCCATGTCCAAAAATCAACTGAAGAAACAGCGCAAGCGTGAAGCGTGGGAGGCCGGGCGACCAGCGCGAAAAGAGAAACGAAAGCAGAAGCTATTATCCCGAAAACAACGAAGAAGAGAGGCGCGAGATGAAGCTTCACACTTGGAACAATCCCAGGGCGGAGAAGATAGCGAGGTACAAGGCGACCAGGCTCAGCAGCAGCGGCAGCAGCAAGACCAAATCAGTCGTCGGGCCCATAGGCGGCGCCAGCATGTCATCTTACCTGTGACCATAATCATCGACTGTGGCTTTGACGACCTCATGACAGAAAAAGAAAGAATTTCCCTCGGTTCGCAACTCACTCGCTCATACTCGGACAATTCTCGAGCACAGTTCCAAACGAATCTCGTCATTAGCTCTTGGGGCGGGCTCCTGAAAGAACGATTTGACACCATTCTCGCCAAGAATTACTTGAATTGGAGAGGTGTGACATTTGATCCAGAAAACTTTGCAGTTGCAGCGGAAAAAGCAAAAGAGACGATGAAGGGAAGTAGCGGCGGAGACTTGAAGGGCATCTTTAAATCACTAGCTGCAGAAGCCGACGAGGAGTCGAAGCAAAATAATGGCTCTGGGGAGTCTGATCCCCCTCGCACAGACAAGTCGGACCATCCTTCAGACTCAGCACAACCGGATCCTGCGCTCGCTCAACCCACTCCACATGAAGCATCAGAACCTCAACCGATATCTTCTGCGCGCCAACAGGAACTCCAAGATCAAGGCGAAATCGTCTATCTGACCTCCGACTCTGACTATACTCTCACGACACTGAAGCCCTATTCGACTTATATCGTTGGCGGCCTAGTCGACAAGAACAGACACAAGGGAATCTGCTATCGGACGGCCCTTAAACATAACATCAAGACCGCCAAATTGCCCATTGGCGAATACATGGAAATGACGAGTCGCAAGGTGCTGGCGACCAACCACGTTGTGGAGATCATGGTTCGATTTCTCGAATGTGGAGATTGGGGTGAGAGTTTCATGCAGGTCATTCCCAAGCGAAAAGGTGGTAAACTTCGCAGTGTATCCGAAGATGCGAACGTCCAAGGCGTTGAGGATGGTGACGATAATGATGAACAACGCAATGGCGATGACGGCGAAGATGACGATGAAAGCGTCGACGAAGAGGACCATGCAAATTAAGGCATGCAAGATTGCCGTGGCAATTAGATTCATAAAGTGCGCTTGATCTGGAAGCCCAGACTTGAGAGGCGCTGCAGAAAGGTAAGATGATATTATGATATTCACGCATACTAGCAAGCGGGTCGTTCATATATACCATCTTTTGAATCAATCAAACACTTCGTCGCTTCATGAAGTTCCTCCATCAGTGGCCCTTGGTCCAAGATCACACATGTCAGGCACTGCCCTAGAAAAAGCATGCATTGCCCTTATTCTGAGCCCTTTTCCAAATATATTCAAAGAACCCCGGTACCCTCATACTCCCAAAATTATACTGTCCATAATGAGGCTTTCTGCCTGGAAGAACGACCATGGGTCTCCTTCACATGACAGAGCAATTCTGTACCGTGCGGGTCACCGTCTCTACATAGCCCTCGTCACCTTCGACTTCCTCTTCGAGAGCACCTGGTTTTCTTTTGACACCTTTAACGGTCATACTTTGCTCGCCTGCTCCGTGCCACCACTTCATGACTTGCATGCCCTCTCCATTCACGTCGACCAGATCGATACGCCAGCGACCACCGGTGACTTCTACCCCGGTCTTCCCAGGTGGGAAGTGAAATTCAGGGAGGAATATTTCGGTGGGTACCTCCTCCTTTGTGGGCGCGGATGCAACGAGTGAGAAGTTGAACGTGACCGACTTGAGGTCGAAGACGTATGATACCACGTCACCTGCGGTGGCGATCGGGGAGGGTCGGACATAGGCCTCTGCGGACCGAAATCCTGGGGTCGCGGAGAGGTTTCCAGGGGCGTTGGGCTGTGTTTGGCTCAGGGCCGGAGGAGTGTGGAGAGCAGACTTGAGATTTGATGGATTGATGGTCATGGCGTCGGTGAGGGTGGTGTCAGACGATGATGTTAAGGTGATTTGACCATGTGGAAGCGAGGTTGTTGATGGATTGGCGGTGCCTAAGGCAGATGTGTTGAAGTCGGCTGCACTCGGAAGGAGTGAGTCGTCGAGCGAGACAATCGACAAATCTTCGCCATTCCATAGATCGCCGTATTCATGATTGTTCTGTCTTGTTTAGTACCAGACGAGGAAACGCAATGTGGAATGAAGGCTTACCTTACTGACATAGGTCCACCATGTGAATCCTTGAGCTCCCGAACCCTCGATGGCGAAAGAATTTGCGTCGAGCGAAGAGGTCTGTGAAGAGTAGTCGCCAGTTTTGTAAGCATATTTATCGTCCATGTCATAAGGGATGCCTATTTCGGTGAAGATGGTTGGTCGTTCTCCAACAAACTCCATGCCTTCTTCTCGAATCGCTTTCAATTGATCTCGCAAGCAATTCCGGATTGCTGTTTCTCCTAATCGGACTGCGAAAACCGGATTGGAATAACGTTTGCGCAGAAGACCAAAGATGTCGACATTGTAGAATTTGTTCCAATGTTTCTGAATCAGAGTGACGCCGTCGTAATAATGCGAGGCAAAGATCAGTCGTTGCTCGTCGTCCGCAGTTCCCTTGATGCTTGGAGGGATCTCCAGCACGGCGGATTGGAGGAAAATGATACAATTCTTGTGGATTGCACGAATGGCGTCTCGATACTTGCGAAAGTGGTGCATAAAATAAATGTTGGTAAACTTTTCAATGTCGAGGGGTTCGCCTGACTTGGGAATCGATGCAAAATAGTTCTTTTTCAGAAGTTGATCTTGACTCGGATCCCAAACACCATTTTGAGCCCACAGGCATTCGCCTAGCTTCCATCCTGGGTCTCTTTTCCAGCCATATTTGCTGTCGTCATAGTCCTTAGGTAGCCAGGCCTGCACACCTTCGGGGTCGACTAGCTCTCTTCCACTCTTGTAAGGGCCAAAAGTGCTGAAGGCGTATACATCAATCTCGACTGCTCGACCAGCGCCAGTCAGGATGGATTGCCAGGGTGTTGGGCAGGTGCCTTTCCTCATCTTCAATTCATCTGGAATGGCATCTAGATCCTCCCAGCCGACCAAGCCTCGATGGGGTTCATTCATCGTCTCCCATCCAATAATACATTCATCCTCCAAACCACCGGCGTCGTGGATCCGCTGGGCAAGATGTGCGCATGCATCGATGAAATGATCGGTCAGATAGTCCTGAATATTCTTACCGTCGATGATGGCATTTGGCGCAAAATCTCTCCCGGCGTAGAACAAAGTAAACGTCGTTTCGGTTGCGAGCCTGGTGTAATTTGTGGGCCAAAGCATCTTAGGATACTCGGTAGCCTCGGGCCAGGTATTGTGGACAGCAGCGGCCTGCGTTGCATTAAACGCCTCAGGATCAAGACCACAAGCATGAAGAGTCCATAGGGGAGCACCAGAACCGCCCGAGAAACGCGACCATACATCTTGATGAGGATCCATGAAGATCCAGAAACCATAGGACTTCGCTATTCGGAGAATCTTAATCGTGTGGTCGATAAAGTCTTCATCATATATACCTGGCCCTGCGTGTTCCAGAGCCTCCCAGGTGAAAATGTACCGGATGACATTGTATCCCCATCTCTTCAACCTAGCAAAGTGTACGTGTGACTCCTCTTCAGTAAACGGCCGGCCAACAAAGGAGATATCTTCAGAGTCAAAGAAACCATTCCGAACATGCGAAGGTTGGTCAGGTTGCCGAGGGAACTTGCAATCTCCCGCTACATTGATACCCCGAAACGTGACTTCACGCTTGTCTGTATCACGAAGTCGAATTCCGTCAATGGTCAAGCCAATGGTGGCCATGTTGGGGAAACGAGTAGAGAAAGGTCGCCGGAAGCATGCGGCAATGACGGGGGAGGGCACTGGCGTTCTACTGAGCAAGCAAGGTGGTCGCAGCACGGCGTGGACAGCAAAGGACGGCGGCGTGAAGGGAGGCAGCGTGATAGCAGATGGAAGGTAGATGGAGGATAGGAAGTTGTCGAGCAGAGACTAGTGCTCTCCTCTTAGCGCTCTATCTCGATCTGAACTAGACCTGTCGGAGCACTTGAGCTGGTGATTAGGATCGTCCAGCCATCTTGCGGTGGAAGGGTGGAGATGCCTATAGTAGGCAATGGCAGGCTGAGTAGTGATGATGAATGAGGTTGCTTGTTCCGTGGTGCCCGTCATGGCGCAGATGTCATTCTGCATATCGCGCATTGGAGATGAATGCTTCGCCCGACTACGGCGGGCCACAAATACATCAAATCAATTTCAAACATCGAATTCAAATGTTGAAATCAGATCGTTCTTTCCCTGATATCTCAAAGCCAAGTCGCACCTGCCTTGCCTCTTTGACGAGAGACGTCATTGTTTCAGATATCAACAGAGACTTCCAGTTTCCACTTCAGATGACTCCAACGATTTGAGAGACTCTACATCGAGTTCGAGGAATTTTATATGGTAAGGCTTTCGAGGTGTGCTTGAACGCCGTCGATCATGCCATCAAGACTCCCATCAGAATTCCCCCAGAATCTGCTTGGGCCATTACGACGGTAAAGCGATAAAGAAGCCTAAAAACATCATGTCTTCTTCAAAGGCAGCGCTCAAGGCTGTCAAAGCGTCGCTGGATGCTGGCAATTTCGCCCAGGCCGCCGATCAAGCCGAGGACCTCATCAAGGCCGACAAGACGAATCATACCGCCTTGTTGTTCCTAGGCTTTGCGAGAGAAAAGCTCGGTCAGTTGGAAGCTGCCGAGACTGCCATATCGCGGGCGGCCAGTATCAAACCGGACGATGCTCAGGCCTACAAAGGCTTGATCACGCTCTACGAGAAACAGGGCTTCCAGAAACTAGATCAATATCACGACACCGCATTTCGATTGGCCGAGATCTATGCTCAGGCTGATGACCGCAATCAATGCCAGAATGTCATCGACAAGTACGAGTTGTTCGCCAAGAAGAACGGCACCCCCAACCAATATCGCAAAGCCATCGAGCTCATACTGCCTTCATCAGCGCTCTATCCCACACTAGAAGGGCGTGTCCTTCGACCAAATCTTGCCTATCTACGGATCTTGGAGTCAGCCCAAGGTGAAGAGAAAGAGTGGATCAATTCGCAAATCGGTGAGAGACGAACCAGAATTGGTTCAAAGATCGACCAAGTTACTCGGCAAGTCAAGTATGAAGCAATAGCAAGGTTTGATATTGAAGAAAAGTATGCCAGACTCATTGATTGGACACAAGACGACGATGCGCGGCATGACCTTGAGCAAAAACTCTTTCAAAGAATGTACGACAACCTGCTCCTGTTGCCCAGCGAAAGCAAGTCTCAACAACGTGACAAGGTGTTAAACATGGCCAATGGAATGGTTATTGTCAAGCAACAATATCCTTTAGCGTGGGAGGTCGCTCTAGAATGGGTTGATGCCGAAGCTCTCGACGAGTGGGATGTTACCATCTTCCGCGAGTATGCAACCTATTTCCCTGATCGTGGTTTGAGTAAGATTTTTCAAGGCTTTCTAGACAGCGAAGCTTCTCCGTTTCCTTACCAACCCGCGGAGGCTGCCGAAGGTGATAGCCCTCCAGAAAGGCTGAATGAGGTAGATCAACTCAACCTCATAACTGAAGGCTTAGAAGACTGTCCAGACTCTTTACTAGGTCACCGAATTGCAGCTTATATCCACCTCTTTCTGAAAGAATGGCAAACTGCGTCCGAATTGGCTCGAAAAGCTCAAAATTTGCTTGTCATTGCACAAAAGCAAAAGGCCCTCCAGCTACAAAACAGCCTGGATGGTGTCAACCTCATCCTCGCAAATGCCCTCATCTCCTTTCAATCTCCACGACATCACCCAGAATCTAAACAACTCTTCCAAGACATCCTTTCCCGAAAGCCTCTGTTGACCCCAGCCTTGTTGGGGGTTGGCTTAATCTACGAGGATGATGAGGACTATGAAGAAGCCGTCAAGTTTCTCGATCAAGCAGCCCAACGAGACCCGGATAATATTCGCATCAAACTGGAGCTAGCATGGTGTCGAGCTCAAAATGGAGACCTTCAGGCCGGTCTAGACGGTCTCCAAGAGGTCTTGTCCGCAATTGAGGCAGACAAAACAAAAGATCTCCCCCTGAAATCTATCACGCTCTATCGAATCGCATACTGTATATGGCATCTTGACCCTTCTCCGGCGAGCCGCAAGGATCGGGCCGGAGCTTACAAATACCTGATTGAGTCAACAAAGGCAAACAAGGACTATGCTCCCGCCTATACATTGTTCGGCATATACTTCCAGGACTATGCCAAGAACAAAAAGCGTGCTCGTACCGCCTTACAAAAGGCATTTGAACTGTCCGACTCCGAGTTGGACGCGGCCTACCGCCTAGCGAGCACTTTTTCCAAATCAGGAGAGTGGGACCTCGTCGAACTCGTGGCACAGCGAGTTGTTGCGTCGGGGAAAGCTAAACCCGCCCCTGGCTCAAAGAAAAAAGCCCACAGCTGGCCCTACGCAGCCCTTGGTGTGGTTCAGATGAACAAGCAGCAGTATTCTCAAAGCATTATTTCTTTTCAGTCGGCCCTTCGCATATCTCCCGATGATTACTATTCCTGGGTCGGCTTAGGCGAAAGTTATCATAATGCCGGTCGCCATATTGCAGCCACGAGAGCCTTTGCAAAGGCAGAGACTGTTGGTCACGGCTTGCCCTCTGAGGAAACCTGGTTTGCAAAGTACATGCTAGCCAATGTGCAGCGGGAGATGGGGTCTTTTGATGAAGCCATTTCTGCCTATCAAGGCGTCCTCCAAACCAAGCCTGAAGAGTTTGGAGTGCTTATTGCTTTGCTGCAAACATTGTCAGAAAGCGCTTGGGCAAAAGTCAGCCTTGGGATGTTTGGCGAAGCCGCCAATCTCGCAAATGGTGCTCTCGAGGCAGCATGCAAGATAGCCCAGAGCAACGCTGCCACTTTCAATTTGTGGAAGGCTGTAGGTGAGGCATGTTCAGTCTTGGGTCAAGTAAAGCTGCACTCTCCCTTGGCTGATCTCAACAAGCTTGCTGTCTTACTCGATGTCGGCAAAGTTGATGATTCCGATGTATTCGCCGACCTGGACAAGCTCTCCATCGACATTCTGACAGCAGAAGACGATTCCTCTCCCACAGAAAAGGCCGACAAATGGCTGGTCGGTGCGGTCCTTGCGCACAAGCGAGCCATAGCTGTATCTGCGGCGGACAAATATGCCCAAGCTGTTGGCTTCTATAACCTTGGATGGGCTGAGCATCAGGCGTACATTTCTGGAGGAACCTTGCTATGCTCAGAAAAGAAAAAGCCCCGCCGTTTCCTGAAAGCAGCTATGAAGTGCTTCAAGCGTGCCATCGAATTGGAAGCAGGCAATTCCGAATTCTGGAACGCACTGGGGGTGGTGACCATGACTTTGAGTCCTAAAGTGTCCCAGCATTCATTCGTCCGAAGCCTACATTTGAACGACCACAATGCCCAGACATGGACCAACATAGGGGTCCTTTATCTGATCAACAATGATCATGAACTTGCCAACGAAGCTTTCACAAGAGCCCAGTCCGAAGACCCCGAGTTTGCGGATGCGTGGATTGGGCAAGGTCTTTTGGCGACATTGGTTGGGCAGGTCAACGAAGCAAGAGGCTTGTTTATGCACGCCTTTGAGATTGCCGACTCCTCTCTGCTACCTGCAAAACGACACTATGCACTTTCTGCGTTTGATCATATTCTCAAAGACCCTGGTCGCTCTCATGAAGCCAATGTTCTTCTTCAGCCCCTCTTTGCTCTCCGTCAACTTCATACCCAATCCCCGGCAGATACAATCGCCACACAACTCCTGGCAATGTTTGCCGAGCGTGTAGGTGATTTTGCCGCCAGTGCAGAAGCCTTAGAAGAAGTCTGCAGTGCTTCCGAGGCGGCATATGAGAGCTCAGAATCTATGGATGATCTCGTACGGTTTTCTCAGGCCAAGGCTGCTCTCGCGCGTGCGCAGCTCGGACAACAGGAGTTCCTCAGTTCCATCACCAATGCGGAGGTTGCACTAGATTTGTCTGAGGATGCTGCGGAATTTGATACCATCCACCACGACTCTCGACGCCAATGGCGACTTTCAGCCCATATCACGGCAGGTCTAGCCCACAGCCATCTCCAGCAGATCGAATCGTCGATTCAAATGTTTAAAGCGGCGCTCGAAGAGTCATCAAATGCCCCAGATGTGGTGTGTATGCTTGCTCAAGTGCTCTGGGCCAAAGGTGGTGAGTCGGAGAAGGAAGCAGCTCGGACGCAATTGTTCAACGTTGTGGAAGAACATCCAGACCACGTCCAAGCCACTGCTCTCTTGGCAGTGACGGGGCTGTTGGACGACAATCAAGATGTCCTTGACGCAGTGGAGGAGGATCTGAGGACTTTGAGACAAAGCGATAAAATCGGCTTGTTAGACAAGATCAAAGTTACCAAGCTTCTTTCCGGAATTGTAGCGTGCAAGGAGAACAATCCAGCATCCAGAGACAATATGGGTCTGCTTGCTGATGCATTGAGTGGGATCATGTTGGCACCAGGACAGCCGCAGGGATGGCTCGAGCTGTCACAGGCGACCAAGGGTCGGAATGCTGAAGGCTATGCTGCGGAAATGGCCATCTTGAACGCCGAGAAACAAATTCCTCCCAGAGGCAGGCTTGCTGCTGATGACTTAAGCCGAGCTTACGAAAGTTCGGGTCGGCATGAGGATCATTTGAAGGCAAGAATGATAGCGCCATGGCGATTGGAACTTGCAGCTGAAGGGTGACGACGATCAAGGAAGGCGACTCGATCAGTAGACGAGCGTCAATGTTGGGTAGCCTGATAGATCGAGCTTAACATGCCGAAATGTAACACCAGAGTAGTTGAAGTGTGGTCCAGGATAGTTGATAGAGACAGAAGAGGTCAACAATGCCCTTTGACTACTTTTGCACGAGGATCGTGTCGTACTGTGAGTGTTTCATTATCCTCACCCGGCAGCCGCCTCTGCTACCAAGGCCGTCAGTGTTGCCTTTCTGTCGGCCTTCCATTTCTTGTCCCAAGCATCAACCTTACCACCCAGGACAACACAGGTGTCAGGCGTCAGCATAACCATCCCCCGACGAACCAGCGTGCCAGGACTCAAGAGCAATTTGACCCCGATAAACGTGCCCGGATCCTCGCCGTTAATCTGCAGAGAGTTATTTTGTCGCTGAGGCTGAACGGTAGCGGTGGGCAACGAAGCTGATGCCGCAGTCGACAAGCCGATTTTGGGGATCTTGACGAGTTCAAAGGCCATGACCCTCACGCCCTTTGCGTCTTGTAGGACGAGTTTATGTGGACCGGCGCTGAGTTTCGAGGCGCTTTGCAATTGAGCTCCAGTGGGGGTATTTGCTGAATTTGTAGTGGTGGTGGTATCATCATCGTCAGTCATACCGCCAACAGTCCTAATGACCTCCCTCCCCCTGATCTCCTCACCACGTTCGACTCGCTCAATCGCCTCGACTTGACTCCACTTACTGCTACCGACATCCACCACATCGAGGACCTGTACTAGTACAGATGCCTGAAGACGCAATTCCTTGACATTGACATCGTCGACCGCTCGAGGAAGTACCTCTTGACCTCCAGCGGGCGAAAGTGACGTGGTGATGTCGCTTGCGAGGATTCGAAAGTGTGCGGTTGACACTAAAGCCGGTAGTGGAGGGAGATTCGCTCCTCGTGAAGATAGGAAATTGGTGAGCCAGTTCGGCGATACAACTAACGAGTGGCGAGATGCGAGTTGGGATGATATTTGGCCGTGGAGTGGGTGAAGGGCCGTGGTGGTTGCTGTGGGTGTCGGGTTATTGGGATTATGAGACATTGTCGGTTAGACTAGGCCCTTGAGGCTGGAGACTTGCATGTCTTTATAGCTTATATTCTTGTTGGTATGGATGATGGATGATTTCAAGTCGCGTCAGATGATGTTTGACTGACTGACATGTGGTCGGTGCCTGTTGGTCGTTTTTTGTATTCGGAGTTGTAGTGGAATATATATATTTGTGGTTCTCACCTGTAGTTCATCCCCCACAGAGGGACTGACAAGAACCACACACCCCACAATGTGAGAATTCCTCAGGGACCCGGAAGGATGGGAGCTGATATGAAAACTAGTCAAGTCCCCGAGTTTACATTCATTTGAATTCCCGAGTACATGCTACACGGAGAGAGAGGAAACAATAGACGAGGAGGAAGTTATGAAAATATAGTCATACCCCACGTGATTTCACCCCACAAAAGGAGGAACTCGCGATTTTACCCAATAAGTATACGTTTATCCCTCTTCTATATCTGTCTAAATAGTCTGTACATCTATGTTTACATGTCTTCTTCAGCCCGGTCAGGGTCTAGCAAGCGAAGCTGCACCTCGTTGTGCTCTCGTTTAGCCTTGCGGTTGAGTCTGTTCCCAACCCAACGCTTGACTCGTGGTTTCAGCCTTTTGACCGCAAACACCATCAAGGCGATCAGGAGAAGAAAAACTAGCAAAAGAAAGATAATCACCACCCAGGGGTTCCAGCCTTTCAAGCAGCACCCATACCAGGATAGATACCATCTCACGAGGACCTTCATCATAGGATCTTTGGGCCGGTGATCCGGCATGAGTCCTTTTCTGACCAGCTGTTTAAATTTTGGACCATTAGGTCCATCTTCAAACTTCTTCAATCCAAAGTAGGGGACGCTTGTCTGTCTGGGGTCGGTGTCTTGGTACTTTTTATCACCCCATGCGCCATCAAACCCTAGCCAGTCCACGACCTTAGTCGCCGAGTCTGCGGGAGTGAAGACTTGCGTGGCGGCATCATAGTGGTAGTAGTATGCCGGCTGCACGGGATCCCAGATACGGCCTTCGTCAGCAATATCGATGAGCGCCTCGTCATGCACATGACTACCTTCGGAAGGGTAGTTGGCATGTGAACCTCGAGCACTAAAGACGACAGGTCGATCGCCTCGTTTTGACATGCATGTCTCGTCATCCCATAGACAAGCTTTGCCACTGGTATGCTGGCTGAAGTAGACTCCTACTGGCTTCGCGTCTTGGAAGCGGATCATGTTGTGCTCCCAGTCTCCAACGTGGTTGCCAAAGGATTGACCCGGTTTAGCGTCGGGGAAAAGCCTTTCCAAGGGTGGCACAACCTTGGTAATGTCGGCACCTTCGTTGAAGGAATAGAAGTAGAAGTAAAAAGCATCCACATCCTGCGGCGACTTCTCGACAACTACAACAGCGCAAGCCGTGGAGTTGTGCAAGACTCCAAAATTGTCGGGCGTTTCTCCGTAGAGCCAGTCGGCATAGCTGCTGGTATTGGCGGAGGTTAAGTAGACAGCACTACCGTGTCTGTTCAACGTTGAGAGATTGTGGAGGTCATATGTGGATAGATCTGGAATGGGTTCGAAGCCGAGCTTCGGCGTCGTGTGAAGGACATGAGTTGAGATATCACTCGGCATCCAAGGATCGTCAGAATGCAGCCAGATGATCGGAGCTATCATGGATGGCTTTGATCAGCACTGTCTAACACTATATGGAAAGGAGCAAAAGTTGGATGTTTCGAGGTTTGCCATTGCCACGATACTGCTTGGACGACAGGGGTAACAAAAGGATAATAGACCTACCGTGTTTCTTGACATAGTCTGGAATAGCGTAGCCCAACACGGAATGGAAAAGAACCTGCAACGAACAGATGAGGCTGAATGTCGTCCTCCATCCCAGCATCATTGAAACTGAATGGTTTGAGTTCAATGGCTGATTTCTACCAGACCATGCTTGTATCGAGACTTCTGCTTGACTAGCTGTCGAGCCACTCCAAATGCATCACGGAAGAAAAGAGGAATGTTACGATAGAGAACGAATCTCATATCTGTCAGCAACATTGAGTTACTAAGACCACAACACACAATTGGAAGTACCGGCTTTCCGGCTTACGGGTGGGTATTGTATGATCCGCTGTATGAATATCACGTGCACTTCGACGACAACCCCAGTCCTGTGACAACGACAACAACGCGATAACCATGCTACCGATCATGTCTCATGTATTCATCTACTATTGATACTTAGCTTGCTACACCGGACAATGACCTCCGATATTTCCGAATCCCTGCCTCCCTTCATTCGTGGCCATCATGTACTAACCCGAGGACTTGGTCCGACAAGGCTGAAGGGTATGAATGGCCGAGGGCGTCTCAGAGATGCGAGAGCATCTTGTTGCTTTCGGGGTCAAAATAGGCTATGTTTCCATCACAAATCGTTGTTGTGATACATCTCAGTGGAGACTGTAGCCTCTTGCGTGGGGTTGCTCAGTGAGAACGAAAGCCTGTGCATGCAGTCCCCTCTGCCATTACATCAGAGCGTCCGAATCCACTCTTCTGTATCTTCCTAGAATTCCTCCATCATATCCTCGTCCATGTCTTCAGCCGTTGCATTTCGGCCGTTCCCGGCACCACCAGTCTTTCTCTGATCGTCGCTAACTTTTTTCAATTTCTTCAAGAAGTCGACGTATTCTTTGGTGGTTTCGAATCGATGCTCAGTGTTATGAATGTTCTTCAGTAATGTCTGCAATGTCTCTGTCTGCGAGACAAGAGCCTTTTCGACCTCGCTCTCACTTTTCCGCAAAGCGGTGCCTGGCAAGAATCGAAGAATATCCTCCCCAGATTCAGATTGCACGAGTAAAGCATTGATATGGCCCTCGGAGATGAGATGCTGGAGATAAGTCTTTGCTTGGGCGACGTCACTTGGATCCTCCGAAATCCGTCTCGCAACGTCGACAACAGGCAACGCCGCAAAAGTCCTTCCGAGTCGCACGATGGTGAATTTGTTGTATGCCTGATACACTTCTGTGAGCAGACCGTAATTTTCGTCTTCCTGCCAAAGTGCATTTCCAGCCTCGATTTCTGCTCGCAACCTCTCGATATTCTTTGAGTTGAAGGCATCCACGACGCAGTCATAGGGTTTGGCAGCGGCTCTGATGTACTTGAGCGCAGATTGGGTCATCGTTTTGGGTAGTGGAAAAGTATTGCCCCGCATAATCAAACCCAGCATTAGCCACTTTTTGTATGCTGCAACCTGAACCGCACTCGCCACATTCTGAGCAGTCGGGGCAGAGAGGACAATGTCGAGAAAGAGAACAGCATCCTTGTATCTCCGAACTGCGAGGTATGCCATTGCTCCCAAGAGATAGTATTCGAGAAACATGCGACTGTTAATGGGATGGGTGAGGCCTGTGGCTGGGTTCAAGAATGACCAGATTTGATCGGTCGCAGCGCAAAGCCTCGGCGGACGAAGGTCTGAAACGAGTGGCACATGGTATATAGGGCGGTCCAAAATGTCGACAGCTTCAGCGTATGTGTGAGCCAACAGGCACAGACGAACAAAGCTGCGATGTGTAGATGTTATGACAGACGAGGTGTGGTCAAGTCGGAGGATGACGTGGTGCAGGAGTTGAATGGCAGGGATGTAGTTTGAGGTTTGCTCCGCGCCTAAGGAGACATAGTCGACAATGCGCAGAAATTGGACCCCGGCGTAGCGGACTTGAATGACATCAAATTCGAGAAGTAATGATGCGATACTGTCCCATGATGAGCCTTCTGGTAATACAGCTGGGGGTACATTTCGAGTTCCAGCCTTTGTCGCTGGCTGAGAGACGTCGATGATGGCCAAGAGGAAGAAGAGGGAGACGAGGGTATGAGTGGAGGGATTCAAATCCTGTTGCTTGTGTTAGAAGAGGCCATTATAAATGCGCAGGTGAGGGATTGTACATTCAGATTGGTTGCAGACACCAGATCTTGAGAGGAGAGTTTCTTCAACCTAGTGACGACAGACTGAGCCCTGGTGTCATACTGCTCTTCATTGCTCATAAGAAGGGCATGAGTCAAGCTGGAACTGTCTTCAAGAATCTTGTCCATCTTTGCAGAGTCTTGTGCGTAATTGGAGAGTCCAGCGCAATGTCATGAGGTTTCCATAGGGAAGTGGACGGGGAAAGGTGAGAGAATGGGAGGGCGTTTGATTATGAAATGACGAGGACCATGAGCTTAGGATGGAATGACACAATGATCCAGTTACGTCAAAGTTGTGAAGGAACGTGAAGAAGTGCTGAGCCAGTGGTGAGTCAAGTGTTGCAGTGCAAGAGTCGGTTGATAGTCATCCGCATTGGGCATTTTGAAGCAGCATGAATCGGTTACGCAACACGCGCCTGCCACATGCATGGTTGCCCGCAGTTTCCAACTCCGCCATTCAGTGAAGTTTCGACGTCACGTGACAAACAGGGATATTCAAGTCTTGTCTGAGGGTGACTCTTCAAATATCACATTCGTGCCTGGCCAGGTGGCACCCTGGTTCAGATATCCACTACTCTATGGAGGTAATTGCTAGCTAGGGCGTATGAGGTGGTCACAATACAATACAATCCAGTCTATCGTCAATCATATCCTCCGCCAAATGAGGCTCTATCGTCGTTTCTGTCTATACATGACAAGAATGATGAGCAAGGATGGTCACATTGGATCCAACACGAACACGATACAAGCCAGTCATCTTCTCGTCGGCGAGCTATCTCCAGAAGTAGTCATGACCTCGACTTCTTCAAAGTCCATATCCCAAGCATCAATATCTGCCCATTTGTCTCTTTTGGTCGGGCGTTTTCCTTTCAGCACCTCAGATGATCTTGACTTGTTATGACTGGATTGTCCACGTACTGTTGTGCCATGGTTGCCGGGTTTGCCAAGTTTATTGGTAGCCCAAGGATCAGCTCCAAGGTTTTCTTTGTCTGGGGAGTTTTCGTATGTCTCGCACTCGGTGGGTGGATGGGATCCACCAGACTGCTTCTCTGAAGCCGCTCCCCCTTGCCTGGAACCTTGCCCGATGTACGATCTGGTATCTTTGGATGGGGACGAGAGCTGTGACCAAGACTTAGTTTCGTGACCCTGCCTAGCGTTGGAGGGCGAAAGGACGGTGGAGGTAGCAGTAGTGATGAATTCTCGCGTACTTTGTTCATGATTCGGTTCGGCCACTTTCTTGCTCGAAACCGGCTTGGCCCCAACTTTTGCTGATCTGCCATTTCCATTTTTGAGTTGCAACCTGGTCGACTTTGCAGCTCTCCCATTCCGTCTTTCCGAACGCCTTGTATTTCGGCCTGGAAGAAAATTGGAGTCATCCGAAGGGTCGTGGATAGGAGAATCCGAATCGGCCAGAATGTCGAATTTGTCAGTTCTGGCTTTGCGATCTCGTGCGGTACGTCTCGGTTTGGTGGGCATAACGGCTGCTTGCAGTTCTTGTGTTGTCATTGATGGTACAAGTTTGTCTTGAGCCTTCTTCGTCCGTTTCACCGATATGGGAGTAGGGTTAGAGTTCAAAGGAGACGAAGACGGCGACGAACTGCTTTCCGGAGGTGCCATAATGTCTTCAGCATGATCTGCATGTGCTTGATGCTTACGTCCCGACTCTCGTAAAGCAGATGCAGGAACGGCGGGTAGACTGGGTCCTGGTGTTACACTCGGATGTTGCATTCCAAGCTGAGGACTTTTGGAGGAATGATGTAGACTGGAGTCACCATTGAGTAGGAATACATCGGATTGGCCAAGTTTCCTTTTTCGAGAGGAGGAATTTTGCGTCGAACTGGTGGCGGGGGTGGAGGTTGTCCGGATTGCGGTAGAGAGATTGAGCGGAGTTGATTCGTCATCTGGAAGAAACTGTTCCTCGTCGTCAAGATCAAATGAGGAGGAGTCGTGGTCGACGAGTTGCAGAATGCTAGGCTGCCTTCGACGTGGCTTCAGCGCCCCTAGAAAGGAGCTGTCACGTATTGGTGTCGGCTGTACAGGAATGCTGGCAGTTTCTCGAGGTTTGAGAGAAGAAGATGGGAGGGTCGATGTGGTCGCGTTGAGAGGCTGGGGACTTGACGTAGGTTGTTGCGTGCCATCGCTAACATTTGCAGCGTTCAGAGCCTTGATTTGAGCCTGCGCCAGTATCTCCTTGGTGTCATTGCTCAAGCTCTTCCTCCTTTGCGCCCTGGTGGGAAAAGCACCCGGCCGATCATTGCCGCGAACCGCGCCTGAAGCGTAGATTTCCTGCTTGCGTTTACTTCCTCTCCCATTCCCTTTGACAACGAGCCTATCGCTATCGTCGGAATCGTTCGGTCGTTGGCCTATGGGCGTGGCCACAAGCTTACGCTCAAGATGTGATCTCGCATTGCTATCGGAAGGGATTCGTGGGCTGTGACGATATCGATTAGGATTTCGGCGCCTGACAGGACCTCGAGGCATTATGTTGAGCTGCAACCGCAGCTGTAGGCTGTTGCGACGCAAATGTCACGAAAAGTTGGGCGACATTCAAGTATGATCCCAAATGGAGGTAGTGGGTGGTGGAGGAGGAGGAGGAGCTTTTGGTGGGTTGTGGTGGGCGCGCCGCGTGTCTGGGTTGTTGTCTTTAGCTTTGATCAACATGACCGAATCATTCGCATTTTGTTCTCCATTATTGGTTGAGCCTAAAGCGGCGGTGCTGTCAAGACAGATGAATTCTCCATGACTGTATAAAGACACAAATGACAGGCGAAATTGGTATCATGACAGTCATTTGAATGTATTCCCTTGGGGGAACAAGATAAGCATATGAAGGAATACGCAAAGTACTAGGTATTTTAAGACTACCAGGTACCTACCTACGAAGTAATAGACACTCTAAGTAGGTACGTAGCTGTAATTGACCGCTAGCAAGATGCATAAGTGAGGCAGGTTGTCTGTGTTATGAACCTAATTCCTCCACCCTTTGCTGGGTGACAATACTTTGTTCGAGTACTCACTTCACTGCCCTGAGAGAGAGTGCTCTCATCGTTATTGGTATTCTAGTGACGAATGCCTTGTTGCTACCAGTTGCTAGGAAGCACTGGCATTTGTTGTATTTATCAACTCTGTTGGCTATTTTGAAGAGAGGAGAGAGAATTTAGCCATCATATCCTGCTTGGAGCACCTGCCGTGACAGAAAGAGTGAAGCATATTTGATAGACTCTTTGTGGAAGGTGCATTCCTCCTCGACATCGACTATCGAGGCCGCGAGCACGAGAGGCCTCCTGACTGATGCGCTCGTTGGTGTATTGATCGATGAGGAAGGTTGGTTGCTTCATCAGGTGTTTAGTTCGATGAGGAGACGACAAGGGACACTCACATTGACCTCGACGAGATCGATAGTGACGTTGGACACCTAGATGCAGACACGATATGATGGCATATTGATCGTGGACTCAGCAGGAGTATAATCCTGTAACCTTCCCACCGCTCTCTAAGGCGCTGGGGATTTTCGTGGTCTCCGAGGCTCGGTTACAGACACGGATGGAACGAATCGAGGTGGTTCGTGGCGCAACTGGCGCACAGACCCGAGTTCCAAGGATCGCGTCAACTGGTAGTGACATTCCCGCAAACGCGATAACGCGATAACGCGCCTGCCCGTTGCCCCCAGCGCGATCTCGATTTTGATCTCACATTTGATATTGGTCGGTGCTGTATGGTGAAAGATGAGCAAGTTGATTGCGGATGGCACAGAGGTGAATGTCAAACACAGGCAGCACCGAGTATGCATCTCTCGTCGATGACTCTGGGCAACGACGATCTGTTCACCGGATATAACAAGACAGGTGACATGTAACCAAGTTCTGAACCAATCTAGTTGAGACTGTTTGATGAGAAAGACAGGATTTGACGGCTGTGATCTATGGGGTGGGTGGTTATCTAATGTTAAATGTTCCCTCTGGTTGGTCTCTCCCCTCGGTGAGGTGGAAACCCCGTCGTCACCGCGTTTCACAATCCTGGTCGTGCTCAAATGCCGCGGGCGGTGCAATTCGTCCAATGTTCCAAACGTCCAAACGCCAAATAATGCATAATAAGTTCGCAGTCCCTAACGCCTAGAGTTGATATGACTCTATATGACTTGCAACCGCCAGGGGAAAATCCCATGATACAAAGGGAATCAAACTCCGTAAACTCATGCTGTGGACTTTGAAGTCCGGACAGGTTCTAAGTCATGGTCTTTTTCTTTTTCTTTCTTCAAATTCTAGGACCATCGATTCTCTGGCGCCGACCAGAATATGGTCTGGCGTTTGGATGAACGGTCTGAACTTCCTGTCGAGTTTGCTGACATGGTGGGACTTCTCGAACTGTCGGTTGTGTAGACATATTCGCCGTCCACGTACTGCGCGCCAGTTGAAAAGGTAGTTCGATTCTTGCGCCGAGCGTACTTCTGCTCAAGGCGGTAGAGTTCAAGTTCTGGGAAGAATGCGAGTTAGTGTAGAACATGGCCATAAATTCAGCGCACCACTTACTTGACTGAAGCTTGTCGAAGAGGCCCATTTTGAAAGAAGTGTGTCGAGAGTTTAATATGAGAAGAGGAAGAGGATCGTAGATAATGTATATGACTTGTCGGAGGTGTGAGTGTGAGAGTCAGACTCTGTGTCAGCCGAAACGAATCTGGATCGTAGGTTGGAATGTCTCGTGTAAGCAAGGGACTCCCAGTCAGGTGTGGCTTCGTAGGATCGGGCAGCACGAATTGAGCCTTGCAACAGTCTTTATGGCCAGTCTCGATGTGAGCGTGGTCGATGGAGAATAGTGGGGGAATGTCAGAGCGTTGAAGAAGGTCGAGTTGACGTCGGTCAAATAGATCACTTGCAGCTCGTGATCGGCCACCGGGGGGGTATAAAATGATGACACGAGACGTCAGTCAGTCAATCAATGCGGGAAGAGGGAAGATTCTTGAGATCAATTAACAACCAGCCTTCTTCTGCACGAGAGGGAGAGGTGGGAGGATGCCAGGATGTTCTTCGACTTGCAGGATCAAGCACCAGACAGCTCGAGCCATCATGGCTCGTCGTGTGTGTCTGTTCGCTAACTAAAATACAAGTCGCAGTTCAAGAAAGGAGGTGCAACAAAGTGGGCAAGACTGCGATTCGCAGAATGGAGTCGCAGTCGGCCCCATCGCTCGCCCGTACGGAGTATGCTTGTGGGTAGCGTAGGTACCTAACGCCGGCATTGCCTCGCGCAATTTCTCGAGGCGTGTTTAGCGCCTTAGCCGGGGTGTCTTGGGGTTGTTCTAGGCTAGGTACCTAGGCGACCGCCAGCCACTGAGCTGCAGTTGGGACCTGCCACGCCTGTCCATCTCTGCAGCCAACTAGTCCAAACGTGGCTGCTGGTTCCAACACCGGGTGCCCATCCAGTGGGACTGGGGGTTGGCTTTCGTGGTCCGGGTACCTGAACGATGGGCAAAGGGCGGGGACAAGGTTAGGTTTGCTTTGGGCAACAGGGCACCGATTTCGCCCAAGCACCAAGGTTCACGCAGGCACAGTCTAAAATCTGCAGGGGTTTGATCGTGCGTGCAAACAAGACTGCAGAGTCAGTCGATCACACCTTGATGCCGATGGTCTGCACGAGACATGATCCCCAGCATTTGAACCTGACTATTGGAGAAATGAGACGCACCTGATAGAAATTGCAGAACATCTCAAAAGTTTTACAGCAGTGGGGTTGTTTAATCAATTTTCCTAATAGTTTCCATCGCCTGTGTTTCCCATCTCCATGACTTCGATTACTTCCCTCAAACAAGTAAATAGGTTCGCTTCGGTAAATGCCGGAGGAGAGGCAGAGAATCACAGCAACCAGCACAGAGTATGTAGCTCATCTCCTCAAGGATCGCCGGGTCGGTTAGAACTTGGATTGGGCTGACCCTAGTCTCGACGCCCATGTGGGTTTCTGTCTCTTCAATTATAGGGATAGCTTACAGCGTAGTGCGCACCAATATTCACAGGGCATGAATGCTGGGTGTCTCTCACTGGAAGGAACGCCACCAAAGCCTAAAGAGAGCCCCAAGAAAAAAGGATTGCGGAGCGGGGATGCACTAGAAAGCCATCAGCGCCACGTGTCGGAGCCTGCCTATGGAGTAGGTACGCTAGAAGTCCAAATAGTTGTGGTCCTGAGTATTCGTTCCCTTCTCCATCATCAAGCCACCAGCGCACCCACAACTTACCGCCAATTCGTATTATCGTGCTACTTACGCACAAAGATAAGGTATACGAGAGACAAGTCACACCAGGGTTGTGAATAAATGCTCCACATAACTCGGATTGCAAGATTTACAAACCGACGACACCCATACTATCGTTCTGACCATGGAACCAACTGGTGCAGATGAAATCTAGCATTCTATCCAGTAGTAATCTCCAAGGATACACTAACTATTCAACACTACTTACTGTAGCCTCTCAAGCACTCCATTCTTCCTGTCCCTCTTTATAAGGTCCTCAGCATGTCCTCAGTTGGGCCAATGATAACGCTGGGCTCTAGCGACGGAGGGGGGAAAAGCCGACCGGATGGCATACTGATAGCTTGGGCTGAAATCCCCCCTGTAGGCCTCTGGTGTCGCCTTCGTATCCATTATTCATGAGCCAATATAAGAGCAACCGACTGCTTGGGTACCAAAAGCACCCACGCTCTGCATTGCGCACACCTCGGTAGACGAGGCCAGAATTCTTGCCAACTGATCCACGAGGCAAGCAATCGCCTACAGAATGGACCAATGACTTCATGCTTCCCAAGCCAGTCTTATGCCTCTACAGGCACGCAGGTGAACAATACGCAGCCAAGGACAGGATCACCCTTGTCGACTGGATCACTTCTGCTTTTGCTCTTCTTCTCGTTGCTCCTCCAGCTCTCGCTCCAAGCCCATGTCTTGGCCAATTGAGACTTCTTGGGCAGACCAGAGGTCGGCGTAGAGACCGTTCATCGCCAATAGTTCGGCATGTGTACCTTGTTCAAAGACCTGTCCTTCTTTGAGCACAAAAATAATGTCGCTGTCGTAGATGGTACGTAGACGATGGGCCACAAATACGCTCGTTCTTGATTTTTCTTTGAGGATGCTGTTGATGTTCTGGAGTAGGGTCTGCTCGGTATACGTGTCGAGAGCTGAAGTTGCTTCGTCAAAGAAGAGTAATGGGGGGTCTTTGAGCAGTAGACGAGCAACCGCCAACCTTTGCTTCTCTCCGCCAGAGATCATCATGCCTCGCTCACCAACCATGGTGTTCCATCCTGCAGGAAGGCGTTCAATCAAGTCGAGGATCTTGGCTCGTTGAGCAGCCTTTTTAACATCATCGAGGCTCGCATCGATTTGACCGTAGCGGATGTTATGTTCAATCGTGTTGTTGAACAGTGGTGTATCTTGAGGGACCACGCCTATACTTTTACGAAGACTCTCAAGGCTGATTTCTTGGATATTCTGACCATCGATGATAATTTTCCCAGAGTCGGCATCGTAAAATCGGAACAACAATCGAAGGATTGTTGACTTGCCACAGCCACTGGGCCCCACAATGGCGACCTTTTTCCCTGCTGGAATTGTCATGGTGAGATTTCTCAAGATTGGTCGGTCGGAGTGATAGCCAAAGTTGACATTTTCAAACTTGATCTCTCCTCCTTTTACAAGGGAGAGCGGCTTGGGATTAGTCACTTCCTTGACCGTCACATTGACCTTTTGCAGGTTGAACAATGTTTCCATGTCGAGCAAAGACTGCCGCAATTCTCGATATACCGAGCCCAGGAAGTTCAGAGGAACCGACAATTGGAAGACTAGCTGATTGACCATGACCAAATCACCTACGGTCAATTCACCGGCCGCAACCCCTCTCGCAGCCATGTACATCATTGCTGCCAAAGCACTCGAGAAGATGATGTTTTGTCCAGAGTTCAAAAATGCCAGTGATGTGGTCACTTTGATCGAGGCGTCTTCGTACTTTTTGAGTGCCTTGTCGTATCTGTCCACTTCAAACTTTTCATTGTTGAAGTACTTGACTGCCTCGTAGTTGATGAGGGTGTCAACGGCCACGGTTGCGCCTTGATTGTCGGCGGCATTGGCCTGTTTTCGGAATTTCGTTCGCCAGGAAGTCGTGGTGATGGTAAAGACTGAATATGCTACCATGGTTGCACCAGTGATGGCGGCGAATTGGAAGCCGTAGTTGTATGTCAGGATGCCACACACCATGGAAATTTCTAGGACAGTAGGGAAGATGTGGAATAGCATAGATGTCAGCAAGAAGCTGATACCTTTGGTGCCCCGATCCAGAGCTCGTGTGAGACCACCCGTCTGTCTGGACAGATGGAAGTTGAGATCAAGTTTGAGAAGGTGCTGAAACACATTTCTGGCGACATTCCGAATGGCCTTTTGGGCAACGCTTGCAAAGACGGCGTTTCGCAGCTCTTGAAAGACAGTCGCACTGATTCTGGTAATTCCGTAGGCGACTATCATGGACCCAGCCACAGTCCAAGCAGTACCGCCAACGGCGAGGAAATCCACATTCATGGAATCAACGATGCTTTTGAAATAAAAGGGAACATTGACATTGAGGACCTTTGCGCCCACCAATAGTCCCAATGCCGCTCCTACTCGCAACTTGGTTCCAAAGTCTCCTTTTGGCCACAGATATTTCGCCATTTCTTTCATGATGGCCAGGTCGACTTTACGCTGCTCCTTGTTGGAGACGACCTTTTCTGAGAGAACGGCATTTTTGCTGGCGGTGACTGGCTCCGGTTTGATGGGTTGAGCCTTTTTTACCGCCTCTGGCACAACAATTTCCTCTGGTGTTGGTTTTGGCGAGTTCTCCTCGGGGGTTACTGTCGTTGTTTGTGGTTGATTTGTTTTATCCGCCTGTCGTCCAAACGTCGGTGTTTGAGAAAACAATCGATGTTGAGCGGGACAAGTAGATTGAAAACCTACAGCCCATGGCTTTGGAGCAGCAATAGGTGATATGAGGGCGATCTTGCGCTTTCCGCACAATGCCCATGTGCGAAAAAGCATGTTGGTGCGTGGTTGGATATATCCCAGTCTGATACAGCAAATGAGGACCAGCTAAGCAACCAAAGGCTGCTAACTTGCAAGTGCACTCAATCACGAGGGAGTGCCCATAGACAGCGCTCCTAAAAGAGTCACCGAAAATATAAGGTATACAAGTGCATGACCATCAGCCACTGGAGCCTTATTCAAGAATCTCGGTTCCTTTGTCAGCCAAAAGCTGACTGGGACTTTTTTGCGGATACGATGTGGAAGTGAGTAATTTGTGCTTGGTCTGATGCCATTGCTATTACCTGTAGGTCCCCCTCGTCCGTCCATCGGGTACCTCCACAAAAGCTTTGGCTTATCCCCAATAATCCATTATTATCATTGGGGGGCCTCGGGCCTGGAATTGAGGTCAAGAGGCGCCGATATCGCGTGTTGGCCTTGTCGCTCCACGCCCAAATGCCTCGCCCAATACTTGGCATATTTGGAGACTTTGGCACTGCATTTCCTCAATTATTGCAATATCTTGTACGCCCACCTCCGCGTAAAGACGCGAATAGAAAGCTTGAGCTCATGGTGATCTACATCTCTTCACCCATTCCCCTTTCTGCGATACTCCCCACCTCCCCTCTCACCTTATAGAGGCTGACATCGGGTCTGACCCAGAGCTCGAGATGCCTCTAGTCGCCTCACAGAACCTGCGACAGCTAGCTGGGCACCCTCGGAAATGGACTTTCCCTGCTCTGTTCATGGCAGGAAGACGGGTGGGGGGTTACAGATATATCTCGGTGCAAGCCACTCCATCTACTGACACAAGTCGCGTTGATGTTGTTGGTAGATCTACCTCTATTTCCTCTCCAGGTACATTTCTCGTCTAACCTATATGGCCGTTACAAATACTTACAACAAGCAGATGCCTCCTTCGAAGTCCTCGGAAGTCCCTACTCCCTCCTCTCAGTCACCCTGTCCCCGTCTCAGGATTTGTACACTCGCCGCGGAACACTAGTCGCCTTCGCGGGTGACGCAGATAGTACAGTTTCGACCTTGCGAATACTTAACCCACTCCGAAGAGTCCTCATCGGCATTCCCTTCTTGTACCAGAAGATCACCTCTACAACCCCCATCAGTGCTCTCATCTCCACAAAGTCTCCTCTGACTTCATTTGCAATCCTCCATCTGGACGGCACCACGGATTGGAAGCTAGCACAGAGAAAAGCATTGCTGGCCTGGACCGGCAAGTCCCTCAGCGTGACTCCCACAGTCAGTTCTCGGATGTCGTTAGCATATTGGGGAAGCTCGGATGTTAGTGGACGAGGTCTGCTCGCTCTTGCTGGCCAGGGTCAGATCTACTCAATTGAGCTTGCAAAGGGAGAAACCTATGTTGTGCACCCATCGAGCATATTAGCCTACTCTACTTCTTCACCATCGCCTCCTCCACAACCTTATCGATTCAAGTCCACCAGCATTCGATTCCAAATTCCACTCCAACTCGGAAACTTCTTTCCCTCATCCAAGTTCATCGAGACCCTGAAAACAAGCTCAACCTACAAGTTCTTCGCCAATGCAAGCCTCAGGTTACGGACGTGGAGCCGGAGGACCATCTGGGGGGACAGACTGTTCTTGCGATTTGAAGGGCCAACCACCCTGTTGATTCAGAGCAGAGCTGCGAGAGTGAGTGAAGTGTTGACCGCGCAGGACGTCAACGAGATTGCGGATGCTCCCCCAGGCGTGGTGAGCGAAGCAGTCCGAAGTGCTCAGATCTCGCAAGGTAAATCCCTGGAGGGAAGCGGAGCTGTGGGAGTGCCAACGCCTGCTCATTCCACGCCAAAGGTATCAGTTGCCAGTGTGGGTAGTGATGGCAAGGTCTCCTTTGGCACGACTTAGACCCAGTCCTAGATTGTTCAAGGTTGGCTCAGAGTCCATTTGTTCATTCGGCCCACCTTAGTACATAGCCTCATCTCAACCCGTTCATTCTCAGGAGTCATCACTGTAACCACTCGAGCTTAGACAACATCTTGGAATACTGTATAGGCATCGGAACGAAAAGGAGGCACGAGGAAATGCAAATACAGAATCCCGAGACATTAGTGAACAGAACTAGAATAATACGACGAATGTCGAAATTATCGGTCTCAATCAGACACCTTTTGGTATACACTTTGAGGGCGGAAAGCCCGATTCATCACTTATTGGAGCTAGACAACATTCAGGTCATCCTAGGGCAACAGAAAGTACTTTTTGAGGGCCTGCACGTCAAGAGCCAACATCACACCAGAGACAGGTTTCGTGTACGACGTTTGCATTATCGACCAAGCCAGACGTCTATTCCACTCCATTCTCATTGCCCAATCCATTCCATGTGAAAATGCCTCATTATGTAGAAAAGCAAGCGAGCTGGATCAGAACGACGGCCAGGCAGCGATGTTTAGATGAGATGCTTTGACCTATCCCATATTGTTAGTATTTGCAGAGTATTCCCGGGTACACATCGAATTCCGAATAAACATACCTGAAGTACGCTCGAAGGTAGACCACCTGCCATGCTCCAAGTCCAACCAACATGCCCATGGTGCCAAAGGCAAACCATTTGACTCGTTCGTTGGTACTCTCATTGGTGTCTCGGAGTTTCTGCTCACGCATTCTCAAATACTCCAACTCTTGCACGATCTCGTTGACCGTCTCCTCTATCCGTCGCAACTCTGTCTCGACGGGCTTGAGTTTCTCCGACGCCTGGATCGCGGACCAATCTCGCGCATCCGCGCCAATGTCAATGTCGAGTTCGACGTGTCGTACTGGGTTTGGACTGCCAGCTGTTGCAAATGGTCAGTGATCAATTCCGATGACACAGCACGGAGACGGTGTTGAAGGATCTTGGGGGGGGTATCGTGGCAGGAAAGGGATATCGCGAACGTACTTCGTCCTGTCAAGGTGTTCTCAAAACACACGTCAAAGGCCGTGTCCGCCAGACTTGTAAAGGCCATTCTCTTCTCGCCGGCCACATCCTTTGGACGACCGTAATCATTGCCTACGGAGTCTTTGATCTGCGGGAACCAAGTGTCAGCATTAAGTATCATCGACGGTGTCGAGGCCGGCCGCCAAATCAAAGGTTCCGACTGCGATGAAGTCCCGGAGATCAACCAACGTACATGCATATTGACCATTTGTCCATCACCCCTGCTCCCACTGACAATGGCTGTGACCACTACCAGCGTATCTCTGCTGGCAAAGTTGCGTATGCATCTCTCATTCTTTGCACTATGGCCTGCCTGTGCCACGAGGTCGAACTTCAACGAGTAGACGAAAGGAAGGAGGAGGAGCAGGACGGCCACCTGGATCAAGGATCTCATGGCAGGTGGGAGGATTCGACGTTGTCCCGCCGAGAGGATGTTGAGGTAAGATGTCGTACACAAGCCGATGGCCGGCGGCTTCAACTTTCAGCCCTTACGACAGCAGAACGGTACTTTCGATACCTTGTCGTGATGAATGAGCTATTTCACTGGTTGTTGTCGTCGCCGCAAGAAATCAGGAGGTGTAACTCGTGGCAGAAACCAGGTTGTCGTGTGCGAGAAATCTAACGTCACGTGGGCGGTGAGTGCCCTGCCCCTTTCCCTCTTCCACTTCTTACACTAACTCCTATCCCAACATTTCTGACTACACCACAGGGAGAACAGCCTAGGTCCTATTCAGATAACTCATGGTGGCGCAAGATAGAATTCTCAAAGTCTCTCCTATCCATTCATAAGATTTTCTACCTCTCCATATTCACGTCATATCCAAAAGAGATCTCAAAATCTTCGTGCCACATCGTAACTAACTCCCTCTACTCCTTCGCTTCAACCCTTCAAGCCTAAGCAGCAGCATAATGTCGAAGTTGCAAATGACTTAGTGTTTGGTGAGACATCATTGTTACATATCCAAAAACCCAACAAATAACTGTCGTTCTTCTCACCTCCGGACGCTGGCCCGCCGAGAGAAGAATTTCATGAATCCAGCCTGATCTTTGGATGGAGACGACACTAGCTTTTGAGGAGCCACCTCACTCCCTGGAGGTGGGCCTGTGCTCTTGAGGTACGCCGCGAGTTCAGCGGTGCCAGTACCCTGAGCGACCGAAGGATCTCTCGGCTCTATACGCGATTTCTGTCGATTTCGATCAACATGCGCGGCATGAGTTGGCTGAGTAGGTCTGTATTTGTCCATTTTAGAACCCACTTGCGTAAGGTGGGGCGACTCTGCTCGAGCCGCGCTGCTCATCGCGCCTGCAGAGTGTCCGTTTCGTCCACCGGTCGCATTGTGAAGGTAGTCACGAAGCTTTGAACTGCTGGCTGATCTAGTCAACGTGGTTTTGCTTTCTGATACAGTGGTATTCTTCGTTGCTCCCAAGATCGGTTTGGTGCCCGATCCAGGAGGCGGTGCTGTGTTTCGGAGGAAGTCGACGAGTGACTCCTCATCAGGTCTGCCCCTGGCTTGCGGCGCCTCTTCCTCCAGCTCGTCCTCCTCGTCACTAAAGTCTATGGCATAGGGGTCGCGTAACCTTCTGCGGGTACGCTTGGGAAGGCCTTCCGTCTCTTCAATGACTGGATGCTTACCATTTACAGCCTTGGAGCTGACTCGGTTGCTGGAATCGAGTAATGGTGTTCGCGAATTCATTGACGACTGTATCGATTTCACAGTCGCTGCACTTTCTTGCGCGCTGCCATCCGAATTGCGGGTTTTTCCTTCTAGATCTTGTGGAGGTGCCAGGTAGTTGAGATCATCTGAGTCCATGGTGGTTCGGAAAGGCGCCACTCGGCGATCAATCCGGTGTTCCCCTCCAGTCCGGGGTGGGCCTTCACGAATAAAGTCTATCAGATCAGAGCTTTCAGCCGTCCGAGGTCCTCTAGCGTCGCGAGCTTGGAACTTGATTCGATTCGCAGTCTTATTTGTGGCTGTCGTGGCGGGTCGGGTGGAATGGAGATCTGATTCCTCTTTTTCAAGTTGACTTCGATCAGCCACAGCCTGAGACGTGTGAGGACGACCTGCGAGAGGCTTAGGTAATTGTTGATCATTTTCAGGCCCGGTAGATCGAGCATAGTCAGCCAAGTCCCGAACTGTGTCACCGGTAGTTCGGGCGTCCCGTGGCACGCCGAGCGGATTTTTGGGCTTTGGTTGAATCGTATTCTGTTGGCCATCAGGCTGTGGCGCAGAAGTGGGAGCAGTGGATTGGCTAGACGCCACAGGGTTGTACCGCAATCCGTTTGTAATGTCACGAGCAGAACGGGAGGTCTTCAGAGGCGTAGCTTCTGCTCCAGGAGGAGCAGTATTCCTGAAGAAATCGGCAAGCTCTTGAGTCTGACTCTTAGCCCTAGCCTTAGATCTCTAATAATGGTTAGTAAGAGATCATAACGGGAGCTTGGGTCTTACCTCATGGGCTGCACGGGCTGATTCGGGCGTCAGGGTGTAATGCAGCGTCTCGTCGCTGTCGATGAGAAGATCCAGACTCTTCTTGGCCCTGTCAAGCTCTTCTGGAGGAGTGTTTCTTGTTGCGCTATCATCATCAGAACGAAGGCGAATGTGCTGCTTTCGAGGAACACTGGTCTCGGCTGTGCCCGGTCGTACCTCCTTTCCGCTAGCGCTTCGGGAGTGAGGGGATGTTGACGTTGGAAAGGTGGTTGGCTGAGAGCGGACAGGTTGTTCATGCGCATCGCCCAGGTGTTGCTGAGGTTCAGAAGGTTGTTGTTCCATAGGTAGATGTTGCGGAAACCTAATGTCTGTCGGTGATTGTCTCGAGGTTTGCTTCCCACTAGACGATAGTCCAGTGGTAGCAGCGGCGGGTAACGCAGACGCTATAAGAGAGGAATCAGTGGCAGCCTGGCTGTCAATCGCGCGTTCGCCCTCAGCCAAGTGCGTAACACGATTGGGAACCTCATTGCTCCGGTCGATTGTCACATAACCATATTCGTCTGGCGACGGCTGTGGTTGCCATACTCCATTAGTGAGGTCGTTGCCAGAAGCAGGTCCATTGACGACGGGATGGTTTGGTTCTGCTTCAAGAGCCTGCGAAAATTGATTGGCTTCGACGTTGTCAGGGGCGTCAACCCCGAATCCCGAGTCTCGAGGATTGGCCGGGTCGAAAGCCTCGTCTGTTGGCACATTGTCATGGCCATGAGCATCTCCATCTGCACTCTCAATGTCAGGGGTGTCATCTCTCGAAGACTGGGACCGTAGCGCTTGCTGACTAGGTTGATCTCTCCGAAGACCGCGAGACGCTTCGACACTCAAGGCTCCTGCGATGGTGGCCACTGTCGCATCCATAGCACTGGACCTGGCCGAGTAAACGGCACCTTGGCGAGGATCTTGACGAGCAACACTTTCATCCTCGGTTGCTTCAGACTCGGCCACTTCTGGAGCCGTGGCTGAGCCGTGATTGACCTGATCAACGCTGTTTGGCTGGGGGGACGTAATAAATTCGCTCGTTGGAGGAGAATTGGGAAGTGAACGTGATCTGGTATGTAGCAAATGTGGTCTTTCACGATTTTCGTCGGCATTGACTGGGGTTGAGGATCTGGGAAACTTTCCTGGCATTAATAACATGCTCGATGGGCGTCGAGAGTCAAGCTCAGGCCTGATAAGCGAGGCTTCCTTGTTTGGTCTGTCGAGTGTGGCGTTTGCGCCTTCAGCCTCATCCAGGTGGTCCACTGCTGAAGTATCGGGCAAGGACGTCTCAAATGGTTCAGCTGCTGGCTGTACAGACGGGCTGCGCTCTTCCTGAATCGTAGAGAACTGACCAGCGGTAGGGCTCCTCCATTCAAATGTTGGAGAGTCCTGCCCAGTAGGTGACATGACATTCGGAGTAGTAGGTCTGGAGGAGATGCTTCCTCGTACACTACCTTTCCAAGATCGCCAGAGTCGAATGAGTGGGCCCTCTTTACCGACGCCAGACATATCAATCTCATCTAGAGTGATTGTGTCATCATTGAACTGATTTTGGCCAAGGTTCTTGGGGTTGGAACGGCGTCTTCTCGCGTGTTGAGCAGCAATACAAAGTGACTGCTCACCTAAAAACTCTAAGATGGTGGTCAAGAAAATTGCAGAAGCGGGGCTAATGTTTGCTGAGGCTCTCATCTCTGCCTTGACTTGTGCAACATGATAACGCAGGTCTTCATCGTCGAGAAAGTCTTCTTCATCCTCTTCTTCCAAGTCACCCAGTTTTGCATAGACCATGCAGCGCAATCTGGTCAGAGTCCATGTGAGGTCCAAATCAAAATTGGCCTTGGGGTCGAGAACGCCAGCCGAAGACTGTAACTCGGCAAGTTCTTCTTCATCCAGATAGTCTTGGAGTTCTTCATCGGCGGCTTTGACTGCAGCTCTACCCAGTCTCTGCTTCAAGGCAACCGGGACAGCAGCTCGAAGAGCGGCCAGTGTAGTTGAGTGGGCCTTTTGTAGGATGTCATACAAGATCTGGTCCAAAAAGGCATTTACCAGGTTGAGAGCGGCTGGGGAGATCTTGACGGGGACTTCGATCTCAGCATATAGAAGGTTTTCGGCGGCGGATTCAGCTACGTAGGCAGGTGGAGGGTTCGCGGGAGGGAGGACGCCCCTGGTCGATCTTGCGGACTGCGACAGGACATCGCTAGAAGAGCCGACGCTGCGTAAGCCTCTCGGGGTAATAGGGTCTAGGGAATCGCTCCGTTGAGGCCGCTGCATTGTTGTGCAATCGACTCAGCCAAGATATCACAAGGACAATTCTTGTCGGGCGGGCGAGGCGAGGCGAAAAAGGTTGCAACTAATTGTCCATGTGCAGGATGTGTAGGATGATCGAACGAGTGGTTGGGCTTCTTGGAGGATCGACAGTGAAGGGCAAGTCGAGGGAATAGAATATAGAGACAGTTGGTGGATGTTGGAGGAATAGGAGGTCGTGTGTGAGACTACCAGAGTGTCCGCAGTCCAGATTTGCGGTCAGCTCTAGATTGACTATGTCTTTGAAGGCATTCAACTGTAGTGGAGAGGGTGAAGTCTGGAGCAGGGTACAATGCGATGACGAAAGTGAAGTGGTAGGAGTGAGAGCGTTAGCTTTTGAAGTGGAAAGCTCGGTCCATGCAGGTGACAGGAGGAGTTGAAGGACTTTGGCCCATGCGCAAGGGCATCTCTTGGAGTTGGCAGGAAGTTTAGGGAAGTTTAACAGGGCTTGGATCCCTGGTAAGAACGAGGCTGGTGTTTCAATCAACAAGATGTCCACTAGGGGAGAAGGGTACCTAGTGTAGGAAACTGGGGCATAAGATCGCTTGGAACGAACCAGAAGAATGGCGACAGAAGCCATGGAGTCATGGGCTATAGGCTGTAAGCCTATAAGCCCATAAGCCTATCTAAAACCACATGGATCAGGCACAAGGCTTGAAGGTGCATCCATGTCAGTCTCTATTCTGCTTGGTTGAGCGCCAGAACGCCCAGTATCTGAGGGGCTCCTCGGGCCACTGGGGCGTGCCGCTTCACTTAAGCGGCCCCTCTGCCCCACCCCTGGAGCATCGCTAGAATCCGGGCATTCTGCCCAACAAGAAACCATACTTGGGCTACTGCGCTGTGGTCCAATAAACATGGGCCATCCTAAATCGCATTTCAAGCCCCTTATCCGTGTTATTAGGCTAACTGCGGTAAGAGATGCGCAGAGACTGATCCGGAGTAGTCATTATCTGAACCTGATTTAAGCATACGAACTTTCTGACTATATTTCACTACGCTTGCCTACTGAGGATGACTATTGGCTATGCCTTCCACATGCAGGAGGCGAGAGAGACATCGAGAGCGGGTCATGGCTCATATTTACGGATCCTTCAATTCTGCGTCTCGGATTCGAGATTAAAGCGGAGTTGACTATGCCGTAAGTCAAACAGCCGATTTGTATATGAAAATGGACGAGGGCCTCTGTCTTCATCCTTTGCAAACTGCAGCCGAGACTGGGATCCTTCATTATACCTCTCAAGGACATGCCTATCCCATGTCGAGGAGGTTGGAGAGGATGTCATGTTTCTCGTCCCTGGCACTGATAGCTCTGTATATCAATTCAATATGTGCTTTGCTAGCATTGGTATAACACATCACAATAGTGATATGATCTTCAATCGAGCTTGGCTTGACTTCTCTCGTCGCCCCATGTTTGGATTCAGTCGATATGCTATCGAGCTCCAAACCTGAACAAGATAAGACAAAGCATTCACTGTGATAGAATGCCTTGCCAATCTAGACGTGAGAAGCAGTCACTCTTGAAACCAGTACAAGTGAACATGTCTTCGTCAGTGGGCATATAGTTGAGTAACCCCGTCTTAAGCAATTGGGGCCTTCAACTGCTGACTCGTAGATTGGTGGGGCTGCTCCCATGGACTACGTCGGCGACCGCAAATCACAACACTCTGGCTTCCTCGCAGCCGTGAAGACGAGAGGCTGCAGTAATCGAGGTTCAAGGTGGTCGGGTAAGTCCTCATAGTCAATCCTTTGCAGCGCACGCATGCACATGCATGGCTAGCCTACGCATAGCCAGGCGGCAGGACAGGCATATTCCCCAGGGTCACTGGTGTTTATAGACTTAACGAAGTCCGCCGAGGTCTCGTTCCATGCCCGATACTCGATTTTCAAGGGCTTTCTTTCTGGCCTCGAGTTCCTTGATTTCTTCTTCCTCCGCTAGAACATCTTCTGGGGTGAAACTGGCAACCTCCCCCATCATTCCAGTGCTTGCCTGAACATCAGGCTCGAAGTCGATATCGTCCACGTTTTGTCCCTGATTGCGTCGGTCCAACGAGGACTGCTGCTTTGCAACTTTTCGTTCAAGGGCCGCGACACCAGACGCTGCATCTTGATGACGTTTACGGAGTGATCTGATCTTCTCCGAGACTCCAGCAACCTCATAAGCCTCGGAGAGCTTTTCGGCTCCACGAAGTAAGACCTCCACATTGACACCGTTCTGCATTTGTGAAGTATTGCTTGTAGACTTTCGTAGCTCTTGAAGCATTTCCTGGCCCAGGAGTCGCGTGATTATTGACTGCTTGGACGGCTGCGAAGCCGGAAACAGGCTCTTTCGCCCATGTCGCGGATTGTCCTCGCCTAACACCCGGGCTGTACTAGGTCGAGAAGATTTCGTGACTGCAGTCTGATCAACAGAGAATAGAGCTTGCTCGTGGGGTTCGGTGTCGCGGATTAGAGTGGTGATCTCATGATCGCCTAGAATTGCATTGGTGAAGATCCTGGGAGAGGGAAATCTATCATTGTCAGAACTGCGTGCAACATGGGCTTTGGAACATAACGCACTGCAATTGCTCTATTGATTTGGAAGACGCGCTAATTTGTTCCAGGTGACTCGCGAGTAAAGCCATGGTGGTTCTAGAGAGTGAGAGTACAAGTATGTGGTGGAGGGGTTAGCCCGTAGAGGTTGCGTTATGTCTTGGTGAATCTTCGAAAGCCAAAGAATGTTTCTCATGAATCCATAATTGCCAACAGTAACTCTAGACACATACTTGGGTATCGGTACCAACCATAATTGAACTGCAGGGTACCAGTGGTGGACTGTCACAGCGTAAATGGGTCATTGTTGATATTGGGCGGCGTGAGGTGAGCGTGACTGTCGGCGGTTGGAGTGTGACGCGTTTCCACAGTGCCTGCGTTCAATAATCGCTATGCGGCTTGCCTTCCTTTCCACCAGTCATCAATCTACATCCGCAGCTGCACCTGCACCTGCACCCTTTTGCTTAGTCCAGACTCCATCACGACCATCATTTCTCAGAAGGCTGCATCATCCATCTGTCGACGTCTGAGAAACTGATCTTTCATCCTATTCATTTCTCTAATCCTCCCTTCATCCACTGACTGTAGCATCTGAATATCCCAGTTCTGAGCTCAGTCTCCGGATCTACCTCTCAGGATAGCCGCGAAAGCTGGTGTGTTCTGAACCCTACCACCGCATCCAACACTTCCTGAACGTTCAACAAACGCTATCGCCTGGACCCTTCAGACACGTATATCAAGCTGTCACCCGTCTTGTGAGATTCATCCTGGGTGGTGCTTCGGCGTCCATTATCTTCCCTACCCGCTCCTAGAGACATGAGTGGCGACCGTCCATATCTCAACGGTTCGAACTCTGCTGAGGAGGGAAAGAACGGTTCTGGCTCTGGAAATCAAGACAAGCAATCTCAAAGCAACAAGAAGTCCTCCGGATCTACGAGAGATAGACAACGTGACGGAAAGATGACCGTCGTCGTTCCACCCGCCAAAGGCAGCAAGACTCCGACTGTCCCAGAAGAGTCTGTTGACGCCAACATGACAGACGGGCCTGCGGGAGAAACACAAGAAGACCAGCCTGATCCGGTCGAAAAAGCTGTTGCTGGTAAGTCGGAGTGCCCTTTCACAGCCACACGTTGAACTAATTCTTTTAGAAATCAAAGCCAATCTACCATTACTGGACCGTGCAGTTACTCAATTCGATCCTCGCTTCACCTTGAGAGCTCTGCGCTCGATACCTTCGGTGCGCAAGCAGTTAACTGCCGAAGTCATCGCCATTGTTGTAACTGAGACATACCCCATTCCTACCCCTACGGCCGAGTCCCTCCTCAGCGCCGTCAAGGACGATGCCTCTTTCCCAACCACAAAGGTGCAGGAATGGCATAAAAGAAAAGAAGCACCTCCACCGCGTACTGCGCCAAAGGAGGTTCTTCCCGAAGTGGATGTTTATCTATCAATCTTGGTTCAAGTCCATCTCTACGACAAGAAATCTATCAACGCGGGTGCTCAATTTTCCAGCGCCTTGGTCAATCACCTCCGCACTCTGAATCGGCGAACACTTGATTCTCTGGCTGCACGTGTTTACTTCTATTACTCCCTCTTCTTCGAGGAGACTAGTCCGAAGCCTCCATCACCAGCAGCTGCAGTTATCTCGATCCGGAAGCCACTTTTGGATGCACTGAGGACGGCCACTTTGCGCAAAGACCAAGATATACAGGCATCTGTCACAACCCTCCTCTTGCGCAACTACCTGTCAACTTCTCACATTAAACAGGCTGATCTGCTCATTTACCACACAAAGTTCCCAGCAGCTGCCCCCAATAATTCATTTGCTCGCTACTTGTACTATCTTGGGAGAATTCGAGCCATCCAGCTGTCATACACTGAAGCACATGACCATTTGGTTGGTGCAACTCGTAAGGCACCGACCTCATACAAAGCAAGTGGTTTCTACCAAGCATCCACGAAGCTTCTTATTGTTGTTGAGCTGTTGATGGGAGATATTCCTGATCGTGCTACTTTCCGTCAACCAAGCCTAGAGAAGTCTTTACAGCCTTATCTTCAACTGGTTCAGGCGGTTAGTGCCGGTGACGTGGTGGGATTTCAAAGCCTGGTCCAACGATACAATTCAACCTTCCGCAAGGACGATACATACACTTTGATTCTGCGATTGAGACAAAACGTCATTCGAACTGGCGTGCGCATGATGTCTTTGTCATATGCCCGGATCTCTCTTCGAGACATTTGCCTGCGTCTTGGTCTGGACAGCGAGGAATCTGCTGAATACATTGTGGCCAAAGCGATACGAGACGGTGTCATCGAAGCGAGCCTGGATCACGAGCGTGGTTTCATGAAGAGCAAGGAAGTGGGTGATGTCTATGCCACCAGAGAGCCAGGGGATGCTTTCCACGAGCGCATCCAGGCGTGTTTGGCGCTCCATGACGAGAGTGTAAAGGTATTTGGTTCACAGCAGTCTTATTTGGTATCTGTGACTAACGAATTGACAGGCAATGCGATTCCCGATGAATCAACACAGACTTGAGCTCAAAAACGCACAAGAGGCACGCGAGAGGGAGCGAGAGCTAGCCAAAGAGATCGTTGATGGCGACATGGACGACGATGACGCGCCTAGTGGTGACTTTGATGGCATCTAGACGAGAGCGAGTCTTGTACTGTCCCTCTTGCAAACTAATCCTAGACGGCTCCAAAAACCTTGACAAGCGCCCTGGCTATCACACAAAACGGTGCGTGCGCCATTAAAGTGACGAGCAATCGCCTCTGTATGCGTAGCATCGTCCTTCGACCGTTTTCATCTCAGCCACGCTCATCTTGTCGCATGGGAGATACACGCTAGAGACAGATGGGAAGCATTGTGGCTACCGTATTACCTGGTCGCATCACATGCATTGTTCAGAATAGAAACTTTGATAATAGCCTATCTCACACCCCTGCCTCTTCCCCTCGGCAAGCCACTTCCTCCTCTACCACGTGCTGCTCCTGTCGACCGTCCCCTAGCAATGCCACTGGCTCGAGTGGACGACTCCGACCTAGGCGGGCCCATGAGGGTCGATGATGTGCCAGGAGTGACAGCGGGAGTGTTCCTCGTATTTCTTCTAGGTGTGGCTTTTAAACTGACAGAACTGGTGTCCCCCGCCATCATAATGGTGGCATCTGGATCTAGTGGTGCGCGTCCCAACTTTCCCAGCACTGAGTCGTCGGCATCCATTGCCCCAGTTGCCTGACCACTGCGATGTCGCTTCTGAAAGCGGGCAATCGACTCGGGGATTGGGGCCTAGATGAGGTTAGAAGTTATTATGATACAGATAGAGGCGGATGACAATCGAGGAAACATCAGGAAGGGGGTATTAAACAAGCAGAGAGACAAGACTGAGACCTCACCTCTGGGAAATCCACCACAAATGCGTTCATGTTCAAACCGTAAAGGAAGCTGGCAAAGCTCTCGCTGAAGCGACTTAGACTTTCATGCATTAACTGCAAGTGCATCAAATTTGCCTCAAGGTCGGCCATGGAATCTGCCAATTCAGCAAACTGGGGTTCCAAGACATCGAGCACTGAGTGGTCGTGGTAAGAACCTGCGAGGGCGTTGCTGGAGGACTGCTGTTGGGAAGCGCGGAAGGATGATCGAGATGATGGACGAAGAGGCGTGGTGGGTCTTGATAGTGAAGTTGGTGAGCGAGCCATGAGGCTTTGTGATGGAGCTCGTGTGGCGGTTGACACGAAGTCGTAGCACCGTATATGAAGTCCCTTATGTTGAGTTGTATACCTATCCTTGGTGAAAGTTGTGGTCCATGTTCAAGATGACTTTGATATCATCACACGTGATGTGGTGTACAGAGTATGTTGACGCGTCGTGACGGGTAAACCTCGGGAAATATTGCCGTCGAATCGATGAAGTGAGGGTTCACTAGAAGGCTCAGCCAGTGACTCCCAGTTCCGAGGCATCTCATGTTTTGGCTATAGATATAGAATGAATAGGAAAATATTATTGAGATTGTACACTCTTTATCAAACACTGCAATATGGAATATCGTTAGCGAGACAAGACTCTAGGCGAGGCTGAGTGCAAGGCTACATGTTGCTGTAGTCGGGGATTTCATCCGCCCAAAAGAGGCACAAGAGGCTTAATTATGGACTAGCGCCGAGCCTTGAGCGTTTTTGCCCCCAAATGTGAAGTGAGGTCCTCGGTCAAACGGCCGATTATTCACAGCCTTTTATCATTTTCAACACCACATCTGATATTCGCATTCAATCTTGTGTTTGCCATTAATCGACACAATCACATCTACTACTACACACCATATCATCAGCCAAGAACATCGCACGCGGGTGGCGGCTGATAGTGTGCGTGTTTACACTTTGCTGTCCTCAGCTCCCTTTTCTTCTGTCTAGGTGATTCATTAGAGGTGTGGTAGATTGGTTAGCTACCGTCTACATCTCCGGCGACGAAATCTTCGTGGTCTAGTCGCACATATTTTGGGACACTGAGCTAACAGCGCTCTTGTTACTACTTCGACATTCCGTTCTACATCACTGCCCTGCAATTTGCGGGTGTTATTTGTTGATCCATGGCTCTCTCAGTTCACATGCCATCAATTGGCTGTGAACACCTGACCGCGGACATCATCAGCAAAATAAATCAACTTCGATCATCAAACAATACAGTTCGCGACCCCAGCTTTACTCAATATACCTGTATCTCATGTTCAACCACCGGAGGCTTTCCAACACTCGACAAGCACTTTAGTAAGACCAAGCATGAATTTGCCGTCAGTTCAAAGTCAATCTATTGTGGCAAGTGCAATGATCTGGTATATGATCCCTCGTTTCTGGGCTTGACCAATCCTAAGAAGCGCAAACTGGCCGACAGCAACAACGACGAGGACGACTCATATCTGACAGCCAATACGTCTCGACGACCTTGTGGCCGCGCTGGAGTGAGAGGTCTGTTCAATCTTGGAGAGACATGTTACATGAATGCCGTTTTGCAGATGATGGTCCATAACCCATTACTGGCGAGCTACTTTTTGGGAATGGGCCATCCCACCCACACCTGTCCAATTTCCAAGGAACCTGATAAAAAGACCGATTCCGACGATGAAGATGAGGAAGAGGAGAAGAAGGAGCAGCAGACTTGTGTGGCTTGTGGTATGACCGAGGTCTTTTCTGATGTCACAATGGTGGATCAGCCTCTACCGGCTTATGCAGTCAATTTGCTGTTCGCCAGCTGGAAAAATGTCCCGGTTAGTTGCTTTCTCAACCATACCTGGACATGTTATTGGGTTTACATAAGCTAATCTTCCATCACAGGAAATGTCAGGCAAAGGACAACAAGATGCACAAGAGTGGTTCATATGTATCGTCGACCGCCTCCATGAAGGCGTGGCTCAATATGTGACGAATGGTGAAAAGTCCAAAACCAACAAAGATGATGCCAAAGAGACCAACGGCGCAATAACAACGAATGGCGTCGATAAGCAGTGTGTTTGCTTCTTCCACAAAGTCTTCTATGGCCGGTACAATTCACAGATCACATGCGATACATGCCACACAGTGTCGAGCACTGAAGATGAATTCTCCAGCATATCACTTGATTTCAAGAAACAAGTCAAGCGGAAGAAAAAACAGGCCGCGCAGGCCGAGAATCTCAAAATCGCAATCCCTACCCTTTATGATTGTCTCAAGTCATTCACCGCTCCAGAGCCTCTGAGTCCAGAACAGTACAACTGCAATGAATGCAACACTCGCCGGTCTGCCAGTAAGCACACACGAATCCGCAAACTGCCGGCAATTCTTTGTGTGCACGTCAAGCGATTTGGCATGAAACAACTTGGTAACGGCACATTGATCCCCGAGAAATACGAAGGCAAGCTTGACTTCCCTCTCCAGTTGGACATGGGTCCATGGACAACGAGACCACCTAAGACCGTCAACATCAATGGCGTGGACGGATCAACAACCAACGGGGCAGGTGACAAGGACAAGTATAGCAGGGATCGATACATGTACGATCTAGACTGTGTGGTGGTACACCAGGGTGATCACGCGCAAAACGGACATTATTTTGCGTTTTGCCGGCAGGATAACCGGTGGTTTCGCTACGATGACGAAATCGTCAGCGCAACAACGACCGAGGATGTCATGAGGCAGGAAGCTTATCTGCTGTTCTACTCGTTGAGGGGTCTGGAGAGCGTTTGAGTTGAGATGGGAAAGGGAGAAACCAGGAAGAGTCGGCACTGCCTTGTGTTTGCATCCATGCTATGGCATGGGGATGATTCTCTGCACCGGTCAATTGACAGCACATTCGAGACGGACATCATTACATCCGTATACGCGGTTGAAGCAAACAAACACAGGAAGCTTGTCTTGGCAATGAGTTCTCATGCATTCTGACCCAAGATAGCGTAATCGGAACGGGGGTAGGTCTGTCCCGATTCGTCCTGTACTCCGTACAATCCTGTTGCACCATTTGAATTGATATTCCTCTCTGAAATGGTGCAAAGCACATGACCTGAACTTACACCATTTGAATTGACGTTCCTGTCTGAAATGGTGTAAAGCACGTGACCTGAACTTACACCATTTGAATTGAC